AACACACACACACACACACACACACACACACACACACACACACACACACACACGTAAGTATCATCAAAATTGTAGAATATTGAAAAAAACACGAGAAATAGCAATTATATGTATCTCTCTCTCCCTCTATACCCCCCTCATGTCGTCTGCGCTTGCGCGTACTTGTTCATATTCTGATGTCCCACTCTCCCCTTCTCCTCGGGGTCCAACACAACGCGCGGGTCCTTAAAGTCCACCCAGCCCAGCATAGGCTATACAAGACGAACAAAACAGGAAATTGATTCCACGCCGGTCAGCACATGGTATTGGTAAATTCAAGGGAGACAGAATTCCAATGCACACTCACATCGCTCGGGGCATATCCCATCAGCTTCTGGATGCGAGGCGGCAGAGCACGTGCTTTCTCAATGGGCACGGCCAGGTATTGATTCTCTTCTTGTCGCAAATATCCTCGCGTCATGAAGCAGCTGACCAGTAAGCGTTCCTCGTCTGTGGTTTTGTTGGCGCTGCCGCCGTGGTAGCAGCTCGATAGCATGATGAAGCCATCGCCTGGCTCCAGCTCCGCATACACGGCGAAGTCCTCCTCGGGCGGCTGTACCGTCGCTTCGAGATGGCTCCCGGGAATGAAGCGTGTGGCGCCGTTGGCTTTGGTGGATTTCTTCACGGCGACGAAGAAGCCGACGCCAAAGTCGCGCGAGTTGGTCTGGTCGGGATAGCGCTCCACGCGAGGTCGGTCGGCATAGTGAATATCGTCGTCGCGGTGCAGCGGCTGGTCGTAACTGTTGCCGGGCCGCACGGAAAAGGCAATGGTATTATTGACCTGCGGACGGGAGACGTTGGGGATGTTGCGATTGCCAAAGTACGGATAGCACTTGGTCGTCAAGAAGGCATCGCATACAGCCTGATAGAGCTCATTCCCAATGACATGCAGCGCGAACGCCTGGGATTTGCCTATCAAGCCAAATGCTCGCTTGGTGGTCGGCGGGAAAAAAGTGTCGGCTTCCCAGGGCAAGTCGGCTTCCAGGTGAGGTCGAATGTCCTTTTCCATCTGTGAGAGTGACTCTACGGGGACGATTTGACGCACAATACACCCGCCCGCTTTCTTGATGCCTTCGACGACATCCTGGGCTTTTGCATCTGCTCCAAACACGGGCACCTCGATGCGTTGCCGCTCGGGCCATTCCGTGTGGTATGCCTCCACTATCCGCTCAAACGAGATCAGAGTATCTTCATGTTTCTCTACCGGCGGAGGCTGGTGATGGTTAGGCTGGCCATTCGAGTACTTCGAATCCGTTGTAGTAGTGGTGCTCGCCACAGTTTCTGTATTCGACATCGTTACACACAACAGGTTCGCAGGTGAGGTAGGTAGGTATGTAAGGTAGGTTTAATGATTAGGGCTTTGTTTTCGACCTCCTCCTCCAACCTACGAGGGTCTCCAGTCCCTTTTTGAGTGAAGCTGTTCCCATGCTTTTCACGTGGCGACGTACCAAGTCTATACAGGGAGAGCCTTGACGATCCCCAACAGATAATACTGCTCTATTCGACCGAAACACCGAACTCCAGACATGTAGGCCGAAGCGTTATCAACAACTCTATCTGTTGCTGAGTTTGATAACGAACAACACCAATTTGATCAAAGGTATGGGTGGGGTGATTGTTATGCTATTGGGCCCCAACCCTGGACCGTGGATGAACAACATGGAGAGCGATGAGATGAACCTACGTCCAACAAATCATCTTGGAAGATAACGTGATGAGGCCGAAGGCGTGCAACAATCAACCACACACTACCTACTCCTCAATGCGCGCCTACGGTATAGAACTCTTCGACCATCGCCCCGGATGACTCTTTGCCTTTCCTGTTCTGTCTGCCCGTCTATCCATTCGTCCTCCTGACTCGTCCTTCCGAGAAGAAGTACAATGGCGGCCAAACTCACGTTCAAACAAAAATTGCGATTGTCGCGTCCCGTCAACCAGAATCTCATCGTGGGCTCGTAAGCTGATCCTACTACACGGACCTTTTTAAAAAAACAAGAAACCGCGGCTGACCATGTTGTTCTCTTTGATAGCGTACTCTTCTGCTGTCCTGGAATTTACCTCGCTTTGACAGGCTTAGGAGCAGGCGGAGGCAAGCCTTCATCCGTACACGTCGGCTCACTGACCAATGCCATTCTGTACGGGATATATTTCGTCGCAGGATGGCTAGCGGGTACCGTTCTCAACTTCTTGAAGCCGAAGATTACCATGTAAGTCCATCGAGGCTACATACAGCGCTCACGTACTGAATGAATGCGATGCTGCCTCCCAGCGCTCTGGGTGCCACGGGATATCCCATCTACCTGGGAGGTCTATGGTATTACGACCGGACCGGACAATCGGCTTTTCCTCTTGCAGGAGGTGCAATTCTCGGTTTGACCGCAGCATTGCTATGGACGAGCTCGGGATATATCCAATTTGCGTATGCGGAAGAAAAAGACAAGGCTGCGTATATTACGCAACAATGGGTCATGACCTGTACCGGTAGTACGGTTGGTGCATTGATTGCATTTGGCGTAAATCGGGATAAACAAGAGGCAACCGGTGTTCCAGCGGCAATCTATATCACCTTCGTCGTCATTCAGGCATGGTAGGTGTTTCGTCTTGTCTTTGAGACTCTCCCGAGCTCATCTTCCTCTTGCTCCTCCTCCTCCTCCTCCTCCTTCTGGTCTGACACAGAGTTCTAGTGCCATCATCTTAGATCTGACCATGATCGTACATCCGAAAGACGTCGTTCGTGATGATGGGCGACACCTCGCCATCTTCCGCGAGCCCAACCTCCGTGATGAGCTTCTCGGGTTATTAGCAGTGTTGAGAGATCCCAAGATCCTCATCCTCTGGCCAGCCATGTTCGTAGGAGAGATGTGCCTCGCACTCGTCAGCAGCATCAATGGTACGTTTTTTCCAGCCTTCTAGACTGCTAGCTGCCTGGCTCGCAAACAGCGTCACTGAGCTAACGCGACATCGAAAAAAAAAACAGCATACTACTTCAACCTCCGCACGAGATCCTTGAACAACCTCCTCTTCCAAGTCATCATGATCCCGGCGCCCATCTGCCTCGCAATGATCATGGATAACCAAAAAATCACCTCTCGGCGCTCTCGAGGATTGTACGGATCCGCCGTCGTAGGCGTCATCAGCATCGCAGCGATGGGAGGACTGCTCGGCTGGATCATCAAAAACGACGTGGATCGGCACTTGGACCCTCCCGCCATCGACTGGTCCGAACCGGCCTTCGCCGCAGGCTTCATTCTCTATCTGCTGTTCGGGATCGTGTACGCGTGCTTTCAGATTGCAACGCAGTGGACGTTGGCAGCCTTGACGAACGACCCGAGCCTCTGCGCGAGATATGCGGGCGCGTTCAAGGGGACGGTGAGTTTGGGGATGTGTGTTTCGTTCGTGATTGATTCCGAGGGTGTCAGTTATCGGAACCAGGCCATTATTCAGCTGCTGCTGTATGCGTTGGGTTTGGCTTGTCTGCTCTATGTGATTGCTGTGTACGTGAAGGAGACGAACTATTTTGCCGAAGAAGATGTGATCGTGCCGGCGGCCGTGGAGGAGAAGCTGGGTGGAGGAGGACACGATGGCGTGAGTGTTGAAGTCGTTCATGCGGAGCCTCTCAAGAAGTAACTGGAAGTTTCCAAGTCTCATAAATAGTTCCGTGCAGTTGTTCGACTGTGCAGGCTGCAGCCATTTTCTGCAGCCTTCAATCTATCGCGAGCAGCGTCCACGTTATTCACTCCATTCACTTTGCTCGAAATCCATACAAAGTATCTTCCCGGCCTCCCACAGCACCTTTGCGACCAGAAACTCCAGAATCACCATGTGCCGCCTCCTTACAGTGACATGCCAGCGGCAGACGCCATACGGAGACATAATCTCAGACCACATGCTCACGTTTAGCGACCTGAAAATTGCATGCGAGCAGCCGGGTTCGGGAGACTGCAAAGCTGGCCTGAGCAAGATGAAAGGCTTTCAAAACCCGCCGACTCAGTGTGCAGGTGAGAGATGCGTCCTGAGAAGTCTTCGTCTTCTTCCCATCAATCATCGAGTCGGTCAGTCAGTCAGGCGCTAACACATATGTCCATCAAAAAGGCATCCGAGCAGGAATGCACCCAGAAACCGAGACGTGTGAGGAGGTGTGTGCGAAAGCACTGAGGAGATACGGACTCGCGCTCTGGCGTGTGAACAATGGTGGACTGGGTCGAGCGAGCTGGAAAGCGTGGCTGAGAGGCCGGCTCGCGGGCACAGAGAAGGAGGCCAAAGGACGCCCGCCCCTGACCAGATTGGGCGGTGAAGTGGGTGGTAGAGGCGAGTTGGTATAGTCTGCGGCGCGGCTTCGACTTTGTTAGGCCCCTAGACCCCCAAGGCACAGCCTCTACCACCACTACCTTCGTCGCTGGCGCTGTGTCCCAACCCATCCTCGCAACTCATCCTCGTTCCTCGTCACGGCTTCAGTTCGACCTCGCGGCGACCCGCCCAGCAGCTCTTCGCGCGCCGCAGTTATCTTCCCCAGCCACCACCGTACTTCCGCACATTCGAGTAGCTTCCACTCTATTGAGCTCTTTCCAAATTTCACCCGTTCCCAGCCAATAACACCCTCCTCTTGGCACTAGCCGACTTATTCACAAACAAAAAAAGCTCACTTCGCCGTCTTTCCACCAAAGATATCGACATCCGCTCGCACCACTATCGCAAACACAACACACCACACATTACTCGCACATTCCATCACTTTCAACCAACGACCACAAGCAAGATGTGTCGCCCATTGCAAGTGCACTGCGGCTGCAGCGAGTCGACTCACAGGTAAGTCATCTTCTCTCTCCTCTCGCCCTCACCGTCGCGTACCCGCTCGGCGGCAGATGTCACGACAACGAGCTCACACATCCGCTCCCATCGCCCGCCACCAATGCAATGGAGCCGACTGACGTGGATTTCAGGGACAATCGCACCACCCACAGCCTCACCATGCCGCGCTTCATCGTGCCCTGCCAGGTCCCAGGCAGCGCGGCATGCAAGGCCGGACAGGGTCGCTCTGTCAAATTCCAGAATCCGACCACCGAGTGCGCCGGTATGTACCCACCGTCCCCGTTCTCCTCTCGTGCCCTCATCACGGCAGCGGCAGCAGCAGCAGCAGCAGTAGCAGCAATGGGTTGGAATTCACGGCGATGGACATGAAACCACCGTGCGACAAATTTGATTCGCTGCAAATTTGTTGCGTTTACAGCGAACGGTTTTGTATCGCGCGTGTATGAAGGGACATACTGACGAACCGGGCGAAAAGGAGTCAACGAGGGATTTCACCCGGCCGAAAAGGAAGCCCAGAAGCTATGCGAGGCGGCTCTCGAAAAATACGGCGCCGAAGTCTACAGAGCCAACAGCAAGGACTTCAACCGCGTCAAGAAGACCGCCCCGGGCTGGTTCTTTGGCTGGTTCTGAGCAATCGCCAAGACAAGACGTAGGAGTTGCCTTCGCGATATCCTGGGCTCTAGACTGACACCCGCGCCTAGCATGCATGTCGCTCAACGACGTAAAGGCAACGACCGGCACTGGAAGAACACAACGCGGTGGAAAAAGGAGGCGGATCATGCTCGGGCCAAGAGTGGCTTAAGCTAGAAGATATCGCTCAATGATCATCAGGCAGAATTTGGTCAGGACTCGACCTTCAGACGTTCGCTTTTCCTTTTCCCTTCCCTTCATATGCCTCCTCGGTAACTTCGTCATCCTCCGAGTCCTCATCGTCATCCTCATCGTCGTCGTCATCCCAGCCGAAGAAGCTCCTGCCGCCATCCGCGGCAGTATTAGGAGCTTCAGCCTCAACACCATCGCTCGAGCCAGAACTCTGCTCGGCATCCTCGTCCTCGCTGTCCTCAGCCTCAGCACTACTCTCACTTCCCGTTATCTGCTCCAGCAGACCCTCCCTCATGGCCCGCACAACGGCTTCCCTCGTCTTGTTCTCCACTTCCTCCTTCCCTTCCACCCACTCGGCGTCCAGTCTGCCTTTACTTGCACCAGCCTTTCCACCCTTGATTTCCTCTTCCCTCCTCTCAGCAGCATCCACAACCTCCTGCCACCTCTTCTTTCTCTCTTCCCGTTCCTTCTTCTCCATTTCAGGTTTGATGGCAAGATAATCCGCTAATTTCTTCGCCTCGTCCACTGTCCTCAATCGCCTCCCATCGAGATTTCGATTAGAGGCGTTAGGGTTCACGTTGCTATTGCGGTTCTTGCGACTGCTCATGCGACCGCCTGCAGCGCGTAACTGAGACCCGAAACCGCCTTTGCCACCGCATAGTCTGCGCGAGAGGCGGAGCGAGAGGATGGTGTCATTGGGTGAGCTGAGCAGAGATGTGAGCGGTGATTCGTTGTGAGGGAGGAGCTGCTTGTTGGAGACTGTGGTGATCAGAAGGCCGTCATCCGTTGTGGAGGATGGTAGGCGTGATTGGATCGTGCTGTAGACGGAGCTGATTGGGGTGGAAGCCTTCGTAGGGAGAGAGAGTGTTCTCGGGAGTCCTAGACCAGCAAAGGTCGTGAGCAGAACGTTGATCGTGGGTTCCATATCCGCCATGCTGAGGGTTGTGTTCCGAAGTTGTGTATTGTAGTAATGACTAGGAAGTGCAAGGGGGAAAGCGCTCTGGTGAAGATGGATGTCAGCCCGATGTCAGAGGACAAGCGATTCTTGGCATGCGGCTGATCCCGGCAACCCACGGCGCTAGCGCATTCTCAATTTATGATATTCGATACTGTACCATTTGCGCCAGAAGCTTCACCACGACAGTCACCCAACGAATCCACCTCCAGCAACCTTCTCAACACCGTCAAGATGTGTGTTGCGCTTCATATTTTCTCACAATGCTTCTTAGGTCATACTAACAAACGGCAGGCTGATTCCAAAGGAGGACCGCAAGAAGATCCACGAGTACCTTTTCAAGGAGGGTGTCGCCGTGGCCAAGAAGGACTTCAACCAGCCAAAGCACAACGAGATTGACACCAAGAACCTCTACGTACGACATTGCCTGATTGCCTGGGCAGAACTTGCGTGCGACACGTACTAACATACTTTCTAGGTCATCAAGGCTTGCCAGTCTCTCACCTCGCGCGGCTACCTGAAGACCCAATTCTCGTGGCAATGGTACTACTACACCCTCACCCCAGAGGGTCTGGACTACCTCCGCGAGTGGCTCCACCTGCCAGCTGAGATCGTTCCTCAGACTCACGTCAAGCAACAGCGCTCGCACGCTCCTCCACGAGGAATGTTGGGTGGTGATGGCGACCGCGAGCGACGTGGTGGTGGCCGTGGCGGACCACGCCGCGAGGGAGGTGACCGCGAGGGTGGATACCGCCGCCGTGAATTCGGTGAGAACAAGGATGGTGCTGCCCCAGGTGGCTTCAACCCAGAGTTCCGTGGTGGGTTTGGCCGTGGCCGTGGCGCTCCACCAGCTCAGTCTTAGAAGGACGATCCTGAGCGGAGTGGCACTGTCCAGGGAGCAACAGGTGGATGGGCGAACAACAATGCAGAGCCAGCTGCGGCTGCCAACACATATTTTGGTGAATGGTAGATGTTGATCAAGCATCTTCATCTCAGGCTTTCCAGCTGAAGCAGATACAACACCCGATGATGTCCAGGACATCAAAAATTGCGATAGACGAGGACAAGCCGCCGACTGGCTGAAACAACGTAAGAAGACAATCCACGATAGCTGGCGTAACTCGTGTCATGATTCCCAAGATCTCAACTTGTGTTGTCGTGTCTCTCTCGTGGTAGCCATTGAATCGCCTTAACTTGTCGTAAGCCTCGCCATTGTGATGTTGTACATGTGAATATTCTAAGGTACGGGAATAGGTATTGCCCTATCTGCCGAGCGCGGGCAACAAGTTCGCATGACTAACAGCCTCATATGCTGGGCGGCACCACTTCAGCAGCTCGATCAACATTGCACAGCCAGATACTCAGTCTTCTCGATTTCACAGTTGCGCAAGCTATCAAGCATCGTCCTCAACACAGGCCATACATCAATCAACTGGGGCCTCCAGAGGCTCGGAGATCTTAACAAGAGAGCATCATCATCCCTAGATTCCCTACGCCTACTGTATCCGAGCTCAAAACTGCCAAGGCGAGCACCTACCCTCCGAATATCCACCGATTTTGTGTCAATCTTTTCGACACAATGTCTTTCTCCCTTTCATCATCAACAGCAACAACAACATGTAGAAGCCTTCGAAATGCCGCGCCTTCTGCGCGCACACTCCCCTCACTCCCATTAGGGACGAGAGCACGGTCTCCTACGCTGCGACCATGGCGCGCCTTTGCCAGCTCCGCAGGACGCGAGCTCGCCGTCTCCGAAATGTCTGAACGCGATTTCGCGAGCCTCAAAGTCGATCAGGACAGACTGATGAACGACATTCACACCACCAGCGAATGGGGCAAAGGAGAGCCATGGGGAGAGTGAGTTGTTCTTCCCTTCCAACCTGCACTCACGCCCAGCAACTTTGCATACCAAATGATGAACTTCGAACAAGCACACCAAATTTTTGTCTTATCCTTTCACGAGGAAATGGTGATCGATCGAACGGCCAACTGAACATACACCTTCCTACGCATCTGAGCATGTCAACACTCGAATACTGAATACTTTGCTGACATGTCTGCTTCGCAGTGCTCCCACAGAGATTGGAATGGCTAGGCTCTCACTCTCCGACTCCGACAAGCAGGCGCGCGACTGGTTTGCGGAGACCACAAGCCGCTTGGGCTGCAAAGTGCATTATGATGCGATGGGCAACCAGTTCGCCATTAGACCCGGTATGTGTCGTAGCCTCCACAATCCCTTATTGCGAATGATGATCACTCTTTTGTTTGAATGTCTACGTACGTTTTCGTAATGAACAACCAACAAAATTCTGATTTAATGAGCCTGACGCGCCATGCATCTCCTCAAATCTCGGACATCCTCACTCGAGTTCGGCGCTGATCACAATGATGTCTGTAGGCAAGGAAGATGGCAAGCCAACATATGCCGGTTCACATCTAGACACACAGCCCAGTGGCGGTCGCTACGATGGTATTCTCGGTGTGACGGCAGCAGTAGAGATGCTCAAAACCATGAATGACAATTGGATCGAGACGAATTTCCCCGTGGGCGTCGTGAATTGGACAAACGAAGAAGGTGCCCGTTTCCCTATGTCCATGGTGTCGTCTGGTGTCTGGGCCGAGTCGATCCCTCTAGAGACTGCCCATAATCTCAAATCAGTCATACCTTCCAATGATACCGCTACCATGAAGAGCGAGCTGGAACGCATAGGCTACCTGGGCTCCACGCCTGCAAGCTACAAGAGTACACCTATGGCCGCGCACTTCGAGCTGCATATTGAACAAGGACCAATCCTTGAAGCCGAAAATCGTCGTATTGGCGTTGTTCGAGGGGTTCAGTCTTACAAATGGTTCACCGTCACCGTTAAAGGCCGTGACGCCCACACTGGTGCAACAACCTTTGCCCATCGAGCAGACTCGCTTCTTACCACGTCGAAAATGATCCTAGCCAGTCACAAGATTGCCCATCGACACAAAGCTCTCGCATCTACCGGTATCTTGACCTTGAAGCCCGGCTCGACAAACACGGTTCCTGGCCACGTGCAATTCTCCTTGGACATTCGCGCACCAACAAACGAAGTCGTCGATGCCGTGGAAGTAGAATGCAAAGAAGCCTTCACGGCTATCGTGGAAGGGAAAGACGTCGAAGGCGTCAATGCAAACTGTGCCATCTCGGATCGACAATGCTCCGTCGAGTGGCGTACAGACTTCGTCTCGCCCGCCACGAACTTCCACGAGGATTGCATCAAATGTGTGCAAGATGCCGGGAGTGCGCTCTGTGGGGAGAGCGAAGTGTCAGGATTGGATATTGGTGCATGGGGCAAGTTCATGACTTCTGGTGCAGGTCACGATTCAGTCTATACAAGCAAGAGATGCCCAACTACCATGGTGTTTGTACCATGTAGGGACGGTGTTTCGCACAATCCGGCGGAGTATTCCAGCCCCGAGGCGTGTGCGGATGGAGCGAATGTTTTGATGGGGGCGGTGCTGAGGTATGATCAGCTGCGAGGACAGAGAGGGCATTAGATTTCCCATGGGGCGTATATTGAATAACATATCAACGATGATTCTGTGCGACCTTGATCTGCAATTCATTTTGTCCTGGTGTTCGGATACAGGAGCAGTCACGGCGTCATATTCGTTCTAATTGTGTGCACCTCTTGAAACGTGGCCGTCAGTTGGCACCTCGTGAAGACGTTCCGGAGGATCAGCTGCCGAACCAATCAGGCTGGCACGGGTCATTTCTTGGCACGCCAAGCTAGTTCCTAACAACGTTGCAACTTGCAACAATCTTCTGATCAACACTGAAATTACAACTTCGTCCTTGAGGTATCTTTTGGTGCACTTCTGAGTGTTCTCATTGAGCGGCGGGAGGATCTTGGCTCGATATGTCGAAAAACAATGGCAGTATTCGAAAAAGGCAGTCGAATGGCAAACTGCCAGACGGTGCAGTAATCGCCGGCAAGAATGACATTGCGCTCACAAGCGAGCAGAATACTGAGGATTCGGGTTCATGGCTGAGGCTTCTGATATGTGTCGGGGGCATTTACGCATCCTTGTATGCTCTCGCGCACTCCCTATGTTATATTTCGGACATAGTGGCTGACATCTCCCCAGTCTAACATGGGGAATCCTCCAAGAACGGATCACCACGACAAACTATGGCACCGATGCCAAACGAGAAGTGTTCAAATACTCCATCTTCATGAACACAGTCCAGTCGATCTTCGCTGCCATCTTTGGCTATGTCTTCATTCTGATGACCCGCAAGTCGTCAACTGATCTCCCCATCATTCCCAAGGTGGAGATGCTATGGCCATTAGGTATGGTCACCCTCACATCAGCATTTGCCTCGCCCTTTGGATACGCCAGCCTCCAGTACGTGGATTACATCACATTTATCCTGGCCAAATCATGCAAGCTTTTGCCTGTGATGTTCCTCCACGTCACACTCTACGGAAAGAGATATCCTTTCTACAAGTACGCCGTGGTTGGGCTTGTGACTGCAGGTGTCGCGATATTCACGCTGCAACAACCGGCTGGCAAAAAGAAGAAAGGTGCCGATGGCAACAGCAGCTTCGGCCTGCTTCTGCTCGGTATCAATCTTCTCTTCGATGGATTGACGAATGCGGCCCAGGACAGCATATATGCAAAATTCAGGCCGTATAGTGGACAACAAATGATGTGTGCTTTGAACATCATGTCTAGTCTGTTGACGTCGACCTACTTGCTCGTGCTTCCATATCTCGCACAGAGCGGGATTGGCTCCTTGATTGGACTGGACTTGGGCACAGGAGTTGGAGAGCTATACGGAGCTCTGGATTTTATCCAACGGCACCCAGAAGTGGGCTGGGATATTCTCGGCTTTGCAGCAAGTGGTGCGCTTGGACAAGTCTTCATCTGTGAGTCTCGAGATGCCAGCCTGGCCTCTGTCTCCATCACTAACCCTTGCAGTCATGACTCTCTCCATTTTCGGCAGTCTTCTCTTGGTCACCGTCACCGTGACACGCAAGATTTTCACCATGGTGCTCTCGGTTTTCTGGTTCGGCCACAAGCTGACTCCGGGCCAATTGGTCGGTGTCGGTCTGGTGTTTGGAGGCATTGGCATTGAAGCCCAACTGACCAGACGCGAAAAAGCGCAGAAAGAGCTTGCGAAGGAGCTCGCGAAAAAGGGAAAATAGCAGTGTCCAAAGCACTGAACATAGATTTAGATATCTCTATATGTTGTCAATACTAGAACAGGTACATCGACGAGGTAGACATTCCTAAGTTCTACAAGCTCTGATTGGATTGATTCTTAGATTGTAGTACTAGCACGATTACGCTAGAAGGTACCGTACGTAATACTAGACATCTACTAGGGTACTACCTAAGGGCTTGCCCTTTATATATACTAAGGTATCAATTTTCTGACTTGTTAAATAATTAATATAAGGTAGACTAATAATCTATTAATATATTAGTATACTAAAATACTAAAATACTAAAATTTAGTATACTAAAATACTAAAAAACTAAAATTTAGTATACTAGAATACTAGGATACTAAAATACTAAAATACTAAAATACTAATATACTAAAATACTAAAATACTAAAATACTAAAATACTAAAATACTAAAATACTAAAATAGTAAAATTTAGTATACTAAAATACTAAAATGCTAAAATTTGGTATACTAAAATACTAAAATGCTAAAATACTAAAATACTAAGATTTAGTATACTAAAATACTAGAATATTAGTATACTAAAATACTAAACTACTAAACTACTAAACTACTAAACTACTAAAATTTAGTATACTAAAATACTAAAATACTAAAATTTAGTATACTAAAATACTAAAATACTAAAATTTAGTATACTAATATACTAATATACTAATATACTAATATACAAATATACTAATCTACTAATCTACTAATATCTTGATCTAATAGTATTTTAGTATTTTAGTATACTAATATACTAAATCATAGTAGTTTAGTAGTTTAGTATACTGAATTTTAGTATACTAATATACTAATATACTAATAAACTAAAATATTAGTATGTCTGTATATTAGTATACTAAATATTAATAATCTAGTATTTTAGTATTTTAGTACTTTAGCATTTTATACTTTAGTATTTTAGTATACTAATATACTAATATACTAAATTAGTAAATATTAGTAGTTTAGTATTTTAGTATACTAATATACTAAATTAGTAAATATTAGTAGTTTAGTATACTAATATACTAATATACTAAATTAGTAAATATTAGTAGTTTAGTATACTAATATACTAATATACTAAATTAGTAAATATTAGTAGTTTAGTATACTAATATACTAATATACTAAATTAGTAAATATTAGTAGTTTAGTATACTAATATACTAATATACTAAATTAGTAAATATTAGTAGTTTAGTATAATAAATTTTAGTATTTTAGTATACTAATATACTAATAGACTAAAATATTAGTATATTAATATACTACTATACTAAATATTAGTAATTTAGTAGTTTAGTATACTAAATATTAGTAGTTTAGTAGTTTAGTATACTAAATATTAGTAGTTTAGTAGTTTAGTATAATAGATTTTAGTATTTTAGTATTTTAGTATTTTAGTATATTGGTATACTAGTATTATAGTAGACAAAAATAAGTAGTAGTAAGAGCTAAGGCTATAAGATAAGCTATTATAGACAATAGCGCAATAGCAGAATAGCGCAATAGCGTAATAGCGCAATAGCGTAATAGCGTAATAGCGCAATAGCGTAATAGCATAATAGCGCAATAGCACAATAGCGCAATAGCGCAATAGCGCAATAGATACTAATATACTAGTATACTAGTACTTTGCCAAGAAAGTTTATTTCTTGAAGAGAGTAAGAGGTATATAAGACCTTTTCTATTCTCTCTTTTTTATTTCCCTCCTTACTTATAACTTCTACTTCGACTACTACGACTATACGATCTGTTCGACAATCTGCTGCGTCTTCTACAAGCAAGACATTTTCTACTACTCCTGCTAGTAACGCTGCAACCGTAAGTCATTTCTTCTCTACCTATTCTATTTCTATTTACTAAGGGTTGGAGATCTCTGTCTCTAGGCGCTAGCTGCGGGGATCCCGTCGGCGGCAGGCTCCACAGTCCACACGCGTGCCTTTAATTTTTGGATTCTTTGGACCTGGACGACCTGTACGACCTGGTCACTCACAAACTGCAAACACAACCTACTTAGTAGGCTGATCCACACCACTTTCCACCTGCACGAACCAACTGGCAAACTCTCGCAGCATCGTGGTCTCGGCCAACATCCACCACGATGGCTACAAGCTACAGTGAGCAGCTAGAGGCGTTTCGCCAGAGCGACGCTACACGAGACGCGCTGGTAGCCCAAGTATTGACGGAATACGAGGAACTCAAGGTCAAGATCGAAGAGATCACCGACGACTACAAGAATGAGGTTGAATCACGACGAATGTGGCAGTCTAAGGCCAGCAAGTGTGAGGCGTCGTTGTCCGAAGCACTCGCGCAGCAAAAGCAGGTAGCGGTAAGCCAGTTCTGCCTCTTCCATTGACATTTCATTATTCGCAAGTCGAGCAATGGAAGAACTACGCTGACCACCTGAGAAGAGCTCGAGCAACTTTGCAGTAGTTCTCATAGATGGAGATGGCGCTATCTTCACTGACTATCTTTACGGCATGGGCAAGGACGGTGGTGCCGAAGCTGCTCATCAGCTACACACGCAAGTTAAGAAACACCTAAAGACTATCTATCCCGACTCTAACGTGGAAGACTGGAATGTGTGAGTACCGCACCGCACTCGATGTAACTACATGTATGGATTCCTTACGGATGCTAATGTGCCAACAGCGTCGTCCAAGTGGTTCTCAACCTGACGGGGCTCGCCTCCAAGCTTAACTCATGCGGCATCATCATGAATCCCAACGAACTCCTAGCATTCGGTCGCTCGTTCGGCTTGGCCCAGCCTCTCTTCAGCGTCGTCGATGTCGGTGGTGGCAAGGAGAGAGCGGATCATAAGCTGCGAGAGCATCTTCGTCTGTACATGCGCATTGCGCAGTGCAAACACGTCTTCTTCGCGCCATGCCATGATACGGGCTACCTCCCCGTGCTGGAGTCGTACCGTAGAGAGCATGCAAGCCGAATGACTTTAATCGAGACTCGAGACGCTGAGCCGGGCTTTCTCGAATTGGGAATCGAGAGGATCCGAATGCCAGGCATCTTTCGGTCTGACAATCTACCAAATGGACCGATCAAGTCTACCCTGCCAACGATCGGGCTGGACACAGCAACCAACTCGATTCGATTGCCTACATCCATCACGTCGCCTCATCCTAAGCGAGTTCCACCACGCATGCCGTCCAGTGTGCAAGCCAACTCTGCGACATTCGTGCCGAAAGCGCCTTCGCCTGCACCATCAACGGAGTCGAATGGATCTACGCTGGGGGCATCGTGGGCCACTGTCGGTAAGAGTGGCAGCACTTCCAAGACAATCAGCATAGCGCCCAAGAAAGCCGTCGTTCGCAAACACGTGCTCGTCAACACCTACAACGAACGCATTGACATCGACCTGCCGCGCACCGATCCTGGCGCCGAAGGCCGATTCACCGAACGCACCAAAGCATTTGGCAAGCACTGCAATGCCCACCACTTGATCGGCAAGTGTGAGAGAGGCGAGTATTGCGACTATGTGCACGGCGAGAGGGTCACGGGCGGCGAGAAGCTGGTTCTCATGCACAAGGCGCGATCGCTCAGTTGTCCGCAGAAGTTCCAGTGCATGGATCCTTCCTGCCCGTATAGCCATCACTGCAAGTTTGGCAAAATGTGCTTTGTCGACCGTTGCTATTTCGCCGATACTCATGAGATGGACATGGAGCCTGCGAAGAGGGTATTCGAAGATGGAACGGAGGAGTGGCTGCCCTCTTACCTTGAAAAAGCACGGTAAACAAAAACAAACGGGCAGAGAGGAGGGGCCGACATCGAGGGGAATAAATTGTGTTAGAAAAATATATATAACTACCTTATTAGCTTATCCACTCCATAACTACTTGGGTACAAAGGATTATTGTGATGTATGTACGTAGAACTACTACTGTACTGTACAACTTTCATTGTCATTGTTTCTACTTCTTTCTCATAAGATCGAACAAGAAACTTTTGATTCCAGGCCGCGCGTCCTCATCCGTGCCTACCATTCTGTCCAGTATCTTACCTCCATCCAGCATATGACTATTCTGAAGATCCAGCTTAAAGTTCCCACTTCCCTCGATCCGCATGTACGCCATTTGATCTCGCATAAACATGCGCTTCACCTCTCTCTTGATTCCCGGCCAAATGTTCACCATACTTCGGGTCGCACCGGAAAAGACACCCCCTTCCTTGTGTTCCAGCGTACCCGTGAGAGCATACTTCTCCGTGAACCACTTCGAGTCTCCGATGTTGTACGAAGTAAGCGCAACATTCTGCGACGCCAGGGGAACACTTCGGTCCAGCAAAACCTGCTGCGGATCTTTCAAATACAAGAGAGCGCTTTTCGCAAACGGCACAGCCCGTTTGACTTCGATTCTCAATTTCCAAGGCATTGGAGTGGAATACCATGCGGCCTGTCTCGCAGTGGCTGCCGTCATCTTGAGCTGTTCTTGTGGTCGTTGCCGCACAGCAGTGATAGACTTGATCAACTTTGTCGGCGCCAAAATAAACACCGTACCAAAAGCTGCAATCAAGACGGTAGACCACGCCCCCATCAACTTGACATAGTAGGGGAGCTTGGGCCTTTTGGAGTCTTCGGGAGCATCTTTGAGGAACAACTGTGCATAACTGACCGCGCCGTATATGAAGAAGAATCCGATCGCATACGAAGCGATGGTGAATGCGGTATGGCTGGGTGCAACGTAAAGGAGGATTACATCTTGACGTGGAAATTTGGCCGAGAGCCAATCTGGTGGCGGAGAGAGTGGATTCGGGATGTGGGAGTATGCTGAGGCCTTTGGTGAGGGTGGAGGTGGCCTGACAGGTGCATTTGATGAAGGAAAAGCCGGTGCGGCAGGTGGTGGTGGTGGTGGTGGTGTTGCTGCTGCTTGTGGTTTCGGTAGATCTCGAGCTTGAGACTTGGGTACTTGAGGTAGCGCATTCTTGTAGATGCCCTTCTGCTTTCCGCCTTGTTTGAAAAGATGGGCTGAGATGCTCAAAGGCCTTGATGATGGGCCATTAACGAGGCCATAACTGCTCACGGGACAGCCACAACATGTGGTTCTAGCTCCGCCGAGGAGTGGCTGTGGAACGAGGAGCTGTTGGCGTATCGCTGGCGGTAGCTTGAAGAGTAGCCGTAAATTGGCGGTCATTGTGATGATAATGGTGAGGACTAGGTGCCTGTATATGGTGGTCAGGTAGTACAGAATTCTACCTGGATACGCGCAGAATCGAATTAGATCTAGTCCCAAGTCAACCGGGCCGAATGGGTCTCGGAGGTCCGTTTCTCAACAATAATCCGCCGATAGTCACATAATAGCTGTTCTACACAGCTCACCTCAAGCTCACCACCTACTACAGTACTCTACTGCCCATGCCCTCTCCTCCCACCTGCGACATATCGCGTCAAACATCTTTCTGGTGATCGCTGAAAAGTGACCCGACCAACAAGTCCTCGGAGGCACTCCAAGTGCAGGGCTATACCGAGAACTTGAAGCAACATGTCCGGATTCACGAACACTGCGCGGCTGTCCGCCCGCATGGCGACCAGATGCGCCTCCCGCAACGCAGCGAGAAGAGGATTCCATGTCTCTCAGCGTGGAGCAGCTGCGCAGAACTATACGATGCCCGCGCTATCACCTACCATGACGGAAGGCAATATCTCCAAATGGAATCTCAAGGAGGGAGACTCGTTCGTGGCGGGAGATGTCATCCTGGAAATCGAGACGGACAAGGCGACTATGGACGTTGAGGCACAAGATGATGGGATCCTGTTCAAGATCATCAAGACCGAGGGCAGCAAGGGTATCAAGGTCGGAGATCGGATAGCGGTTACTGCAGATGCTGGGGACGATATCAGCTCCCTGGAAGTGCCAGCTGAAGAAGGTGCTACACAACAGAAGCAGGCGAAAGAGGATAAGCCAATGCCGGCTCAAGAGACGAAATCCCAGGAGCCCGAGAAGAAGGAGGAGAAAGATGCGCCAGTAGCAACACAAAGAGCAGGTCAGGAAGGAAAGCAAAGGGGCGGTCCTGCGACCAGGAAATTTCCGTTGTACCCATCAGTCGAGACTCTGCTGCACCAGAACGGTCTTTCGGCCCAGGACGCAGACAAAATTACAGCCACGGGACCGGCTGGACGCCTGCTGAAGGGAGACGTTCTCGCATATCTCGGAAAGATCAACAAGGACTATCCAGCAGAGGCTTCGAAAAGGCTAGCGAAGCTTGCTCATTTGGACCTGAGCAATATCCAGCTTGCAAAGAAAGTGGAAGCGAAGCCTGACACGAAGCCTGCAGAGAAGCCTGTGCCAGAACTGCCGGCAGAAACGGAAATCGCCATTCCCATCTCGCTATCTCAAGTGATTGCAACGCAGAAGAGAGTCAAGGACACATTGGACATTCACCTCCCTCTCTCCACGTTCATTGCCAGAGCGTCTGAGCTCGCCAACGCAGATCTACCACTCGACAAGCGACGCAAGCCTACCGCGGACGAGCTATTCAACTCCATTCTTGGCCTTGATCAGGTGGTTTCGTCGAAGAATGGTGCCTACTTCCCGCAGATCACTGGGCTGAGTACACCCTCATTGTTGAGGAGTAAGCCGACTAAGAAGCCCGACATTATTGATTTACTGGCACCGAAAGCGAAGAAGCATGCCCCGGTCCCTCCTGCTTCTGTCCCTGCGGGCATATCTACCAGCGACAACATCTTCTCTGTAGTTGCCAAGGACGGCGAAGAGTCGAGGGCGACGGAGTATCTGGAGCGATTGAAGCTCGTGCTGGAGAAAGAGCCCGGCCGACTTGTCCTCTGATTGAAATGTGCGTTGATTTGGCATGGATTGCATGATTTCGCGGTAAGCGTGCGCGCGGCATTTGAGAGAGCAAGGCGTTAGAATAGCGAGCGATGGTCTCGGTCAGGTACATGTAGCTCCTGTCTATGTATCATTGAGCAATATGTCAACATTAACTGAAATTCGGGTAACTCTGTCTCTCAAGGTTTCCGCAGGATGTGGGCAGATAAGGTACCTGGTACATGTATAAATTATGTACATGTACCTTGACGTCGCCACGCGGGGCTTGAAGTGAGTGACGTACAGAAGGCAGATTTTCAGATGCGCGTTTGAAGACAACATCCTTGCATACATGTATCTACCACTTACCTACCTACCTACATCATACTTGTCCATGTGAACATCCAGATCCTCTCCCATCACTTCTTGGTATAGGCACATCGTGACACTACCAAACTCGTCTGTGTTTCCCGGGCAAGCCCATAGCAGCATGGCCGACAAGTACATCCTCCAAGTTACTGCGGGTCCCGACTACAAAGACCAGAAGCCCATCGCTGTCAACTCGGAAAAATCGGTCCAGATCTCCAACGAACATGTCACGGTAGACCTCAGGGTCCGCATCCAAAACTATCGCGGTCTGCCTGAAAACTCACCAAAGACGTCGCCATACTTCGAGCACGAAAAGCATAAGAACGACCTGTACTCGATCGCCTTCACGTTCACCCCAAAGAAAGACCTCAACGGCCACGATGTCGTCTTTGGCAATGACTTCGACCACCCCATCAAAGATAAGCTACCACCGGGCTTCAGTCAAGCCTTCAAGATAGCGACTTGGTATATCGACCCAGGGCTTTACGGCGATGTATATGCGGATGAGCCATACCTCTACAGTCCTCTGCTCAGCTCGATGAACGTGCTGAGGGTGGGGCCCAAGGACGATAGGGAGCAAGAGAAGGTTGAAGAGGTTCGCGCAAACGAGGAGACATTGGTGTTTATGGAAGGTGCGGATGGAGATGGACAGGAAATACGAGATACTCTCGGGTTGCCAGAAGCGGGACCAGCAAGACAGAAACACTTCTTGACAGAGTCCAATCTGAAGGACTTCACTTTTGAGAAGGGAAGAGAATACTCAAACGACTTCTTCAATCCCTACCTGGACTTCAACGGTATGTGTGTCAGCGATGAATCACATACTTAGCGGGACAAGACAACTTTGCTGACTTTATTGTCAGACTTTGCTCTGAAGCTCCCAGGTTTCTACATGATTCCCGGCATTACTATTCCCATCATCAGCCACTGGGATGGGCAACCACTCCGGTGAGTTCTCCTCGCACTGCCTTTGTGTATGCGTTCTTGCTTTTTGCGGGGGAGACAACTAACGTGCGGACAAAGCTCACACTCGCTTAGATACGTGATGAAGAATCGAGCCACGGACGAACCACTCTTCGTTGTCATTTTCAAATTACTGCCTGTAGACAGTGAAGGCAAGCCTATCGAGACTGAAGAAGCAGACGAGGAGAAGGCGGACAAGCCATCCGCTAGCAACGACGACGAGCTGGATTAGGGAAGACCGCTTTCCATGCCAACAAGTCGAGCGCCCATCGCAAAGACCCACGCACCCAGGAGAAATCGAGTTTTCTGCTCCAGAGAAGCAGGTATGGAGGGCATGTTTGAGAACCTCGAGAGAATCCGTATCCATACACGGTGATGTTGCCCACTTGAGAGACCATCGGCTCTCTCGCGACGGTCGAGCTAGAGAGGGTTGTGGGTGTGCTTCTTGTCCCGACGCCCCACATCACTGCTGTTAGAAGTTGCGGAGGCCTATCCCCTGGGCGCTGCGCGTGGCAAGCGTTCTGATTGCCCTCCTGCTGCGAGGCGACTAGGTATTCCCGTAGCGGCCGTAGCCATATATCCAGCTGATTCGACAACGCTGGTTGACGGAACGGATGCCCTCGGAGACAACAAGTACCCCTGGAATATGCACACTGGAAGACGTTTCTGACCATCAAGATGGATCCTCAGACATACCGTGCAAGCTGTTCAAGCGGTTTGCAGAAGGGAGTCCGTGGTTAAGCACCCGAAATAATACCGTGGTAGCCAGTTCCGTTGACATTCCCACACTCTCAGTCATTGAATAGTGATAGGTACAGAGCTTCCAGGGAGTATCCGGAGAGTATTCGTCCATGGATGCGTTGAGCCTGCCATTGCATTTGTCGCAGAGCACAAAGTCTGTATACCTAATATGTGTTATCTGTGAAAGTGAATGGAGGAGCCGTCAGCCGATGTATTCCGAACAGAAGCATGTGACGAGAAAACTGGGGTCCCGGGTCCGAGACAGAGCGGGCAGCTGCATGACGTGCCATCATCTGTCAAGCTCTCCAACCTCGTACCGAAACAACGAACACCGCTGTTGCACCACAACCACCACCACCACCACCACCATCACCACTACAGCTGCAACCACGCTTCCTGCCAAGTCGATATCCACGCCTGAGGACTGTGCGAAGCAGTCCACGGCATCGCTGCCACGTCTCACCCAAAGCACTCGCGTTTCTGCCTGTTCCAGGAGGCATCATCTGACCTGATACGATCTGATCTGATCGGACCCCACCTTATACCATAAACACCGACCGCCTCCCCGCCCTCCACGTCTTTAGTCTTCTCCTAGTCCCCAAACGAACGAAGACAGCGAGCAACAACTGCTACTCCCAGGACCGAGTTGAGATCCCACCGCAGCAGGCGTAACACGAAAGAGTAGAGCAGAGAATCAAGGCGGACAGACAGTCGGCTAGGCCCTGGCCAAGTAGCTGTCCCCGAGACAGCACTCCCAATAACATGGGCCTCGCCTACAACGTCTACCTGTCCGCCAAAAGAATCTACGGCTGCAAAAACTGCAAAACCCACCTCGCAGACCACGATGAAATCATATCTCGCGTACGTCCTCTGCAGCTCTTTTCCTCTTCCCCCATTATCCTCTCCACACACACCCATACACACACCCTCCCCCAATAACTAACACCCTCTTCTCTGAACACCAAAAACAGAACTTCCGCGGCCAACACGGGAAAGCCTATCTCTTCAACAGCGTCGTAAACATCCAACAAGGCGAAGCGGGAGAACGTAACATGACGACAGGCAGACACGTGGTACGCGACATTTACTGTCGACAGTGCAAAGAGATTGTCGGGTGGAAGTATGATCGAGCATATGAATCGACGGAAAAATACAAAGAGGGAAAATACATTCTGGAACAGGAACTGTTGTGTCAGGTGAATTGATTGATGGATTGATTGATGCATCAAATAAACTCCTGGGAGAGAGCGAGAGCGACATTGAGTGAGAAAGGGGAGGCATGATTCTTTAATTTTCGGGAGGGAATACACTGGGCACGGCGCTGTTGGTACTTCCTCGAGACACGAGGTCACATGGAACGGGAAGGTTTGGGATGGAATTGGAATTGGGGCCGCGTATGGGACGGCAGGCGTTGGAACCGCTCTGCTGAAGATGCAGGTTTTTGGGGGGTTGAGGGGTGCCAGAGGACTGGCATCGCGACATCAAGGGTACTACCTAGCTAGGTACCTGATTTTAACGTGGAGCTGTGGTGGCTTGATACATCATCTGCCATGAACAATACAGACCCAAAGCAATCATCACCACAAGAGGCTACGAAAGAGTATGCAACTGCTCCTTCTCATTTCACTGCCTATTGCTACATATCGGAAGTGGTATCAGCGCTATGCATAAGCAGATCCAAGGCTGCGCCCCCTTTTTTGCAAAATGCAGCGACTTGCTACGCCATGAAAAAAACAAACAGACTGAGGGCGCGCCGCCCATACCCCTTCCTAGATGAGCAGCATTACCAGTATCATTTTGATTGTATCGAGGTGGCTTGGGTATGATCGAATAGTGGTGAATTGTGGGTGTTGATGTAAGTCGCGGTTATTGTGTTGTTGTTGTAGTTGTAGTAGAGAGGCCACCAGGAGACTTCATTAGGCATTCGAGGTCGTATGTCGTCGAAGCGTAAAGGTCGTCATGGTCATTACCCGTGAAAAAAAAAGACATAATCGTGTCCAAACGCTGGTCAACGTTTGGGAGGCTGCATGCCACTCTTGGAAGATAGGCATATCGGGAGCAGTGATGGAGGCTATCGTTCAGTGACCCAGCAGCGATGGCGGAATCTGTGCAGACGGCGATCCCACGCTCACACCTCCTCCTCTCTGGCAGTACGGATCAGCACCCTATGCTGCAGCCTCCGGGATTTGGCTTCGACGCATCTTTTCTTGCTCCAGGTTCTCGTACAAGAGATACAAGGCCTTCTCATTGGCTTGTGGACCGCCAGTGATGGTGAACATGCGCTCGCCAGTATCATCGTGAGGTGCCTTGGCAATGGAAATGCGTGCTCCGGAGCTCTTTCGGATCTCGCTGATCTTGCTGCCTCCACGACCAATGATGCAACCAACCATGTCGGCAGGGATGCTGATGTTCTGCGTCTGAATGTCCTCACCCTCTTCCACACGTGGCGGAGGGCCGCTGCCGCCGCCGCCGCCTTCGGATGCGCCATTGCGGCGAGGTGGGTAAGATGCAGGAGCACCGCTCGTGAAGTCGGCACCATTTCCAGTTCTGTTGTAGCTCCGTGGTGCATTGTATCCGCGTGATTCACCAGTGCCATTGAGAGGTGCAGCAGGTGCACCTCCTCCGACACGAACAGAAGGACTGTAGAGTACGGTGCCATATCCGCGCTGCTCATCGTCTACCAAGCACTTGCCAATTTCCCACACAGCCTTTTGAATGCCGTCTGGCGTACCTTGCACCTCGACAATGCGTTCGGTTGATTGTGGAAGCATCTCTTTTTGTGCAACCATGCGTACACCGCTTGCATCTTGAATCTGCTTGATCTTCAGTCCCTGTCGGCCAATGATCGTACCCATCTGGTTGTGTGAGATGAGGAGACGAATAGCTAGGCCTTGTTAGCTGCGGGTCGTGGAGGGAGAGGTGTGGTGGCGGATTGATCTTACGGTGAGTGTTAGGCGCCGCGGCTACTGATCCCCCAATACCCATCTGTGGTGCACCCTTGACCAGGCAGTCTGCCACGAGTCCATAGGCGTCGGCGATGCCATTGAGAATGCCAGTGACAGTCAGGACGCGGTCATGCACGCCCGGCACGACTTTGCTCACTCCAGCGCGCACGCCAGTCTTGTCCCGTAGGTCTGCCACATTCTGACCTGCCTTGCCAATAATCACACCGGCTTCCTTGGACGTCACAATGGCTCGCAGGGTGAGCTGTGATTGAGCATATTCGTCATCGGTTCGCGGTGAATCGTCTTGGAGGTTGCTGGCACCTAGTCTATCGGTAATGGCGTCGACACCAGAGTCCATATGAGGTGAGTTCTGCTCGTCTGCCGACATGTTCTTGATGCAGAAAGTGGAGGGGCTGGGCGGATGGGTGGCTACTTTGGGAGCCGAAGTAGGACCTTGGTAGAGGGTCTGGGGGACGAGAGATAGGCGTCGAAGCTAGGAGCAACGTGAAAGGTGGAGGGCGCGCGGTCGGAGAGGAGCTGTTTCGCGCAAAGCAGTAGCGCGTCAGTACAAATTCGAAGCTCCCCAGCAGCAGGGTGCAAGAAGTGGGGAGGGGTCTGGGGGCCTTTCGTACAAGGAGCTTAGCTCTGGGCAGTTTCGAGCGTGAAAGGGACCGGGGAGAGCGGAGGACGGCGGGAGAGAGGGGGAGTGGTGGTGGTGGTGGTAGTGGAGGTGGTGGGAGTGGGAGGGGGAGTGGTGGTGAAGGAGGTGGTGGTGGCGGCGGGAGTGGTGGGAGTAGTGGTGGCGGTGGGTGGAGGAAGCGGTGGGACGAGACAAGGCGGAGCTATGTTGCTGTTCTCATTGGAGTGTGAGGTGTTGTGTGAGGAAGAGTGGTGAAGTGATGGTTGGTTGGCTGGCTGAGCTGGTGGGAGAGGAAGGAAAGTCAAAGGCAGCTGGCGCTGGGGGCAGGTGTTCATTGTTGCCGCGAAATTCCTGAATAAAGGGCGAAGGGCGGGAAAGAGAGCTCCATCAATTTACCTGCCTGTGCCTGCCTGTGTGCCAACACCAACACCTTTGCACTTGCACCTGCACCACAGTGACTACACCGCACCACCTCACTCCACTGCACTCCACTCCCCTCCCCCCGTCTCCCTCTCCCCTCCGCTCCGCTCCGCTCCGCTCCACTCCTTCCTCGACGTCCAGCAGCACCTGCCCATTTGTGACCGTGTCGCTCCACTCGCATCATGCACGTCCATGGCAGCTGCAGGGGACGCTGGAGGGGCTCCTGCTCTCCTGCTCTTCTCATACGAAGGAAGCAGTAGGAGGCTAGGAGGCAGTCGCCCTCGAGGAAAGGAAGGCAACGAGCCGCCCCTGCCGCTCGCTGCTCACCGCCCCCATACCTGATCTCAGGCCTTCGTATCATCGCCATTAGAGGCTCTTTGAAGCTACATGTACCTACCTCCCTAGGTACATGTATGGTATAGTACATAGGTAGGTTGATAGGTTGGTACCTAGTAGGTCAGGAAGGTACCTACGTGTCCATGTCTTGGTATGGTATAGGACAACTGCATGCAGGGGTAGTCTGCATTGACGCGGCATGTCACTGTTCTTGAGCATATACGACATCAGGGTCTACTATTATCTATACAATCAGAGGCGAGGACGCACTGGTGATACCTCAACGTCAAACCGGTTTGTACCTAGTCTGCACACTGCGGCTTGCTGGCAGTGAACATGTTTCTTGCTCCTACACTCGGGAACGTTTGCGAAGATTCAGGTTGGTCTGGACATTTCCCAAGCCACGTGTATATGCGGAGCACTCGCCACCAGTAAGGACTTTAATCGCTTCATGTACTCAGACCCGACCTCCCTTTCCCCCCGTCATATTCCACGAGCGCGTTCTAGCACTCGCGTCTAGGTCCTCATCAGTGTATCCGCGCCTTGCTGCACTTCTGCACATTTCCACCGACTATGCGAACAACTTCCCCTCTTCCGAATTCTCCGCATCCTCTTCCAACTTGTCTAAACCAAAGTATTGCATCTGAGTGCTCGGCCTCGCCCTCATGTTGCGAATCATGCTCCTCTTTCCCTTATCATTGGAGAGCTGATTCTTGGTCCTGGCCTTCCCTGTGGAACCGCTTGTCTTCGTCACAGGCTGAGGCTCCTCGACCATGGGAACATTAGTGGCGGAAGCAACAAGAGGCGATCGAGCACTTTCCAGCGGCGAGATACTGGTGCTATCAGAGACTTCACCCAAAGCGTGGTTCGGCACGTCTGGCATGGCGGGGATAGGTCCGGATTGGAAGAGCTGGTGTAGTGCAGCGGATTGAGAAGGTCCCGAAGAAGCTGACGTCGCATCCTGTCGGACGTCAGAAGCGGGAGTGGAAAGGTACATGTAGCCCGTTGATGCGTCCGACAACGAGGCCAGAGGAGGTGCAGCAGGCATAGTATTGCTGGGCCCCGAGCGCGACGCGGGCATGGAATGGGTTCTGTCGTGCGCGTGTGCACCAAAGCTGCTTCCTGCCTCGATGTTTCCAGAAGCGTGATTCGGGTAGCTTTCCCTCCTCGTCAAACCGGCCATATTCGACAGAGTCTGACGTTCCAGTGGCATAGACCGGGGCCACATTTGGCGTGCCCTCTGAGGTGGAGCTGCGGCATTATGAGGTCGCATCCAGTCACCATAAGGAACCGCTCCAGCACCACCTGTCGTCGGATGGGGACTGGGTGCTGCGGCAGCATCGGGAATCCCTACTTCACCCATCACAAACCCACCATGATTGTGGTTTCGGTTGAACAAATACGGCTCCACAAGCCCGTTCATAGCATGTGCCGCTTCTGAAGGGTCAATCATCTCCTCGACGCCCCTTCGGATCGCGCGATTCCTCAACTGTTGTTCTAGTTCTCTCTGGCCACCTCCAATTCCATGCCTACTGATATGAGTGTTTCCATTGTGGAGATGATGTTCGAGCATTGCTTCCACATCTAATATGAGTTCTTGGAATGCAGACTTTCGATCTACTCCGAACTGACGGCCCATGAAGCTGTAAATGACCACGTCACTGTCGGCCATGACTGCTAGGGCGGCGCGGTAGGCCAGCAGCTCCATGCCGCAGCGAGGGAAGAACATTTCGACTCGATAGCCTGAGATGGTACGGAAGCCATTCCCGGAGAGAACGATCAACGCAGCGCCTGTGTGTTATAAATACATGCTGTCAGTAAGCCAATAGATTGATCGAGACGAACGCTGGTCTCACTGAGCAGCATCTAACATGGTTTTGTACTGACGTATGAATTCCTGCCTGTCTTTTTTAGTCTTCCAGAAACCCCATCCCACAGGTCTGATGTCCTTTCCCCGCTTGCTTATCTGGTCGTCCGCTGCTGGCAAGATCTCTTCGAGGCTTTTCTGAGCGACAGAAGGTCCTTTGGCACGAAAAGGTATGGCGAGAGAGGTCTTGCGCTTGCGGGACAGGACCTCAAGTTCTGATAGGTCCGCTTCTTCTTCTTCTTCTGACTCAAATGCATGTCGGTCTCCAGTTCTCCTGTCGAGGGCGTGAGCTGTCGACTTGCTGGGAGTGCAGCCCATCTCGCGGTCCTGAGCGTATAGCGTTATCACCCAGCGTGTAGGAGTGCATCAGGATACCGCACTGTGAACGTGCGGCTCTGTACGGAGACACCATAGTGATATCGAATTTTTGCGGCCTTGGCCGGCCGGAACGCTGAGGAATAAAAAGACATAAAGTCGGTATGCAGCAAAATCTATTGTTTCACGAGCATGTGACGAATCGTCTCGCCGACCAATCTAAATCCAGCGAATACATCAGACTTTCCATGGTACCAACGCATTGTCAACCAAGCGGTAAGGCCGAGAACGGGCAATACCGTCGTGACTGCCATGCCTTCAATGAGAACCTTCTTCTGTTTGTTGACGGCCTTGATCACCTCGGAATAGCGTTGATTACTAAAGCTCACTCTGCTGTACTGCGTGGCGAAACCGGTGCTTGGAAGCTTGTCCGACAAGAACTCTTCGATCTTCTTGCGCAATTGGACGATGGTCGAGGTAGTCCCCGCTCGCATGTCGTAAAAATTTGCCATGGAGAGGTCATTGATTGCATGTGCATCCGCAATGCGTTCGCTATTGTACTCTTTCAGTGCTCGAGCACGGCCTTCCCTTGTTGCAGGATTGGAGTCCAGATGTGAGAACAGCACGCGAACATCTTCCAATCCCGCATTCATGCCCTGGCCGTAGAAGGGGACCATTGCATGTGCCGCATCGCCTAGGACTACACCACAGTCCTCGAAATAGTGTGGTGAGCACTTGATGTTGACTAGCGGCAAATGTGGATTCTCCGTGAACTGCTCGCGCATCAACTCTGGTCCGATGAGATCAACAGCACCAGGGAAATGCTTCTTGAAGTAGAGCTCAACTGACTCTGGTTCTGCTTCGAGGGCCTCAAAGTCGCCCGCCGGAGCGAAGAGGGTCGAGGTAAAGGTCTTGTCAATGCTGGGTATCGCAATGAACATTTTGTCCGCGCCAGGCCATATATGTAGGTGGTTTGGACTTGTGCGAAACCCATCCTTTGCAGATGCGGTCTTGCAACTCCCTGCCTTTGCTGGAGGTATCTGGAACTCACACCACAGCGTATCGATATAAGTTTGCTGGAAGTCAAGCCGCACGAACTTCATCATGTGAAAACGCACACTGCTGTGGGCACCATCACAGCCTAGAATCAGATCGAAGTCGATCTCAATCTCCTCGGGTCGTCCAGGTCGTCCACTGAACCGAGTGTTCTCGCTCGGTCGTCTGGAGGTGCCCTTCTGTTCTAGCCAAGCCAATCGTCGCCGAAAGTCAACCCCAGTGATCTTGTGCCCAAAACGCAGCTTAACGTTGGGCATGTCTTCGAGTTCATCCAACAAGCGTGTATTGAGATCACCTCGATCTACGGCATTGATGGCGCGCCCGTTCACATCGTAGGGTTGGGCAACTTCAGTCCAACTGCCACTGGAGTCCTTGCCATGGATCATGCGTCCGTACATGGGTATGGTCGCGTTCATGATGGCCTCGAGAAGCTCGGGAGAATCGGACTGCCGTAAGGCATTGATGCCTCGCTCCGACAGAGCCAGATTGATGCTTTTTGTGAAGTTGAGAGGTGTGGTTGATGCATCTCGCAGATCTGCCAATTGTCAGTCCGGGTAGCAACATATGAGCAACACGAGCTGATCACGGCGACACATACCAGGCCTCAGATCATACACTTCCACTTGCCACCCTCGTCTGGCAGCATAGAGGCCCGCCAGTGCACCCACGGGGCCTGCGCCGATCACCACGCACTTCAAATTGCCCGATTTGGCCATGACCTAAGAATCCAGTACCTTCAGCTAGGATGAGTTTGGTCGAAGCTGTCATTGCCGACCCGGTGCCTTTGGGCTGTTATATATTGTCTATAAGATGACGATGAGTACCGAACAGTCTATGACTGCAACTTCCCGATGACGGGCATGCAAGCTTTTCTTGTCTTGAATAATGCGGGCGGACTAATGGAGGGCGTGACCGGCAACGTTCAGCCCAGCCCGTGCACAAACGTGTCTAGCGTACGGAATATTCTGCCTCAGGCGGCCATGCATAATTTCTACCATGCGAATCCGATGTCATATTTGTGATTGTCACGCATGGCGAGAAAGTGCGACGACGCTTTGTTCAGGACACATTGATCGTCGCTTGCACCTCACCGGCCTTGCGCTCCCCGACACTCGCCCATCACCACGCACGCGACTGCGAATACTCCTGTCATCTTCCCTCGATTGCACACCGTGCCATAACACTCCCCGAGCTCCTCCACCGATCTGAGTACGTAAATTCCAGATATGGACCAGGCGCCAGCCAAAGAGGTAGTCGTGGAGAAGGCGGCCAAATGCGAGGGCAGCGACTGCGAGAATGACGCTGGGACACTCCAGTGTCCGACGTGCCAGAAGCTAGGCAAAACCGCATTCTTCTGCAGTCAAGATTGCTTCAAGAGGAACTGGGTAGGTCAGTGGTGTCCTTGTAGCGTTGCAGAAAGCACGGCCGAAAGCTGCAGTTGCTGGACATTGGCGTGGGCTCATTCAAAATAGGCAGAACACAAGAAGCTCCATAAGGCTCAAAACAGTACGCTCTCCAATATTTTCACACCCAAGGTTGTGTCCTTACCAGACGCAGATGGTCACTTCAACCCCTTTCCTTCGTACGCATTCACCGGCACTTTGAGACCCGTCTACCCTCTATCGGAGAAGCGAACGATACCGGCGAAAATACCCCATCCGGACTATGCTCACAATGGCATACCAAAGAGCGAACAGGTATGGAGAGCTACATGTCTAGAGATGGGCGGTACATACTGACATTGACAAGGTTTTCGTTGGACGCAACAAGATCAAGATTCTCACGAAGAAGGAGCAGGATGGGATGCGTAAAGTATGCCGCTTAGCAAGAGAAGTTCTGGACATCGCAGCACGCGCAGCCAAGCCGGGCGTGACGACCGACCACATCGACAAAATCGTCCACGACGCCTGCGTGGAACGCAATGTAGGTTCTTCCCTTCTCACGCAGGATGTTATAATTATGGGATATTGCTGAGTCTTGACAGTCCTACCCATCACCTTTGAACTACTGCCATTTCCCGAAGTCAGTCTGCACATCACCGAACGAGGTTATCTGCCACGGAATCCCAGATCAGCGACCTTTGCAAGACGGCGACATTCTCAACATCGATGTGACATTATATCACGAAGGCTTCCATGGCGACTTGAACGAGACCTACTATATCGGAGACTCGGCATTCCAGAACCCAGACAATGTCCGTGTTGTGGAGGCTGCGAGAGACTGTCTGGACGCTTCAATTGCGCTCGTCAAGCCTGGCGCACTTTTCCGGGACTATGGTAATACTATTGAGAAGATTGCAAAGACCAGGAACTGCCAAGTCGTTAAGACATACTGTGGGCATGGCATCAATCAGCTGTTCCACACTGCGCCCAACGTGCCACACTACGCGAAGAACAAGGCGATTGGTGAAGCTAAACCAGGCATGTGCTTTACCATCGAGCCCATGATCACGCTTGGGAGCTACAAGGACAAGACGTGGCCGGATGACTGGACAAGTGTCACAGTTGATGGCAAGAAGACAGCACAGTTCGAGCATACCCTGCTTGTAACTGAAGACGGCGTAGAGATCTTGACCGCGAGACTGGAAGATAGCCCGGGTGGAAAGGTGGCTATGCCAGCTGGGTATCTCGCCGACGGCTCTAAAGCTCCGGAAGCCAATGGCAGTACAAATAGTAACGAGCACGCTTGAGGATGCAGAGATTGGTGTTCCTAGCCGAACTCCCTAGGATGACTGTCTCGAAGTTAAAGCACAAGCAGATCACCTTACCTAGTGATCAAGTGATTACAGCGTGCTCAGCCAGAACAGAAAATGGTGCTCACAATGACATTGCTTGTAGATACCATATATGTACCGTCTCACGGTACTGTGGAGGCGGTAGAGGATCAGGTAGCTGAAGCGATGGTCGTGCCTTCCTCGCGACACTCCGGTTCCACTTTTAACGGCCGCACTTTTCAGCACTTCCACATCAAGTGTGCAAATGGAAGCACCCTACCTGTCCGTCCCTAGGTATCCTCACTCACGCGGCGCCTCCATCACCTTTCTCAGCTCCGTCTTTTCTTCCGACGGGTCACGCGTCCCTACCAGCACCGTTCATCAATATTACAGCTCCCAGCCTCCGCAATGGTAAGTCAAGTTTACGCGACTTGACGCGTCTGCTGACACGCGTGCGTTAGTTCTACTCACATGAGGTTCTCACTTCACGCAAGTATGGTGTGGCCACCGTTTGGCTCGTCGCGACTCTGGGAGCGAAGTCTTCGCTGAAGAAAGTCACGCGAAAAGCCATTCTCAACGTCGATGTTGCAAAGGCATGCGACACAATCGTGGCTCCCGAGGCGCCCATGGCTCTCCGATTGCAGTCCAATCTGCTGTGAGCGGCAATGCGATTCAAGCAGATGACTGATCTACTGACAAACGATAGTTACGGTGTCGCCCGAGTCTACGCGCAACAGTGCGGCTACGTCTTGGCAGACGCTGAAGCTGCACGGAACAATTTGCGTGCCATATCCCGGGTCATCAAGCAAGCTGAGTTAGGACCAGAGGGTGCGAACAAGGCTCGGTAAGTGGTCCGCGATATATTTGGTGGTTGAATGGAAGCCAGATGCGTGCGGCAGCACCTCGAACGCGCACCTTTGAGAGCCGTGTAGAGCCGGTTTGAACTGACTTTCGCTCAGCGCCGACGAGCTCATGCTCCAAGACGATCCCAACTTTGCTCCGGACCTCGATTTTGTGGTGGCTGATCTCGAAATGCTCAACAATAATCTCATGGCCGAGACCCAGCAGTTCAGCCAGTCTCCGAATGGGAGCCGATCGCTTACTAATGCCTCCCAGCAGAGCATCGGAGGACTGATGATACCCACATCGAACAACTCATTCGGCGGCGGTCCTGTTGGTGGTCGGGATCTGTTTGGTGTGCGTGGCGATTCGGGTCATGGAACTGCAAAGACCCCAGCGCGACTGCTAGATGATGACGACCTCGGTCTTGACTTGGGCATGCCAGTCATGAGCTCTGGCCCAGTACGTCAACCACGCGGACCAGCCACGGGAGCTGACCGGACAGATCCAGCGAGAGACGCCGAGCGGATTCAGAGCGAACATGCTGATCAGCCAATGGTGAGACCCCTAGTAGACAAACCTCACAGCCCCTTGTTTGCTCAAACGTGATTCACTTCTGACACAAGCCCACAGATCAGCCAGGACGAGGATCTCATGCCACCTGACGATGCATATAACCTCGCGAGCGACCACGGTCAGGATCCCACGCAAGAGGCTCAAGATCAGACTCGACACGAGACCACCTCGGAGACTGCCACAGCAACGAACATGAAACAGGCACGCAAAGTCGCTAAGAAGGTGATCCAAATGGACATCACCACTTCGATGGGGAACAGGATGCTCAACGAACAGAACCATAACTACCTGGATAGGATGCGTGATGAAAACCACAAGCATCAACAGAGAAAGCTGGCCGCAATTGCAAAGAGGAACGCGGAGCTTTGGGTCTTGGGCACTGGTACCATTCTCGCACAGGGTATGCTTGGCCCGCTGGACATGTTTTCTGGTGCGGCACTCCTCAACGCTTTCATAGGCGTCAACCTCACCGGGGGCACAAAACGATCCCGTGATGAGGCCGAAAGCTCAGAGGACAGTGAAGCGAAGCGTTCGCGCAACACGCCAACGCATGATATTGGCCGCAGGCTCGAGATGCAGACTGCAGGTAGTGACGAATTCCTCATGGTTGATGATGACACCATCGAGCGCGGACGAGAAGCCCCAACACCACTTGACGATCGCCAGCTGTCAAGCTTGTTACCGTGGAATCAAAGTCACGGTTCTCGTCGACCGACTGATGTCAACCAGCCAACTTCAGCATCCTTTGGAGGAGGTCCGTTACTCAACATCACCGGCCGTCGTGGCAGTCGTCTCACCACCGCTTCGCCACTCGTGGGTCGCGGCGCCGTTGGCGATGAGCTCGACGATTTCCAGCTGGCTCCTGGATCAGATATCAACATGACTGGTTTGAACGATGAAGATGAGTTTGCGCTGTACGGTGTGGCAGCGCAAGTCGATACTCAGACTGCCGCCCAGACTCAGTGGCAGAAGACTGCACTCACTGGCGAGAGCGCCAACTTTCTCGAGTTTGTGCAGACTGCCATTGATGAACAAGAAGACCGCAACCAGGGCGAGAATGTCGATTTCGAGACCCTGCTGCCACCAAGAGATAACAGCCACATCGTAGCTGCTCAGGCCTTCCTGCATGTACTGAGCCTAGGTTCGAAAGGTGCCCTGAGGGTAGGGCAAGAGGAGCCTTTCGGGCCTCTTGTTTTGGCCGTCGACGTTGGTGCGGCATAATGCATTCACAAAGCCGAAACGATGTCTGCGATGATCGTCCTGCGGAGAGGACAACAAGCAATGTTCAGCAAATTTTTTTGGAAGCAAGTCATGGTATCACAGCAACTGTGACAGAAGAAAAAAAGTAACTGTAAAGAGGAGAGACAAAAAGCTGTGAATGAAAAATATCAGAGGGATGTTTGATGATACCCAAGTTTTGCAGGAAGCGCATGGAAAGATGAAAATAATTCAGCACGAGTGCATGTATGGAGAGCGGCCTACTTCTGAGCTGTGTATACTTACCTTACCTACCGTATGTGACTAACCTTTCGACAACCTCTCCATATCCGCTTTCTCGCTTCTTGGTTGCATGCACATTTAGGTATACTTGCCTGTACTTACCTATCACTTACATGTACCTGAGATGACAAGAGTCTCGGTAAGGTACCTATCAAGATCGCGTTCATGCTTTCTGAAAAACTATCAAGGTACGATATACTAAGCTGTAGTAAAAAGCGTTGTAGTATCGCAGTTATCACTAGGAGGTAGAAGAGTCTACTACATACAGGTACCTATCCAGCTGCAACTCCCATAACGTGACGAACACAACATGCGGTCCACGGATTTCCCCTCCTCCTTTTTTCTCGGTTTCCTTTCGGCTCCGCCACAGTGCCGGACTCCCTCCTCTCGTGACTGTACCCTTGTTTGGTAAACACTATCCCTTCCGCATCCCACCTCGTCCCTCTTGACTCTTTTGTTGTGTGTGAGAAAGGCGTGGGGGTTCGAAGTTTCGGCTGACTCGCACTTTTTGGTTTTGCGCTTGGGTAGGGAAGAGACTAGTTAAGGTATCGGACTATCGGCATGGGTCATGGATGCAAGGCAGGGAGGTACCTAGACGAGCGCTTAGCGCGTCTGTTGGGGAGAGTTCACTGGAGCTTCAGCTCTCTAACTCTCTCGAGCTTGGCTGTATTGATTGGATTGTGATTGGGTTGGCATACCTTACCTGAGGCTCACGCGAGGATACGAGTGTGAAGGACTCATTGTTACCTGAATTATTCCTCTCGTTGGAGAAGGAGAGAGAGAGAGAGAGAGCACATCACTTCCTACCTACCTTACCTAGGTGCCGCATTCGCTTTCCATTTTACCTTACAGGCAGCTTTTCTCAGCCTGTGCTGTGACACACAAGCCGACACAAACAAAAGCTACGCCCAAAAGAATTTCGTCTTGTTTTTCTTGCTGATTCCATGCTTCATTACCCAGTGCCTAAGGTAGCATTGCGTTTAGACGCCCTCGTCCGCGGCAAAGAGAGAGAACAGTACCTGTACCTGGGCGCTAGGCCGCACTGATTGGGTTCAGATACACGCGCAGAGATCGGAGGCGACGAGAGCTGGAAGGCTCCCCGCGCGCTTCGATCCAGAGAGAGAGAGAGAGAAAGCGAGAAAGCAAGAAAGAGAGCAGTCGCGGCTACTTTGGTACCTGCATGTGAATTACACGTGTTTGCCCCCTCTCCTGTGGGCAATGGCGTGGGTCATGTAGGTACTGTAGGTAGGTCAGGTAGAGCTCCTCCTCACTTCTTCAGTTACCAGCTGGGAAGAGCATGCAGCCTGCTTTCCAGCTTTAGCGTATTCAGCCCACTTCCACGCTACCCTCTGCCGGATTGATGCAAACATGGCCCTGGCTTCCTCCGAGAACCACGAACGGACCTTTCACAACCAAAAGATCTTGGGTAGCGCGCAAGTTCGCGAACGCGGGAAGTCGGAGTAGTGGCCGGCAGTCTTTTCGTCTCATTGCATTAGCTTGTCCGGGACTACTGAAGTCGCATGGGGGATTAAGGTCGAGCTAGAGGACTTTCACATGCAGTACTAACCTGGAACCTAAGGTGCAGGTAGGAGAGAGTTCGGTGAGGTACCAGAAACTTTCTCCTCGTCGTGGCCGGCAGGTAGGAGGTAGGGTAGCTAGGTAGGTAGGAGGTAGGAGTCTGGTGCTCGAGATTCAGGGTCCCAACACTACTGCGAACCTGCCCTTAGCAAGCGCGGGCGAGCCAGTTCCTCGGAGTGCCTTGCCGTCTTCTCTTCACCCCGATGATTCCAAAATATAAGGTACATGACCTTACCCAAAGGCAAGGACTGCAGCCGGGCGTAAGCCAACCGCAAACTGCGATGAATCTGATGATAACGGCCGATACTGAAGAGATACATGTCAGATACATGTACCTCAGTGCAGGTGCCAGTATCTGGTATATCGATGAGAGTGTCTTCCCGCTCTGCTATCACACCTGTTTGCAATCAGAAGGAATGGGACCGCGATCCTGCAAAGACGACACACTGGTCCAGCTGGAGGTGATGCTGCAAGTACTTGTACATGTACCAGTCGCATCTCCTCGAGGACGGGCCGCACACATGTATCTTGATGATGGCTCCCGATCTGGACAGCATTCTTCGCGATTTCAAGTATAGGCGTCCAGGCCGAGCATTTTCGTTTCTTCTTCTTATCGTTCTTATCTGGATACATCATCATCATCATCATCATTGGGTATACACGTGGTCTTTGCCACGTCCTGTAGTGAAGCTCTGGTGAGGGAGAAACCTAAGAAATACCTACATGTACATGTAGCCCTTACCAGTATGCTGAATCAATCACGTCCTCATGTGGACGATATATCGACAAAACGCAGTGTACTCGGATCTGTCGCAGCTGGCTTCCAGATGATTGATGTTTTTTTTCCCCTTTTCCTTTGTGCGGTTCATCAGCGCACAGTGCACACCTAGGTACCTACCTAGGTCCCTTTCCACTCCAAGGCCTCATCGCATTCCGGCCAATCGACTTTCAGCAAATGAAAACTCAGAGGTACGTCCTCGGCTTTGACGGGCTTGGGCCAGTCGGAGCAGGTTTCCCACATTACACAATCACCTAATTACCTGCAGTCTGCCGGCCCTGCTGTGGACCGGGACGACCATATCTACCGCCGCCGGCCGGGTACCTACTATATGTCGTATAAGAGTACATCATCGTGCAGACTTCCTGGTACGTTTCCGACTTTCCGTCACACTACTAGTACATTGACGTTTGACGGAGGGATCGTGCGGGGAATCCGGGATGCTGTGACAAGGGAGCAGTGGAAAGAATTGGAAATGAAGTAATCCAATAGTCGAGCATGATGTAGGGACATTGTAGGGACATTGTCGGTCAGATTGACAGATTCTATTCCTCCGGTACTAATCAGGTAACTAAGGTCGAAGGAGGAACTACCCGTGACCGCAAGGCTTGAACCAGTTATTGTCTCGGCTGGCCCCCCGACTGTGCTACCGCCTACCTCCTTCCCAAAGCAGTAGACCAGCACGCGACCTCGGCGACGCTGCCGATCCGCTCAATGGAAGATCGACGCTCTCAAGACCCTGGGACGCCCGGTCTGGGGACATCCAGCAGGACTATCCATACATTCGATGCTGAGTGCTGACGAGATGCTCTCGGCACTCCAGATGTTCAGGATGCAAGGCAGCGAGTCAGGATCCAGAGGAGCCAGAAGGCACTAAGACTGGACTTTGACCCGGATCGCGTGGATCTGACACTAGGGCCGTGGGGGTGCACAACGCTCCACAGCGCCATGCGGAGAGTCGACGATGACCGATTCGGTGCAGACGTCGATTTGCAGAGACGGTGTGACGGACCACTCAGAGCCATTGTGCTGACCCAACACGGAGGACTCATATGCACAGTATGTGTAAGCACGCGTAGACGCGCACTGTGCCTCAATATGCAGAAATTGGAAGTGTGTTTTTTTTGTTCTGTGGAATTGTTTTCCATAGAACGTCGTGCACAGGTGCGCTACGCTGCACGCCCGGGCTTTCGCTGGCGCTGGCGGTGACGAATGGGCAATTTCGACGGGTTGTACAGCTTATTCTAGCTCTCGGGGGTCGTCTTGTCACATGCCTGGCCCTGGGCGAAGTGAGTCGAAGGTGTGGGAGTTGTAGGCAATTCATTATTCAAGGCTCACGCTCCGCAGCGCCCGTCTCGCGTAATGGGGGAACGAGTGAGGAAGGTGGAGTGGCGCCAACCACAAATAGCAGCTCCCCAAACGGACGACTGACACACGGGAAAGCCACCATCTCTCCCTTCCCTCTCCCGTCTCCAAGAGGCGCCTTCCGCTTGCGTGGGATGGTTGCCGCAGACAGGAAAGCATCATCGCTTTGCCTCCTGCCTGCGCCTGCCTGAGCCTGCCTCACTTCCCATTTTTACGAAGGGGAAGGGGAAGGGAAGGGACGGGCTGGGCTAGGCTGGGCTGCTGACGTTCTCCTCACCTTGTCATGTCGCATGTCACGCGTGCGTGCGTGTGCGGGCGTACGTGCGTGCGTGCGTTGCTGCTGCTGCTGCTGCTACTGCTGCTTTCTGCCGCTTCTTTACATATGTACCTAGACCCACCCACTGGCCTCACAATGGCTCGCCAGTGTCGCCAGCCTCGCCACGGCCTGTCCTGTCCTGTCCTGCTCCTGCTCCTGCTCCTGCTCCTGCTCCCGTTCCTGCTGCTTCTGTTCCTGTTTGCTGAAAATACGACGTATCACCCTTCCCGCATATCACGCGTCGTACCTGCTCCTGACAAGTCATATTCACGGCCTCGCCCCGACCTTGTGCTACAGTACCTGCCTGCACTATTCCCTACGTATTCAATTCCATCCGGCAGGAGCTACCTGTATCTCCTGACCTGACACGGTACAAGAAGTCACTCCTCGGCCCTCACACTGCCACCATCCTTTCCAACCAAATCAACCACACCAACCAAGCAACCACTGAGCGAAGCAACATGTCTCCGTTCATAATGGAGCCGTACCGACCCACCCCCTCTCCTCCACCCAGACGCAAGCCACGCTCGAGCTCCTTCTCCGTGTCTCTGGCCAAATACGACGACATTCGAAGACTGGTCGACATCGAATTCTTCGCCTTCGAAAAGGAACGAACTAACCACATCCTGTCCTACCGAGACTACCGCCAGCCAGCACATCTCGAGCGGGCGGTACGGTCCTACCAGAGCGCCATCAGCGGGTCCGATGCCAATCGCAGACGCCGAAAGTCTGCCTCTGCTCGTCGACTGGATCGTCGGTCGAATGGCGATGTCGTCAGGTTTCGCAAAGTGACGGACAGGGAGACTGGTCTGATCATTTCATGGGCAAAGACGGAGACGAAGGCTTACACGCAAGATGAGCTGGCGAGTCCGGCAGACAGCGGACATGAGAACGAGGCTCTCATGAATCGGGACTGGTTTGCGCTGAACGAGAAGCTCAAGCGAGACTACATGGGGACCCAGAAGCATTGCTGTAAGAAGATGTTTGATTGCTGCGAGTATTTGCAAGGATCGCACTAACCGACGTTTTTTTTTTTTTTTTGTTTTCTCTTACAGATATCAGCATGCTGGCCACGCAGCCGACCTACCAACATCACGGCGCAGGAACAATGCTCCTCGAAGACATTCTGACGGAAGCTGACGAGGCGGGTGTGGAGTGCTATCTGGAAGCAACGGATACGGCCAAGCCACTCTACGAAAGACACGGATTCGAAATGGTGAATGAGCTGCGATTTGACCCATCTGCATATGGAGTGTGTGGTTTCAGTGTCGAGAGACAAACCATCATGGTGCGAGGGGCATTGGACCGTGTTAGTGGACAAAGGAAGCAGGTGCGATCATGGGCCGAAGCGACTGGAGGTCCGGGCTCGCCAACAAGCGAAAGCGACGGCGCCTAGAACGGAGGTGGCTCCTGGCCAACCTTCATCGCTCGACTTTCAACAACAACATCTTCCGACCAACATTCATCTTTCCGGCGTGGCGTGGTCTGGTCTTTCAGGCGTCGAGGCGCTTCGGTTCTATCTACGGTCCAACACCAAAAAGCTCCAGATATCCATGATTCAAGCGGCGGCGTTCGTGTACAAAGTATCTGACATGCATTGGTAGATAGGCCCGGCAGTATTGCCCTCTGGCAAGCAGTTCCCGAGAAGAAAAGTACTTTGTGATCCATCCCTTTCATCAATGAGCCATGACCTGTCGAATGCTCTTCTTGTGCAGCCTTGCCAGAGCAGTGCCTGCGAAATAGCGTCGCATCCTCTTCCCGAAGAACATGAAGAGCAGGACGCACAGATTGTTGCCCAGTAGCACTCCACAAAAGACGCCTGCAATGATGACAGCGTACCCTGACTGTTGCACCCAGTCGAGCAGATATACTCCGAATGCGAAGCTGATGAGCTGCTTGCCAACACACATGGCGATGAGCATCTCCGAGACGTTGGCATTGTACGAGTCGACGGCATACGCTAACGTTCCCGTGAAGTAGAAATCTGTCATGGCCATCATCATCAGCATCACCGTGAGCGACACACAACATCTCAGCAAACCGCCACTGCGAATACTTACAGGCCCCCCAATTACACATGGCAACCCCAAAGAAGTAGCCAATCCAGTGCAAGTGGCGCTCGGCAGTCATGCCGTACACGATCAATCCCGCCGGGGCGATCAATGCTGCAGGCAGCATCACACCGAGTCTCATCTCCGCCTCTCGGATATCTCCGTTACGCTTGGTCAGGTAAGCTGCAAGGCGATCGAATGTGAACAACAGGGGAATGGCCAGCGCGTATCCGATGACATTGCCCAAGCAAACGAGGCCCGAGTTCTCCTGGGACCAGTTGTACGGAGGCACGGTGATCAACATGGGGAATGTGTAATTGAAGGTCAAAGCCCCCAGTCCAATGTAGATGCCATATGTACTGACCACCCACAGCACCGAAGGCACCAGGAAATACGAAAAGGAACGAATCGCCGTCCAGAAAAACTCAACCTCGTGATCGACCGGGCTCCAGAAGGTGACAGTTTGCCAAAAGCTCCGTCGCGCCGGGATGGGCACATAGCTGATCTCGACATGCTCGGTGTGATTCTTTGACTTTTCGCTGGACATTTCCAAAGCGTCAGAGGTCGGGGGTGGTCTTTTGTATCCCGACTCTTCGACGAAGAGGAATGCCGTGATGAGCAGGGCGCCCGCGAGGGCAATCTCCACGTAAAAGTACAGTCTCCAGCTGTAGCCTCCTGCGAGCTACAATCGGCACATTGTTGGGTCAGTAGGTGTAAGTCTATGCGCGAAGTTTTCCATCACAGATCTGTTCTTTGAACTTGCCGAGTGAGACATGGAGCTGCGGTAAACTTACCATGTAGCCAGCGTATAATGGACCAGTAGCTCCCAGGCAGAGAGCAACGGTATATATGCCTAACTTGGTTGCTCGTTCGTGCACTACACGAACACCTGTCAGTCCCCATGTCTCGAACCATCTGTTGCCCCACGAGCAATGACCTACAATAGAATATGTCGTTCACCAGCTGGACCGGTCTGTGATGATGGTGAGCAAACCTCCTCCAGAACAAATGACTGACTCTGACACTACACGCAGTGATGCGATGCAGATGGAACCCGGTTGGAGCACACTTACAATGCTTCGCACACGCCGCTCGCGAGACTAGCAAAGATGCGCGCGGTCATGAGTCCCCCATATGATGTGGCTTGACTGCAACCGATCAGGCCGGCGAGATAGACGACCAGACTCAACAGCATGACGGGTCTTCGTCCAAATTTCAGATACATGGGTACGGTGATGAGTGTGCCGCAGCCGTAGAGGATCTGTTGAAAGCATAGAATTTCTCACAGGTCAGTTTTCAAGACGATTGATCTTTCAATTGCACACACACACACACACACTCTCTCTCTCTCCGCATGCTATGGCGATCAACATCTGATTAGAAAATGAAAAACTCACATTCGGATACGAAATCAAACCCGAAGCTTTCGTCGGCGTAATCCCAAATTCCTGCGCATAAATCCCAATATACGTCGACGGGCCCAACAGCGCCGTATTCGACACAAACGAATACAGCGACACCACCACCAGAATCGTCGTCTTCTTCCACGCCTCCCACTGCAGAGGATCATTGGGGTCGTGCGATGGGACGGGGAATAAGGCTTGTCCTAAGGCCACGTCGTCGCCTTCGGCTGCCCGTAGGTTGACTGTGCCCGGGACATCGCCTTCGGTGGCGTGGCTGCGGGCGAGGTGGAGGTCGGTGTAGTTTTTGTTGTTGTTTCTGTTGGAGGTGGAGGTGGACATGATGATGGTGGTGTTGGTGTTGAGGATGATGTTTGATGAGGATGAGGATGATGAGGATGATGATGAGGATGATGAGGATGACGAGGATGACGATGAGGAGGATGATGAGGATGATGAGGATGATAAGGATGATGAGGATGATGAGGGTGATGAGGGTGATGAGGATGTTGCTGTCCAAGGGGAGGGGGGTAGGTATGTATGTGGGAACACAGATGGAAGGAGGAGCTCTCTCTGTGTAATGATATGAAAGAGCTCCTTTTCGTACCTAAAAAGTACAAAAGTTTGACAAAGACGAAAAGAAGAGGGAGAAGAGGGAGAAGAGGAAGAAGAAGTTGCACACCTCTACTGAATCGATACTGTTATAGGAAGAATCAACTAGGTACTGAATTCTACCTTGCCGCCAGAGGGTGAGTAAGTAGGTAAGTACTAAGTAGTAAGTACTTCGGCATCTCCAATCTTCACAACAGCCGCGATGTGATTTGATCGCAAAGAAAGAAAGCATTCAAATTCTACCCAACTACCTGAACTAACTAACTACCGACATAATACTGATCGAACGAGCCTCCCTCTGAGAGTGACAGCTGACCAGACAAGACACACAAGACAGACACAAGTCACCCCAAGCCAAAAGAAAAACCAAAAAATCGTCGACAAAAAGCGAGACAGTCGGAAATTCGGACTTAACACATCTTCAGTCTTCCGGTGCCTTGCCAAGACGAGAACCTCCCCAAAGTCCCTACAGTATACCTCCTATCATCAGGGCTTGGACGAGAGAAAGAAAGAGAGAGAGAGGGCTCTCTCGTGGCGTGCGGGGGAAATCGATGAATGAGTGAGACATTTTTCTTAATCCCTGAGGATAGATAGTTTCTGAGTTCTGACTGCCCCATGGGGAAGGCAGGGAATGCAGGCCAAGAGACCAGTAAGCAAGGGTGTGAGAGGAACGATGGGGGAGCCGGGGGATGGGGCTCGCTTAGAGATTACTTTTGCTGTTCTCGTTCGGAGAGAGAGAGAGAGAGAGAGAGAGAGGGAGAAGAAGAAGAAGGGACAAACATCTTGGTATCAAAAAGAAAAAGAAAAAGAAAAGATCTCCAACTCAATATTCTAAAAAATCATTCTCTCTACTAGGTACTAAATCGACAATAGATGAAAACCCCTTCTTTATTGATTTTGATTTGTATATATTATATATCACCTTCCAGGTAATAGATACCTATATTACAGTAGATTGGACCGCATACCAACCCCAATTTTCTTTTTTCTCTCCCACTCTCCCACTTCTCCCCCTCATGCCAGCCAGCCAGCCAGCCAGCCTGCCTGCCTGTCTACCCCTAGTATGTATACAGTAGGTACCCTCCTACAATGGATATCCTTCTAGATTTTCCCGAACCCCTCCTTCTCCCCAGCAAGTGTTTATTGTTGTTGTTTTTAATCAGAACTTAAACTCCGAAGCCTCGTACGGAGTCGTGTACCCGGAGAATAAAAGGACAGGGCATGTAAAACTAATGTTAGTTACCTTTTAAGTACCTACTATACTTGATACTACCTACCTACCTGCTTACCTACCTACCTATTCCCAGCATCGTAGGTACTGTACTGTATACGGAGATCTAACGAACCCACGACCACGACCACGCGGGGGAGGTAGGCAGATTTTCTCTTGGATAATGAAATAAGATGAGATGGGGAGGGTATGGGGGGGGGGGGGGTATGTATGGATAGGAACGGCACGACAGGGCAATTTTTGATGTTTCATGCGTCACGACCTACGTCTACTACATGTATATGTACAGGTAAGGTAATCGAAGTGTTGGATGAAGTAGCGATATAACCGGTCCCTCGTACGAAGCCATCGGACTCGGACGGACGAAGGAGGGTTGGCGTCTTGGGGTTGGTTGTTGTTGTTGTTGTTGGGTAGCTACATGTATAATGTACCTACCTGCAACCTGTATACCTGTATACCTGACTAGGTATGTAAGGTGAGATAAGCCACTGTGAGACTTGGGCTGCAATGATAGTGATTGAAGTCTGAGATGGACATGTGGGGAATATGGAAGCCGATCATATCTGTGGTATTATATTGCCGGGGACTCGCGAACAGCCAGCCAGCTACCTTCTAGCTACCTTGGTTGATTCTTTTGCTCGCTGATGGAGTAGTGGTATCTCCTGGAGGTGAGGGTGGTATATATTATAGGTATATCCATTACCTAGGTAGGAGGTAGGCAGCATGTGACATTGGGAGGCTGATTCTCACAACACCACAGTGATAATTACCGCCACCACCACCACAACATGATATCCACCACCACCATCATCATCATCTTGTAAAGTCAGGAATGGCGCTTTCTCCCAGCCATGAAAACACACAAAGGAAGATACATGTGTGACCGCGTTGTGACTGACACCAGGAAAAAGAAAAAATAAAAAATAAAAATAAAAATAAAACAACAGCTCTCCCACCCACCCACACATGCATCCAACTACAACTTTTTGAAAAATTCCAACACACTTTTCCTCCGATGCGACTTTTCCTGCCGCTTGATCACTTTGACAGCATCCGCAACGAGATGTCCCGTCTCTAGGGCAGAACCCCCCTCTTGCGCAGCAGGATGGTCACCCTTTGTCCGCGCAAACAAATGCAAGCCATGGTGCGACTGCGACGCATCTCCATTCTCCGATCGTTGGATCCAGTCCGGCCGATCATTCGGCATTAACTTTGGTCTCGGAATACTACTCACCGACGCCCTCGAGCTTTCCTCGAGTTGCGGCAGAGCAGACTTCTTTACGCGGTCGAGACTGTGGCTGAGATGGACATCCTGCAGCGCCGGATTCGACGTCCTTCGCTGGAGGTGGAAGTCGCTGTGCGTCGTCATGTCGCTCGGATATGACATTTCGAACATAGAGCGTCGTTTGGCCGCATCTCCGGGTCGGTATATTGAGTCGCGCTTCCCCAAGGCTCTGCTCCCGGACGGCTTGGCTTCGGGGATAATGGTCGTCGGTACGCCATCTGGTTTGTTCAATCCCACACACATGGCCGCGTATACATGGCTCTTCTCCATGAGACGACTGCTGCCATCGTGCGCGACTGGTTCTGCAATCGGTTGAATCCTTGCCACGTGATCATTCCGGTTCGTAGGCTTCGCACTAGCAGGTGTAGCAGTGGCTACAAACTGCTTTGCTGCAAACTTGGGCACGAACTGGACCTTTCTCGCGTTCGTGTCATTCCTCCTGTCTCGGCGGATCCTGGCCATGTCTTGCTCCCTCTTGTATGCTTCCAGCTTCCTGGACAACAGTGCTGTGTCCAGACTCATGATGTCGAGATCTCGGCGCCCTCGCGCTCTACACCTTGCGGGCTGCGAGATGTTCGTCAGTCATATGAGCGAGACACCGGCAGTGACCAGCTCTGCTCACCGCTTGTGCCTCTATTGCTTACATACACAGACAGGAGCCGAAGATCGCGGTGTCTGTGGTCGAGACGTCTTGCCGGATAATCGGATGTAGCTGTCAATATATGCCACCTGCCACCTCTCCACAACCCCAATGTCGATCACAGTACTTGCCTATTTCCTGCAATTTGCACGTGGTCTCGTGGCCCCCCCAGAATCGGCTCTCGCTCGCATATCAAGGAGGTACATTGACCGCCGTCGTGCCCAACGTGAGAGAGTGCTTCTGATCGTTACGCTAGTGTAGCTTGGTGACGCGCAGTGGAGACAACGTTGGCGCCATTACAAGTCACAAGCGTAGCACATAATATAAATTCATTGGTTGATCTGGAATCAAGTCCGAGCCAAACGCCTCTTTCATACCCCTCTTCTTTGTCCAGTGACTCCAGTGTCCTCAGTTTGCAACTGAAACTGGACTGGCTTCGGACACTGACTCAGCAAGTCGCACGGCACCACTGCCAGTCTGCTTGAGATCGGCCATTTGCTGCAGGAGAGGCGAAAAGCGACACGCTTGTGCGAGTAGCGTACTGCCATACTGTAGGAGGTAGAGGTACCTCCTAGCGACGGGGAGCAATTCAATGTCAACAACACAACACCTTCCAACATGAAAGATCGCCTAAGGTAATTCTAGCGGGCTCTCAGCCCAGCTTTATTTCAGCAGGCAGGCTCTAGAGGCTCACAGACATTGGCCGGTATACTACCGTACTGTGCGGGCGCTGCTGCTGACGAAAGTTGCAATACGAACATCTCTGCGCCAACAGGCTGAATCAAAGCTCAACGGTGCCTCGCAGTCTGGAACTGTCGTCAATGGCACACGTCTCTCCATACTGCAACCATCTTTACCATGTCGGCACTTGCAATCTGGTGCATACTCATGGCACTCTGCGCAATGTACAGCAGCTTCCTCACTGTGTTTGCATTCCAATGATGCATGGCGGCGTCATGGTCTCCTACAGGCTTCGTCAATGATATGTTGCGTCGATATGGCCGTCATTGAACCACCTTCAATCAAGCTATCTTATCCATACTGCCTGGACTGGGACTCGTAGGAGGCACCTCGCCCTTCTGGTTCCGCAGCTTCTCTTCAAACTTGGCAAACTCTTGCATAGCGATCTCCTCTTCTGGATCCATTACTTGTTGCACACCTTTGACTTCCTCAATATAGTGCATCAACATGCTCTCGATGCCATTCTTCAATGTCACCGTGCTGCTGTCGCACGTCCTGCACGCCCCTCGCAGCTTGAGCAGCACTTGCCCATCGTGAAAGCCCCTAAAGTCAATGTCTCCACCGTCTTCTTGAATGGCAGGCCTGATGCGCGTCTCCAATAATTCTTGGATCATCCCGACCACCTCCTCATCCTCTGGCGCATATGTGACTGCCTCGTCGCCTGATGACTGGCCATCGTCGCCCGCTTTATTTTCAACCGTGTTCACAATTTGCTGCCCGCTCGTGACAGCCTCGGTGATGAGACTGAACACTTCGGGCTTGACGTGCGCCCACGGCGTCGAGGTATCCTTGGTTACAGTAATGTAGTCGCGGCCATAGAAGACGCTCGACACGCCGTCTACATTCATCAGCTGCTGCGCGAGCGGAGAGGGGTGCGGCGGTGCCAGCGTCGAGCGCGGCGTCATATATTCGAGGAATGACGAAGAGAAGTTGTCGGGCAGGATTTGGTGGTTGGGGATGAACTTGAGCGCATCGGCGTTGGGCGTGTCCTCGGTCTGAATGAATATCGTGCGCCGCGCTGTACTACTGGCGCTCGGCGGATGATGTCGCTGCAGTGTTGGCCGGAGGGAAGAGGCTGAAGAGGACAAGGTGCTTGCGCTTCGGATTGCGAAGCTGGTGTGGCTGATGCGCACGCAGCGCTCGACGGATGTGCGGATGGCAGGTCGTCGGAGAGCCTGTGTGAGGGCACGAGTCGCAGGCTTGGACGACATGACGGCGAAGAGTCTTAGGATGTTGTTGTTGTTGTATCTTACAGGTTCTTCGCACAGTGAGAACTGTTGTGGAGGGTGGATGGAGGAGGCAATTGCTGGGATCGGCGGTTACGTAGGCTGAGTAATCACGAAATCCCCATTTCACCTACATGTACCTATCCCTATGTAGGTCATGTACGTTTACCTATCACTATACGCGCTGTTCTGAGCAAAGGCTGCAAAGTCGAGTCCACTTCGTACTGGAATTTCTGCTGCCTCTGTCCTCGTCCCTTCGCCTGCCGGAATGGGCGCTGCTGACGCCGTGGAAGCGCCTACGTAGCGTGCAAGCACATTCGTGTCGGTCTCGCGTTGTTGCAATGCCGGTCGGAAAGCTAAACCTGCTGCTGTGCTCTCTCTTTCAGGCTGCATCGCGATGCCTTCTGCCTGTAACGGGGAGTGCAGAGTGGGCAGAGCAGAGGCGGAAGACGACGGCGCTGAGAGCGCCGCTGTCTCAGACGGTGTGACCGACGACTGGTGCTCGATATTCAGCGCCAGATTGCTCGGGATGTTCATTTTCTTATCGTCCTGCCAGAAGACCTGACTCCACCAGCGTACTTCCAGGTCTCGCCCAGCCGCGGACCGTTTGGGTAACAGCAGGGAATCGTGGAGCTTAGGTGCATAGTTGGGATTCGAGAATTCTCCTTGCCTTGCTACAAAGTGCGGCCATACAGAAGGCAATAGATGTCCCTGTGCTGATCGTTCTTGCTCGTTATTGAACAAGAACTCTCCGTATTGGCACGAGTAGACCTGATAGAGCAGCCGCCTTAGATACACCTCGTTGAACTCGAAGGCTGTCGGGTACGAGTACTGCAGCTGGTAGACTGCGTCTAGGAATTGATGGAAAATGGGTGCGATCTCGTCTTCCTTCACCTTATGCTCTCTATCTTTCACCGTACTCGATGTCGCTGGCGAATGCAATATCGGATTTGTTGGTGGCGAGGGTGGCCGAGATGGCGAGCCATCCAGGCTGCTGCGACTATCGTTCTGTTGTTTGAAGAGGCCATTGCGATTCTTCTCGAACCAGTTCTTCGCGCCCGATAATGCTTTCGAGCCTAAGTTCGAGACGGCAACTCCGTTTTCCCGGGGATTCATAGGCATCACACGCTCATGCTCGATATCGAACCACTTCTCACACCCCAGCACGCCGTGGCGGTGATTGAATTTGTGACCAAAAGAGAGAAAGTCCTTCTGAATCAAAGTCATGAAACCGGTGAATGTACGATAGTAAGGATCCAACATGACCTCCGCAATTGCAGCAACCTGCGAAGTGCGATCCCAACCATCGGAGCAATGCACGAGGACGTGATCGCCGCCAAGACCGACCGCTCTGGCAACCTTTTCGGAGCCATCGATAAGTCCTGCAATGTGGCCCAGCCAACCAGACTTCTGCAGAAGGTCTGACAGAGGTGCAGCCCGAATATAATCAGCGCTTCCGAAGCTCTCGACGACGAGAGCCAAGGACTTGCGCATCACGTGGATGTTTGCTATGTCCAGGAACAGCCTTTGAGGAAGTTCACCCGACGAGTCACAATAGTTGGACACATCCTCAATGCCACCTCCAGTAGCCCGATTGGCCAAAGCGTTCAGCCTCGGTCGTGCATCAACAATCAGTCTTTTGCGAGTGGTACCATAGACCTTGGGTCGGGGTATTGTTTCGTTTTCTACTGCGTCGCTACTGGTAGTGGCAAGGTCTGTATCTGCGAGAATGCGGCCGTCTCCGCGTTCATGATCACGCGCACTTCTCTCATCGCTCTCCTTTAGAGTGGGTTGGTGCGAAGTGTCTTGCAGTGACACTGGTGTGGAAGCATCCTCGGACGGCGTCTGGCTCGAGAAGATGGCCGATACCAGACGCTCGTCCTGGGGGTTCCGCTTCCCTGCAAGGCCTGGCATGGGCTGCGAAGACCGAGTAATGCTGCCACCGTTGGAATGAAGGTAGGTCAGCGCCGGGATCCTGCTCTTCGACCGATACGGTCCTCCGTATTTGAGCATGTTATCGCTGACTGTGGCTGGTACGCACAAGATGCTTGGGTAAGTGGGCGAAAACGTATAGTCTTCATTGATGGTCGAGATGCGCCAGGCACTTCCCACTCCTTCTGCAGCTTTGGCACCAATCCCCATACGTGCGAACTCTCGCCGTGCATCATACGCCGTGCCAGAAATAGAAGTCTCTTCTTGGGGTGCCTTGAAATAGAAAGCATGCAGGTCTTGAACACGATCAACGCAACAGCGGTTCCTTAAACAGTAGAACACTTCACGGGCTGCCGCGTCAGAAGACTTTACAGCGTCACCATAGAATGTGAAGGCCATGAGCCTGAAGTCGCGAGTACGAATGCGGATTCCTGGATCCTGCCCAGTGCCGGTGATGATTTGCGGAGCGGAATTGATACTGACTGGCGACGAAGATCGTCGAGGCGATCCATGAGAAGCTTGCATAGAGGAATCTGTCGATGGTCGGGGATGTGTACTGGTCCCATATACAGGAGGAAACCGAGAGCTGTCGCCATGGTCGCCGTGGTCGCGATGTTCATCCGATTGCTGCGGACGCGTGTGCTGATGCCCCGGCCGCAGGACACAATGGTTGATCAACGGGTATGGCAGCCACATATCCTTCAGTTTCCGCTTCGCACCAGGAGTCTTCGCCGGCGCTCCTGCGTCGCTGGACTCCCTGCTGGCTCGCGGTGTGGAAAGGCCGGAGCCATGCTGGTCCGGTGGCGTGGGAACATAGGTGAAGACCAGGTGATGTTTCCGCAGCGTAAGAGTGCCATGATCCTTTTTGTCACCTCGATGACATGCGACATTCCGGACGCGGACGTCTTCTGTGCGTGATGTCGACGAGTCCATAGCACGTTCGTTCTGTCTCGGTGTCCACTCGTTGTCCACAGATGCGCGCCTAGTTAGTTCACCGTCGCGCGACTGCAGCAATGTGGCAAGTATGGCAGCATGTCATCATATTGCAGGACAACTCAGGTACCGGTAGGAGGTAGCTTTGGAGTCTGGTGGTGTAAATGGATGGCTTCCACTTGTTTCGAGAGGTCAAATCGGGTCGGCTGTGCTTGCAGCTGGAGGAGAGTGGGAGGTCAGTCAGGTCGCATGACGGAAGGCGAAGTCGGCACGTGCCGGAACATCACATTGGCACCACGCCCATCAATTCGAAGGAAGGGTGCATATCAGAACCGACAAGACGACGGAGATGGCGATGGTGATGGCAACGGCAATGGCAATGGCCGAAGAAGAGAACAGATCCATAACGGTACACTTCCAACCTTGTCTACGAGCTATGCTGTTGCTACATTCTGTTTGAAAGTCCGGTCGAAACCCTGCAATTCGACACCATTTCGAGCAACCCGCCACTCGAATTAGAAACAAAAAAAAAACAATGCAACCATCTGCGCCATGCAAATGCTGCTAGACCTCTTTCGATCGAGGCTCCTGAACTCCGGCGCCCATGTGCTGCTGCAATCATCTATACTACATCTATGCGAAGCCGAAATACTCACTGCCTGCGGTGATGGCAGTGTAGAGCTGGTGTCGAAGGTGCTCGTAGCTATCGTACTCTGGAAGGTCGAGTTCTGCACAATTTTAGTCAGCATATGTTGGTTTGTTCATGGAAGATGATGGAGGACAGGTACTTACGATTAAAGCAAGTGTGACTGGACGGCAACTTCTCCTTGTTGCTGTAGTCACGGTGAATCGCGAATCGTGAGAAGCCATTCATGCCTTCGAGTTCCTTGAAGCCATTCAGTGGGACCTTGCTGGTGCCGGTGACGAACTGCAGCAACTTGGCCTTTTCCTCTTTGTCGAAGCTGCGGACCGCTCGCCAGAACCACTGCACTTGTGGGGAAGTAGGCGTGTAGTTGGTGTATTCAGTGTTGTTCTTCCAGTCATCAACATCAATGTCGGGGAGCCCAGAGATGAGCAGTTCCAGCTCCTGTTCATTGAAGATGGAGATCAGCTCAGCCGGAATCACTTCGTGGAATCCCTGAAGGAAGTTGTCCAGCTGTTCTTGCACAGACTTGATGAGGCGGTATTCTACCACGTGGCGGACGTATTCATGCTTATTCTCTTCAGTGACTGGGATATCACGACCGCCCTCAATCAGATCAATGGTTTCGGTGACACCGAACTTATCGAGATCGATGGAGAAAGTCTCGAAGGTCACGTCTGTGATGTCGTTCTCCAGAATCCACACCAGGGACTTGTAGTAATCGAGATCGAGTGACTCCATGTCCTTGAGAGACACAGACTTGCCCAGGATCTTTCTGTACACTGCTCTGCTGAAATGGCAGTCCAGCACTCTATTCTCGTAGAGTGCTTTGCCGATGATCCTGCCAATAAACTTGAAGAACATGAAATGCTCATCGTTGACCCCGCTGTGTGTGTTGGGGTGGAATGTGGTGCGATCAGCAGCGACAGGATTGAATAGACCGTAGTCAGGGTTGAACATCTGTCGTGCCATAGCAGCAAACCACTCGCGCGATACACCACCAGCATCTACACCTTCTTCTCCATGGAATCGAATGTTGAGCTTTCCATACTTGATCTCGTTCCCGGTCTTGTAATACAAGGATTTGAATGAATCAAGGAAGACCTGATTTCGGCGTATGTTCAGCTGCAAGGACGGATGAGAGACACGGGCCTCGGTACGGCGGTCGTGGAGCTTGCGGCTGAAGTAAGCACGCTTGTTGTCGAATTCGAGCACTTTCGAGTTTCTGGCCAACACGGCCAAGTTGCCGTTCATCAGCTTGGGATTATTGCGGATGAGCTCATTGAGGATCTTGCGATGCTCATCGGTGAAAGTGAAGAAAAGGTTCTCCATGCTTGTGCCAGGGGGCGGTGTGCCAACGTTAGCATCGGCAGGTGATGTGACTGTCGCGGGCGCTTCTTTCAGTGCGCCGTTGCGGCACATCACCATGAGGGACTCAATGAGCGGCAGCAGGATGGTAGCAACATTGACCATGTTACCGCGCTGGCGGATAGCTGTGAGACAAACGCTGAGACTCTCCCATAGCTTCTGGAATGCAGAGCTCTGGTACAGGGTGGCAAGGATGTCGTCCTTGAGCTTTTGTTCAGTGCTAGAGTCGAGCGTGATCGAAGTCTGCGGCGTGCGTTTGGGGTCGAACAAGTGATCCAGCGCGACCAATACACGAAGGAGCTTCTTCTGCTTCGAGCCAGCAGAAGAAAAGCTTGCAAGAGCCACGCCCTGTAAATCAGTACCGGTCGCGGCAAGGTTGATCTGCTTAGCAAGTTCTCCTAAGTCAGCCAACAGGGCGTCGCCGAGCTCTTGCGCCTGTCTTGTGAGCTCCCTGCCAAAGACTGACTTCGCGCCTGGAATGGCGGACAAGTTTTTAATGATGTCGAGAGTATCACTGAAAGTCTTGCTAGGACACTCGCGAGCGGCGAGTATGTTCACGACTAAGCCGATGTTCTCTTCAGGAACCTCGGGTGGCACCAAGTCGCGATGCCTCTTCTTGGCATCGGCGTCGGCCACCGGCGTCATGGGCTTGTCGTGCGCGTCGTTCGCAGTGTCACTGATAGGCGCTTCGTGCATCGCCACATCGGATGTACTTGTAGCAGTGCCCTGAAGCTCGGTGGGCACTGCTGGCTGGCTGGGTTCCGTCGACTCAGCGCCTTGTGCCTCCTTTGCGCGGCGCAATAAAATCGTGAGCGGCTGCGTTACCTGGCTGAGAAGTGACGCTAACGTCTCCATTACAGCAGTATTCTCGGTTATCAGCTTACGGTCAAGCAGCGTCAGCAGGGCATTGAGCGGGAACTTGGCAGCTCTGGTTTCTCGACCTTTGCCTTTCTTTGCAGGCGTCGCTTTCTGGCTTGCAATGGTCTCATGCTCGCTCAGGAAGAACGATGGCACACGAGGATTGTCGCCGGCCAGTGCGTTGAGTGTGCCTAGGCACTGCTGCACAATGTTGAGCGGCGACAAGTCGGTGGTTGGCGTAAAGCTTTGTTGTCCGGTAAGACTGCGTTTCAAGGGCTGGGGTGTCTTTGGTCCTGTTGGCTGCTTGGCTCTGAGCGACAACTGTGCAAAGCTACGCTCAACAGCGTTCAAATCGGCAGTGCCATCCTGCAGAATGGACAGCAGAATGCTGATGACCTCTGCACGGTTTTGCGTATTCTTGCAGACATCTGACAAAATGCCATGTAAATTACTCTTCGCCTTGTGATTCAGAGAGACAAACATCAGGCGCAACAGCGTGGCAATACCCGCCTTGTCTAGCATTTGGGCTACTGGTCGGCGTGGTCGACTTGGCTCACGAGCTGCGCCCTCTGCACGCCCTGGAGCACCAAGTCCGTTGAGGACACGTGCAGCAGCGCCCTCCATGGTACGGCCGAGCCTACCTGCAGGTTCTCCACGCGGTCGACGATCGCTGAACAATGCGCGGGCTTCAGCCTGGATGGCCTCGGGAAGTGCTGCGATGACAGTCTCGTCGGAATCCAACAGAACTGCCTGACGAAGACCAGGGTCGAGGGTGGCCATAAAGTCAGCGGTATTGATGTCGTCAGGTTGCGCTGCAGCCGCTGGCTGACCGCCCTCTTGGGCTCTCCGGCGACGTTCCTCGTCCCGCTCGCGACGGCGACGCTCGAACTGCTCTGATCTCAGAAGCTCTTGCTGGATGTCCGGGGGAAGAGCTTCGAGGAACTCTCGGCTGATTTCACTCTGCGGCTCTCCAGACTGGACAGCCTGTGAACGCTGCTCGGCGAATTGCGCCATGATGACCTCTTCTCTCATATCCTCTGGCAGAGCTTCAATATACTCGCGATCGATCCCGAGAGTAGTGATATCGAGCTCACGGCCACGAAGGCTAATGGTAATCCGTGGCCCTGTTCGTGCAGATTCGGTGGAACCCGTTTCAGGCTGAGGTTGCGTCTCGTCTGTTGAGTCGTCTTGGCCTTGTTCGATACCTTCCATCCCGCTGGACTCGGTGGCTTCGTCAGCGGCGGCAGCTTGCTCAGCTTGCGCGCGAGCCCTCGCCTCTTGTTCAGCACGCTCATGAGCTTCTCGTTCCTCGCGCTCTCTCTTCTCTCGCGCGTCTTTCTCCGCCTGCTCAGCCTCGGCCTTCACGCGGGCTTCTTGTTCGGCCTTCAGCGCGGCAGCCTTGCGCTCCGCTTCTTCCTTGTCCCGAATTCTCTTAGCTTCCATAGCAGCTGGTACCAAGGTGCGAAGAAGCATGTTGATCAAACGAAGTGCTTTCTCGTGGAACTTCCCAGGGAACAGCATACGAGCTTCTTCTTGCCACCGACTGGCAGTAGAGCCGAGCCGGCACTCTACAGCCTGAGCTTCTTCGTTGCCAGTACTGCCGCGCTCGGGCAGGTGCCCACCGGGAATTATCTCTGCCCACCGCCGACCGTCTGCTAGTGTGCCAAACTGCTCGCGCAGAGGGCGGGCAGGATCAATGTCGATCATAGCGTGCGCGCCTGTTCTCGTGTGCACTGTGAATGTGGGCGCAAGGCCTTCAAGGCCCGGCAAGGCTGCACCGTCCATGTTGACGTTGATGATTCCATGTCCACCGACATTTGGGCCCACCGTGGCAACCAGCTCCTGAAGGATAGCTTCCGGGCCTGCACGCGGTAGGAATGTGCGACGTGCACCCACTCGACCAGCTGTTACCTCGAGCCCATCTCGCTCCGCTCGCGAACTGTTAGATCTCTGAAGTAGAGGGTTAATTCCTTCTTCGTCACGCGCGTTAGGCGTGGAGCGATGAGATCTGATGCCCATCGGACGCAAAGGGTCGTTCATCATCCCAAACATCTCGGTGAATCCACCCCGAGGGAGGTGACCATGATGATGGTGGTGATGATGAGGTGCGCCACGTAGCACTGCGGCAGCCGGCTGGATGTCCCATGCCCACCCTCCATCAGCGTCTTCGCCATCATCGTAGACGATATCCGCTCCATAATCAGCCTCTTCTTCGTCTTCGTCGTCCTCCGGAGCGACTTCGTCATCAAAGAACTCTTCCTCCCCGTCGCCCATGTCGATTCTGACCAGGTGGCCGTGATCGTGGTCGCCCAGATCCGATGGGTCGTCAGCACCGAGCACGTGCTCAAGGTGCTCGAGTGCACCTCCATGAGGAGAGCCGCCATCTACGCCATCTACGACCATGTCGCGTGGTTCGAACACCATGCCTTCCTCCTCCCATTCATCGGCGTCGTGTTCGTCCAGGCTGGCATTCTCGTCGTCTCCAGTGACCTCTTCGAGATGGGCGTGATCGTAGTCATCACCCATCTCATCATCGTCTTCTTGGTCGTCTTCATCGTCAGAGTCGTCCGAATCTTCTTCGTCATCATCATCTTCTTCCATGGCATCCATGTCCATATCGATGTCCCCTGGTCGACCTTCAATGTCGCCCAAGTCTCCGAGACCATCTTCGTCCTCGTCGCTGACGACGTCTCCATGCTCAGGCATCTCCTCCTCGTCGTAATCCATTTCCTCGTCATATTCGTCATAGTCAATGCCATCGTCCTCATCATCCTCCTCATCGTCAGACTCGTCATCATCTTCGCCCAAGGTCGTGTTGCGAAGGAGGTCTGGCGTCTGTTCACGCTCCTCATTATCGTCAGAGACTGATGTGGCGGACGAGATCTCGTCCTCGTCAGTACTGGTGCGAGGATCGGTGGAGGAAGCATCTGGGCTTTGGCTGAGAGTGACGCCCAGCTCCGTGAGTTGCTTCAAAGGGCCCAAGATGTACTTCACAGCACGCTTTGCATGGGGGAAGTTGAGGTCAAGCTCTGCTATCGCCGACGTGAAAGCACCGATGAAGTTCTTCTCATACATCAATCGCCCTATCTGTTGATGAGCAGAAAATGTTCCAGCAGCGACAACGTTAGATCTCTGCAGATCCACCTTGCCATTGAGAATGCGGTTGAATAGTTCGCCCAGCGACAGCAGGCGCGAGTAGCGTTGGTCAAGCGGTTCAGAAGACGCAGTGGCCTCTCTGAACGAACGCAAGGCGTGCTCGAGGACAAATTTGCGCACGTATGTGAGCTCCGGTTCCTGTTTCTCGAATTCGATCGAATCGAAGGAAGGCAGACCACTTGCTTGCCGCTCTTGCGTCTTTGTACACAATGACACGAGAACATTGATGGTCCAGTTGGATGTCGCAGCTCTCTTGCGATGTACGACATCGTCCCGATGTTCGAGCGTGCCCACAGGTAGAAGCACATTCAGGAGGTAGTTGAGCGTGCCAGAACGTGGCTTGGATGGTGTTGCCGGCTGAGCATCCGACTTGCGCGAGAAATTAATAAACTCGAGCTTCGAGCGATTGTAGCACGCCACAAGCTCAGCCAAACATTGCAGAAGGAAGCAGCGATAAATGTAGATCGTGTGTTCCTCTGCCCTAAATGGGGGCTTCTCACTCTTCGCGTCGAGTGGCTTTGGCAGTGCCGTGAAGTTTGCGATTGCTGGAGAGACATCAGCCATCTCGATGTCAACGGTCGCAGTTTCGGATCCCGACAGATCTTGTTGGGGCTCTCTACCAGATACTGGATCTGCAACTTCTCTGTAGGAAGACAACTCGCGCAACAAAAACTGCACAATACCATCTGAGCCCTCCACGCTGGGCATCTTCACTTCTGTGGCCTTTTGACCGTCAGCAACTGGGGCAATCATCTCAGATCCTGCAGATGCTGGAATTGACCGTGGAGGTTCGGGCTCGGGCTCTGCTGGCCTCTTCAGACCGAGCTGCTGCCCACGGTGGGGATTTCCATCGTAGCGTGTGATTTCGAGCATCTCCTGCGTCACGTCTACGAAAGCATCTGGGTTGCGAATCGCCAAGTGATAGAGATTGCGAGTATACGACGATGTATCCATGGCTCGGCTCGAGCGATGATTGTCGAATGCCACCTTGATTTCGGCTCTCATGATCTGACGAACGGTCTGATCATCTTCGACAATATGTCGCAGAATTAACAGGAAAGAGGCTTGCAGCTTGTCGTCAAGAGGTGCCCCGAGTTGTCTCACCATGAGGAAGAGCTTCCCCAGAGTCTGTTTGGCACTCAATCGCATGGCCAGGTCTCGGCTGCGCGTCAAGACGACAAGCACTCGGCATACTGACAATGCCAACGACTTGTGCTTACCCACCTTCGGTAGGAGCCCTTCGAGAGCATCGAAAAGCTGTGTGCGCAATTCCGACGAGACTACGGGATCTGGCCGGGTGATCGTAGGCAAAGGTTTCAAAGGCTCATCGCTCGGCGGCGGGACCCACGCAACTTCCATGGGCTGTTCATCCTCTGCAAGCACACGTTCGATGATAAGGAGAATCATCTCAATCCAGGGAGCGTCTTCTGGCTTCTGCTCGGGTTCCAGCAGTACCCACTTAACCAGACTGTCGAAACTCTCTTTGAGCTCATCCAATGTGGAGTCGAAGAAGTCACGGTCCTGAAGGATGAGCGCGACCAGGTGAGCGTATGCATGTATCTTCTTCCCAGAGTCAGCACTGGGTTCCTCACCCTGCAAGGACAGCAATGAAGACACCAATGTGGTACCAATGTCAGCTCGAGGGTTCGCGCCGTCGCCAGCTTTGGCTACCGCAGCTTGAATCAGATCGGCCAGCTCAAAGGTGATACCATCTTGTGTACTGAGCACATTGAGACATTGGTCTATGAGGTTTTGACGTAGTTCATCACGATCGTCGTTGAGATCATCGATCGTGACGAAAGGCTGATGACTGTCCTCGGCCGGCAGTCCTGGACCAGGTGCATTCATGGGTTGTAGTATACTGAGTGCTGCAGGGTTGCCAATGGCCGCGACGAGATCACTCGTGTCCAATTGCATATCGTCGGGGATACGACCCAGCGTCCCAAAGTCGTCTTCTGAGGTATTATCGTCGGAGGAGAGGACAAGGCGCGAGTTGCCATCCACATCCATTGTAAGCGCGTCAGTGTGGATGCTGCTTCGACTATGGTCATCGTCCGTATTGACACTGCTGCCAGCATCTCCTTGTGTCGTCGAAGTTTGTGTCTGAGCGTCAGACTGTGGGCGCCGATTGGTAGTATCGCCTCCTGCCGCAGACTCTCCTTCGGGAATTGGGAAGCGTGGAACGAGAGAATCCTTTTGTCTCAGTTTACAGTATGCCTCTGCGAGGTGTTGGCTGTTGCAGCAACGATACAGTGCTTCACGGCTAAGGACGACGTCGAAGCCTGCTTCTGTCAATGCGCCGAGGTGTTGGGTGCCAAAAAGCTTGAATTCAGGCCTGTGGGCCAGTACACGCCTGCTCACATTTTCAGAGCGCCTGATAGCACGCTCTTCGCCTTCAGCCTTCAGAACGAGTCGCAGAATACTGATTATGGACTCGACATTTGCTTTGCTGAGTGAGTCAATCTGGTCAGAGTGCCAAATCTTGCTGACTGCTGGTAAGATTGCACGCCGCACCTCGACGAGAAACTGTCCAGGCTGGAAATAATCTGGCTGAGTACGGTCTCTGAGAGCAATGATGGAGGATTGACCAGCCTCAGTGATACATTTGGGGCGCACAATCTGGCCATAGAAGGTCAATATGGCCGCAATAGCATCCTTGACCGAAGCATCCACTTTGTCCTTCTCGGACTGCTTGACAAGCAGCTGCACAAACCGATCCAGGTAACCATTCAGCTTTTCAAACCCGCCCGCACTGTAAAATTTCGTCATGACCAGTGTCAGAGCCTCTTTGGTACCGAAAGCCTCCATGGAATACGAATTTCGAAGAAGCATACGACCAATCATCTTCAGCACTTGGCAGATGTACTTTGTTTCCAGGATCTCTTCGTGGCGCTCGTTGCGCCTGAAGTCGATCTCCCAAATAATGGCTTGGGCAAGCTGTTCTGCGACGAGAATGGCGTGCTGCCTGACAATTGTTTCGCTTCGCTTCGTCACGATGGCCTGGCCGAGGGAGTGGTAGAATGATTCAATGCCCATCGGTACTTGACTCAGGAGGTACCGGATGGTACGGGAATTCTTCATGCCAAGGACAGACTCGCGCGATTGGCCTTCCTTGGGCACGGGGTCGGCGGACGTGTTGAGACCATAGCGTGCAGAATCATTGCGATCGACTGCGAGCTCGACGTGTCCGTTCGCGTCAATTCGACGCATGTTGAACGCACGAGGCTCTGTCTTGCTCATGACTTGATCGGACATGTCACGTAGCATAAGCAGACCCTCCCAGCTACAGGCTGCATGTAATTTGCTGAGGTCATCCACAAGTTCAAGATAGACATCCGTGAAGTTGAGACTGCTGAAGAGGTGATTATTTTGACTACCATGTCGCAAAGTGTACGGAGGGGGTGCCATGGTGCGACCCAAAATGTGAGTCAGCATGTGCGTGGAGAGCAGAGCTTTGACGATCGTGGTTCCATCCACGCCTTCCGGCAAAGCTGATGTTCTGGGCCGTGAGACATCCAGGAATCCTGAGAAGGAGCATGTCCTAGTGTCGATGTTGGCAAAGGGCTTGAGGCTACTGGTGGCTTGCTGAGTCCTTCTGATAATGCTCGGCAACACCAATGCAGCCTTGGCTTCACACATCGTCTTAAGAACTTGAGCGATTTTGCTGAAAAGGGGAAATGCAACCATATCATACGGGTTGCTCGGACTCATAGCAAGGTCGAGGAGGAGTTCGGCGCCCGATTCTTCGCAGAACAAGCTGCACATGCTGTTGTTGTGGAAAAATCCTTCCAGGAATTTGAAGGCTGCGCTGAGATAGGGTATGGCGGGCGCACGCTCTCGCTCGTCTTCAGTGCCATCATCTTCGATCGTATCGCTCGACGCAACCTGTTCTACGGACCTTGGAAGGGCAGGTGTGAGTGCAGCACTACCGCCAGAGACAACTAGTTTGCCGTCGACATTCTCCCATAGCTTGGCGCCCGCGTGCTTTGCTTGCGACAAGATGGCGGTAAGCTCTTTGACACGCTTGAGCATGTTGAATACGGCTGACATTATTTGAGCCTTGAGTCGAGGATGGTGCCGCGCCAATTCATCGAACGAGTGTCCAATCGTGGTAGCAGTTTGGCCTTCGTCCTCCATCGCACGCACATGTGTCGGTGAATGAAATATGCCAAAGTACTTGACGAGCGCTCCGGATGCCTGGAAAAGCTGCATACCATTCTCGTTCAAGCAAATTGCTCCAAAGGCCGTTGGCACATCGCATAAAACTTCTCCAACGGGGAGAATCTCAGCAATCGAGGGAGAAAGTATATGACCAGAGCCGTCTGCCACAATGCTAGCGGTCTCGGACGCAGCCACGATCTCGCCGGGCGATGGCAAGTTTTCAGGAATCTTCTGACCGGTGATAGACTCTAGAAAGCTCCTGCTGAGACCAGCTTCGCCAATCACCTGATAACTCGTGGGCTCATTGTGTATAAAGCTGCTGACAATGTTGACCGCGCCGCTCCATACATTCGCACCGAAGATCGCCGAGTTCTCGATCACGCTGCGCAAAGCACCAAGAACCTGCGGGGTGTCAATCAGATTTCTCAATAAGCGATCATGGCCACCTGTGTTGTGTTCGAACATGTGCACAGTGTTCTTGAAGACCTGGCGAAGGGTAGATTGCTGGTAGAACGGAATGTCGTAGTCGACCACTTTGGATTTGTGCGCCTGTGGGAGCCCATTACCGCTACTCGCATGCTGGAGTGCTGTTTCCACCTGGAAGGCAGTCAGATCGGCAATGGTATCGAGACCCTTGATGTCGGCCAGGGTCTGAAAGGCGCTGGCTATGCCGTGTATGAAACTGTCGAAAAACTGCAATATGCGTTCGTAGAAACGCTCGGAACGCGAGGTGCGCAGGGTGAGTGCTTCTGCCAATATGCCCATGATCCCAGCGGCCACCATCTTCTCTCCGTATCGAGCTTGCGCGTTGGACTGAAGCAGACTATTGACCAGATCGAAAACCGCATCACGCCACTTGCTCTCATCGAGCTCGGCCGCCTTGTCAACGCTCTGCTGCTCAGCTAAGGTAGCCACAACCTTACGCAGCTCATAGTACAAGACGCCATGGTTGACGGAGATGGCAAGAGCGTCTGCCACTTCAGACACTTTGTGCCGAGTCTTGGTCAGCGCCTCCAAGGTCATGACAACCGTGGTCTCTGTCTGCAGTGTCAAGGCTGTCTGACCATTTGCGGCAGGCTGTAACAAATCGCACAACTGCTGAGCAAGGTGGAATCTTCTCGGCTCCTCGGCGTCGGCAAGGCCTACTCGATCTTGAAACTTGCCCTCGCTGAGAGCATATGCTAGATTCGCAATAGCAAGTAACCGAAGCTCGAGTATCTCCTGAGCACTGATATCTGAGGAAGAAAATGCTTTGGCAATGCGGATGCGATTGAGCAGTTCGTATCGCAATTCATTCGGAACGCTGGGTATGGAATCTCTAACCAATGCCCACGCCGGAGACTGTGCAACTCTGGTGGACGGAATCTGGAACAATTTGGGCGCCGTCGATGAGGATCCTTCATTATCACGACCTTTGCTGACCATGGCAGATGCGTCGTCGCTCGAGGGAAGCCTGTCGCCCGTTGCTGGTCGATCGCGTGAGGGTCCTAAGTTAGACGTCCGTCTCGCTGGTGTGGGTGTTGTGGGCACCGTATCATTCGGTTGCGACAGGGGCCCAGAAGGCGCTGCGGGCTGCGTCTGCTCATAATAGCTGATCGTCACGGCTGAGATTTCTTTGCGAACAGTCACTGGTAACGGATCTTTAGCAATGGAAATCAGATCTGCTGGGACGAAGGAAGGGGCCTGCGTCGCTTTGTCCTTTGCTTTGGCAGGCGTTGATGCCGAGCTACTCGCTGCACTGTGCGGTTTGGGGAACGGCATTGCGATCTTGTGCAAATTGTCGATGTTGATGTTGTAGTGGTTGGCAAGGAGCACCGCTTGATGCGTTGGGTTGTGATTCTTATACCGAGCAACCTGATATCGCTGCGCAAGCCGCAGACCAAGTCTTAAGCACAGCTGGAGCAAGCTCAATGAGGTTGTGTGGAGCAAGTCGTTGATATGGGTGCTACTGGCGTACAAGCTGCGATTGCCACAGTGCTCCAGCAACAGTCGTGTAAAGCGGAGCACCGCTTCCACCAGCTCCCGATCGCCCTCTGACGAGTAGCCAGCTGCATCGAGTTCATGTGTCTGGCCACCAACGGCGGGATACGGCATGTTCTCTTCAGCATCACCCTTCTCCAACAGCCGCCTCTCGAACGGTTGTGTCTGAGGACCATTGTTGAGCGCATACTCTTTATTGAACAACTCTAGGACATGATCAAATCGATCCAGCAGGGGAATCCAGTGATACAGGTCGCCTCTCGGCAATGGCCAGTGCTGTGGAAATGCCTCGAGGTGTGCAGGTAGTTGATGAAGCGGCAACTCGGTGGAGTGCTTGACAAAGTCATCAACAAACGGCGAGAGCGTGGCAGTGTGCCGCTCAGTAGCGACCTTCTTGATCCTCCCCATAGCGCCAGGCGCCGCGAAACACGCGGACCGACCACTCGCAGCTGAATCTTGCCGTCTTGCGGCTGCCTAGGCAAAGGTTGTGGTCCTCACCAGAAGTGGGTGTATGTGAGTGGGTAGAGTCCAGAAAGCATGAAGTGCGCGGATATTCGCTGGAAGATTCTCGGGGGTGACGGCAGCGGCGGCGGTGAGGACGGCAGTGATCTCGAGAGCGGGGGGTCCGTATGAGATGGAAGGGGTGAGGATGGGGGTGGGAACGTCGAGCGTTGTTGCGTGGTGAAGGCAATGAAGGGAGAGAGAGGCGGCAGCAGCTTGAGCTGTCGAGCTGCAAGTCAGGTTCTTTCGGCGGAGGCAGGCAGGTAGGCAGGCAGACAGGCAGGCGCGGGCCGGGTGTGGTTGTTCCTGTCTTGCACGGGCTTTCAGTACCTCAGGTAATGACCAAACAAGTGAATGGACGGGATTTGCGCTGCTCTTCACAAGATGTGGATGAGTGAGAAAGACAGTAGATGCATGTTGCTTCAAGCTCTCTCGCTCTCTCGTCTAGTTAGTTCCAGTTCGATGGTCCATGCGTCAGGTCTCACTAGGTTGACATCTTTTGAACGTGGAGCGGCTGTTACACGGTGCCAGAACATCATCGTATCACGGAGAACGGTCGACCCTGCATTCTACGACACACCCTACCTACCTCCAGTTACATAGGTATCTAAGGTATAGAGCACGTTCTCGCGACTTCACAAATAACGTACAAGAGCAAATACCTTACTGTGGCTGTGGATTCATGTGCACGGCATCCCCGACAGCTGAGTGCCCACAGGCAGCGCGTTCCCACCCGTCTGTTAGCTTAGGTACGCGTATAAAGCAGCATCTACCTCACTATTCGTGCTTTAAACTGGTGATAACCTTTGTCTAGGAACATGTAGGTGGGAAATGTTGAGTAGAACATGGGGTGTCTCCTCGTATCCAGATACATGTATTCAAGCGGGACGTCGACAACGCCGAAGCATACCTACTTCCTGGCACCTACCTACCTAGTTCTAGCCATGAATAATCAAGTTCTCATCAGACTACAGGCAGGTATACCACGAGGGATGGCTCGCATGAGTGTCGCTCCTCCCAAGACGGGTAAATGCACGGCACTCACAGCACTGTCCATGGTGAAGTTGAGAAGGCTTAGCACTCTATTGCGAGCAAAGATAGGTAACAGCGTATCCAGGACTTCTATGTAGAGCAGGGCCGCAAGTGTCTTATTCCTCAATCGAGTACCATGTATGTAGGAGGTAGTATACCAGGTGTTGAGTGGAATGCCGAACATTTCCGAATTTCTGATTTCTACACTTATGTGCTGAATCCATGCACCATCTGATGATTCAGGACATGGTTCTCCTCTTCTTCCCTAGGTCTATATAGATAGTCTTATTCCCTCTATCTACATATAATATCAATAAGCGACTACCTATCTTTTTCGTCTTATGCTTCAGATTCGGCTTGCTAAGCGAACATATCACTCTACCAGGATGTAGCTTATGTAAGATAGCCATCGGAAGTTCACCCTCCGGGCGCCTCTACGTCCCAAATTCAACAACATTTCATTCTACCTAATGTCGCTCCAGAAATCATGCTACGGCGTTTGGCGAGACGTCTACCTCGAGCTTCATACTACATTTATCCGTCACGATGTCAGCTGCGACTAGATCAAAACGACAATTTCTTGCGATCATCAATTGTTCCTCGCGTCCTTCATTTCCCACTACAGACAGACAGACGCGACATGGCTACATCAGCGACAACATCACATTCAAAGCCCATTGAAGAAGAGACGCTGCCCGATTATGATGCGGAGCATTTCTATCCCGTTCATATCGGTGACACCTTGAACGCCCGCTATTCTGTGCTTGGCAAGCTCGGATATGGTGTTACATCCACCGTCTGGCTGCGTCGTGATCTTACCAGATAAGTACATATACGGCCGTCGCTCCTTTTCCTCGCTGTATCTATGTACTGCCAAATTTTTCGTGATTCCTCATACGTGGCACTCAAAGTGTACGTCCGCACCTCTCCTGATCAGGCGAACCTAGAGGAGACAGTCAATCGCCATCTATCGGGCCTTAGCACCTCTCATCCTGGTTGCTTCAACATACGACAGAGCTTAGACGTCTTCTACCTCCATCGTGCGAATGGATTTCGACATTACTGTATCGTACATGAGCCTCTGCATGCGACCATGTCCCAGTTTCAAAGGCTACATGGCACTGCGCGACCTCTCCCGGAAGTACTCGTCAAGTACTTCATGCAATACTTGCTTCAAGGCCTTGACTTCCTCCATACTGAAGCTTCAGTCGCCCATTGTGGTTCGCTCTTCCGTCCCATCAGCAGTGGCAACCTGAGAAGCCCAGAACGGCATGACAGTTGCTGGAAGATCCTTGGTTGACCAGCATCTGAGAACACTTGGCAGGATGTTCGTGCCATCCCCGGAACGACGCGGTATCAACTGCCTCCCACACCCTGCTCTCGCCCGAATGAGGATTCCTGTACTCTCGTAAGTTGGATGGCATTGGCTGTGTCTTCACTGGACGCTGGGTTCATTCTCGATGGCTTCCCTACGCCACCCGCGGGTACTTCGAACAACATACAAGAGATATACTACTTTCCTTCCCAATTGCCGAGATAAAGATAAGGTAAGTATATGTATACCTACCTAGGTAGATACGAAAAGTAGTAGAACGGTATTAGCTTCAGGAAGCGCCTAGACGCTATGTGCATATCATTTACAGACGTAGCTAGTAGGCGCGATATCGACATAATTGTGCATAAGGGAGGGAGCGTAGGTAGTAATGCTCGGTCGATTCCCAAGGTTCTACGACATATCGTGTCACTCTGCATATCCAGGACTTTCAATACGTGGAGCAATGCCGCAAGTGATCTTATTCCTCAATCGAGTATATACCATGGCCAGGCCAGGACCTTGCCAATCCCGCGCGAGTGTCAGCGGGGGGGCAACGGGGACCTATCCCAAAAAGCGACTTATCGAAACTCAACACGCAACGGCTGTTGTCCCACTCACGCGTGATCTTGGCAAGAATATCGTACTGGATGCCTCGTTTCCAGGTTGTGGTCTCCAAGGAGTGAGCTTGCTGGGCTTCGAGCTTCCACGAAGAGTAGGTACCTTAGGTACCTTACCTTATACTACGACAAGTTGGCCTCGATGATAAGCGGACTCTGCTTCCTCTCCCGTAGACCAAGTAATTCTAAAGTTGTTTAATTTAATTTATTTTTCCACCAAGGCGGATATGCTCGCGACACATAGAGGTATCATGGCATACAACACGTCTCAATGGATGGATGGCTAGCCTGGCATTAGAGCTACGACCATCATCGTGCTATTGGATACACAGTGCTCGCTAGATCGATGGCGATACCGATGACTTCCGATCGTACAGCACAGTACAGCACAGCACAGCACAGCCTCTCAAACCAGGTAGTGGGTGCCCATGTATTGGCACAAGCTACCTCTATATATGACCAGGTGGTGTAGGACGTGCTGCTGACTTTCACTTTTCCCTCTTGTCCTGCCAGCCACGCTGATGAACAGGTCCTCTTGTTGTATCAACATTTGCACTGCGTTCGGCTTCATGTACGCACTTGGGACGTCTCGAACATGAGCTCCAGCAGCGTCAGCGGCAGCGGCGGCAGCAGCAAAGGAGGGAGTGGCCTCCATACTCGAGCCAGCTCAGTGGAAACGAGTAATTATTTTATAGCGGTATGTGGGATTTGACTTCCGTCTGTCTTGACATTTAGCAAGTCGCGCATTGGACACCCGGCGCCTACTTGCTTTAGTTTTACCGTCACCACCCGACCTGTATTCGTCGGTTTCGGGCTATGCAGCTACGAAATAATACCGCAACTACCTGACCTCCACAGCTCAGTACCTACCATCACACACACACTCCACTGGAGCTCGGAAGGCACGCTCTCTTCTGACAAACCTCTCACACCTGGCTCGGCACATTAGGTCCTCTCTCCCCACCGTACCTTACCGAAGGTACATGTACTCTCTCGACACAGAACAGAACGCCTCAGCAAGCAGCATTGCATGGTCGAGCCCAGGAGACGGGACCGAACGACATAGCGTAACGATCAATCGAGCGGCGTTGCACGCACCGGCCTCGGGCTACCTTCTGGTCGCTTCAGCGGAGCCGCCATGGCTGCGGACACCAATGGTGCCTCTCTGACGAACGGCGTGGAGCAGTACAAGCCGGAGCTCTTAAAGTCGTCGCCGGGAGACTTCATGCGACCGGCGATGCGCACTCGGGGGAACTCAACGACGGCTAATGGTGTGGGTGTTCAGGCCGAAGACACGAGGATATGTGTGGTGATGGTGGGGCTGCCAGCAAGAGGCAAGAGTTTGATAGCACAAAAGGGTATGCGCTGGCTATGCTCTGTCTGCCCTCATCGGTTCATACATGCATTATTGCTGACTTCATGTTGCAGTCGTTCGCTATCTTGGCTGGCTCAGCATCACTGCGAAGTGCTTCAACGTGGGTAACTACCGCCGCACTGCAACTCCGCAGCCCAATGCTTCGTTCTTCGATACATCCAACAAGGAGGGCGAACGGCTCCGCAAGGCTGCAGCTGAGGCCGCCGTGGTAGACATGTGCAACTGGTTCAAGCACCCGAGCAATCTCATTGCCATTCTCGATGCCACCAACAGCACCAAGGCTCGGCGGCGGTGGATCAAAGAGCGCTGCGACTCCGAAGGCATCGAGACGCTCTTCGTCGAGAGCAAGTGTGACAGTGAGGACATCATCATGAGCAATATATTGGAAGTGAAGACGACCAGCCCCGACTACGTGGGCCAGGATCCCGAAGAGGCTGCCAGAGATTTCCGCGAGCGTATCAAGATGTACGAGCGGGTCTATGAGACACTGGACGAGGACGAGGCGGATTTGACATACTGCAAGATCATCGACGTGGGTTCACAGGTCATTATCAACCGGATACAGGACTATCTCCAGTCTCGAGTGGTGTATTATTTGATGAATCTGCACATCAAACCACGGTCCATCTGGATCAGCAGGGTAAGGGAAATCTAGGTTGAGTTTGTTTGCGGAGAATCCCTGACTAACCACGTGGTGATGATAGCACGGCGAGTCCATGTACAACCTCAGTGGGCAAATCGGCGGCGATGCAGACTTGTCGGAGAGGGGTCAAGCATATTCCCGAGCGCTGCCCGAGCTCGTCAAACGGTCGGCCGGTGATCGACCACTGACCGTGTGGACGTCGACACTGAAGCGGACGGCGCAGACGGCTCGATACCTGCCGTACGAGAAGCTCAGCTGGAAAGCACTCGACGAGCTGGACTCTGGTGTGTGCGATGGCCTCACGTACGCCGAAATTGAGCAAAAGTACCCGGAAGACTTCCAAGCTCGCGACGACGACAAGTACAACTATCGGTATTTGGGGGGTGAAAGTTATCGCGACGTGGTGATTCGCCTGGAGCCAATCATCATGGAGCTGGAGAGGTCAGAGAACATTCTGATTGTCACGCACCAGGCGGTGCTGCGGTGCATCTACGCCTACTTTATGGGCTCGTCGCAGGAAAAGTCACCCTGGATGGAGGTGCCGCTGCACACGCTTATCAAGCTGACGCCTCGCGCGTACAAGACGGAAGAAGAGCGGATGTTTGCCAACATTCCGGCGGTGAGCACGTGGCGCGAAAAGGGGAGTAAGGCGGTGCATGCAGACACGCCCGAAGCGAGTCAGCGGGGCTCTCCACTGATTGCAGCCAAGAGCAAATAAGTGATGTAGAAAAGTTGGTCCCCCGAGCATGCGTATAGAGAGAGGGGGGAAGGGGGAAGGGGGGACTCAGCTCGCTACCTACCTACTGATGATGTAGTGGAGGTACAGGTAGCTATGTAGCTTCTCGAGAGCATGGGAAGATTCTGAGCCCAGGTAGCTCACTTTTATAGGAGGTATTGAAAATTCAGGCTTAAACTCCTCTACCTACATGGCTGTACCTTTGCAATGATATGGATAGATTGATTCTGCTCTCTTGTTATACATTCATGCTCATTATCATCATCGTTCGTACATGTAGTATATCATACATGTGTAAGGTGTAATTCCTCCATTCCTCCATTCCTCCATTCATCCATCCTTCCATCCTTCCATCCAGCACGTATACTGAAAACAACAGTGAGAAAACAACAGTGAGAAAACAACAGTGAGAAAACAACAGTGAGAAAACAACAGTGAGAAAACAACAGTGAGAAAAAAAGGAGACAAAAAGAAAGAAAAAAAAAGGCATTTCGCATTTCGCATTTCACATATTCGCATATTGGGGGGTATCTCTGTAATAAGCATATCAAAAGTAGAGGGGGAAAAATGCAGTGATCGAGGTTGTGTCCGCGAGTCATCTGCAGCTGAATCATCATCATCATCATCATCATCATCATCATCAAACAAACGAGTTGGCAGATAGACAACTATCAGCCATGGAAGACGGCAGAGAAGATGGTGCTGGCGGTGGCTGCGGCGGGGAGGTTGATGACGAGGATGATGATGATGACGACCTTTGCGACCTGATTTCATGAGAAGGAGGAGGAGGAGAACCAGATCCGCTCCTTCGGACCAGGTCGCGGGGCGGGGTATGCTGAATGAGCACGGCGTCGGCGGCGCCCAGAGAAGGAGGGGGAGGAGGAGGCCTCATCATGATGGGATCACATTTCTCTTCGTCTCCTCTAGCAGTCGTGTGAAAGGTTTGCCTCCTGCCCCTGCTCCTCCTCCTGTCCCTGTCCCTGCCTGTGCCACCATCTTCACAGAGGAATTCGGATAATGACAAGTGTCGAGCTCCCAGTCGCCGGAATTCGCACTCGAGGTCACCATCTTCTTTTTCATCAGAATCGTCGTGGTTGTGAAGGGGCCATGCGGTGATGAATTCCATGGGGTTGTGATGTGTGTTGCTGTGCTTGCGGCGACTCTCGTCGCTTCCTCCCATTCCTCCTCCTGTGGCGGCATCGATGATGGTGGCTCGCCTAGTGATGCTCTCAGAGTCGGCGACAGAGGTCTTGAAACCACAGATTCTCCGCCAGAGACCCCAGACGAAGGGGAGGTCGGCAACTAACAGGGCTGTAGACGACTCCCGAACATACCAAAAGGGCCACTTGGTGCCGAATGGTTGTGTAAAGGAGTATACTTTGTTCAGAATGGCGGCCAGGACGACGAAGATGCCGAGGGAAAAGACTCCGACCAGAGGAATCTTTTTCCTCCATGGCAAATGCATACCCCAGAAGAGCGGAGCAGTAACTCCCAGCATAATGAGATCGGTGACGAGGTTAAAGGTGGCGTTTGTGATTAAGTGGTTGGTTGCAGCGTTGCATTGGGAGCTGTTGGGTGGAATGGCCCAGTATTGTGAAAAGGGCCGACACCAGACTCCCAGGTACAGAGAGGTCATGACAAAGTACAACAGCACGACGACGGCGAGGAGGGCTCGAATGGCATTGTGCTGCCAGCGGAGAGTTGTCCTGAAGGGGGAAAGGTAGGTAGGTGTGAGCGAGCTTGTTCCCGTTCACAGATGCGTGGCAGGTACTTACAAGCGCAGATAGAGAACCAGAATGGCAACTTTGGTCAGCCAGATGGTGGCATTTTGACAATTCTCCAGCAGCAGAATCAGTTTGCTTCCATAGATGCGGTCTTGTCGATCTGATTCGGTCAAGGAAGACACGTCGAAACCGGGGGGAAGGAGATTGCTATCGCTCCTCGCGACAAGATTGATGGTGACGATGAAGGCGGTGTAAAAGCACAGGGCCACGGCGATAGCGACATCATCGGCTTGATATTTCCCATTGCGGGCAATGCCTCGTGAGATGCTGGTGGCATAGTCAGCATGAGTAAGGTGAAAGTAAGATGTACATAACCTGGAAGGTACTATGTAGTAGACGTACAATCTGCAGGCAGCTATGATCAGGACCAGTGACCACCAGATGGAAGATTCGACGGGCAGAGATGCGGCCATTGTGTTCACGGATATTCCTGGGGAGAAGCTGCTACGTGGTGTAGCTCGCACAGCCAACGGGGCATCGTGTCGTCGCCGGTCAGCGCGTGCGCAGCATTCACCCCGGAGGGAGAGAGTGAGTGAGTGGATGGGAGGCGAATGTGGGTGTATATATATGTCAGGTAGGTAGAGTAGGACTGGGGGGGAGAGAGAGAGAGAAAGAGAAAGAGGAAGAGAGACGGGAGACGGGAGACGGGAGGGAAAGAGAGAGAGGGAGAAGCTCTTCTCGGTCAGGCCGAAGAAGAAGAAGAAGGCTTTCCCGTCCGTGGGTAGTGGCAGTGGGTAGTGGGTAGTGGGCAGTGGGCAGTAGAGTGGCACCTTTTCCTCGCCCTCGCTTCACCACCAACCACCACTCACCACTCACCACTCACCACTCACCACTCACCATCTGAATATCGGTTGACCCCAGCATAACTAAGCGACACCGGGCATACCCGGCGATACGGGAGGCCGGAGGCGAAATGGCTCGCCGCCACTGGACTGGAGCACACTTGTACCCTAAGAGGAAAGAAGAAGGAGAAGAGAGGTACCTTATACAGGTATTCGTGTGCCGTACAGAGTACTCAATGTAGAGTAAATGCAGACAGATTAAGGAGGTATACATATGAGGTACCTACCAGGTAATGATGAGATGACCAGAGAATGGAAGCAAAACAGACTCAACAACAGAGAGTGAGATATCCGGGAAAACAGCAAGCAATGAGCATGTCGGTTCGCCACGTGGAATAACTTAAATCAGGAGGCAACTGACGTGGTTGAGCCGAGACTGTGGAGAATGGAGAGGCTCGCACCCTCTCGGATGGGGGAAAAAATGACCCGAGACCGGAGCATCGGCTGTCTCTTTTTAGTTATTACCTGGGTACTACTGTACTACTACTGAGGCCACTGTACTCTGTACCAGGTAAGGAGTTTTTGATAAGCATTTGTATAAATTGTTGCCAATTGTATACCTCGGTACATACCTACATGTAGGTATACCAGAATGGCATGTCGATCTGTACATCAAGTGGCGATGAGACATGGAATTATCTCTCGACTACTTCCCTCCCCGTCCTAGCACCAGCTGGACGGCTATGCCTACCGCCTCCACTACCGCTGACCGCTGACCCGCCCCAGAGCCTCTTCCCTCTTGCGCGCTTCAAGACCCTGTCCAATTGGTCCTACTATATCCTACAGGCTCGTCTATAAAATAACTGCAAACAATAGTCAATCAAGGCCATGACCTTTACCTTCCTCCCAACCCTCCAACAAAACCGAAAAAGAAAAAAGAAAAAAGAAAAAGAAAAAAAAACTGCCTCCTAGGTAAGCCGGGAATAACGACGGAACCAAACCGCACGCGGGGAGGAGACGCGGACACGGGTCGCGGGACAGTTTTCCTTTTGTTCCTTGTTCCTTTCCTCAAACGGCCCGGGGTACAGTACATGTAGTTAGTTACTACATGTATCTCCTACCTCCTACGTAGAGGTACCTCCTACCTAGTAGAAGGCAGTAAGGTAGGAGGTACATGTAAATTGCAATCCTTCCTCTCGGATCATCAAAAAAGGTATAGCCTTTCCTACAAGTAGGTAAAAACAGACCTCAGGACCTAGGTATTATATATACCTTATATATAGAACACCTCTTTAAGGCCTAAGGCTTACTATACTACCTTAGGTCAGGTATATATATATATATATATATATATATATATATATATATATATATATATATATATATATATATGATGTTTGTTCTAGAGTGGGACCATTTCTCCTACAAAGTAGTGTAGTGTAGTGTAGTGTACCTCCTAGTGTAGGTTAGGTTAGGTTAGGTACTGTACATGTTGGTGATGGGAAGAAGATGATTACACAGACAAGGGTTTTTTGGTGAGTTACATTAGTTTAGGGACGTGAGTTTAGGGAGGTTCATCATAGAGAACCTGGTATTGTTTGTTGTTGGAATGATTTGATTGATGGAAAGGGTAAGTAGAAAGAATGAAGCCAACTGAACTTCATCATTCATGTTACCTGTTACCTCCTAGATGTACCTGTACCCAGTCAGGCGAAAACAACGTGGAAATTAAGATACCTACCTGTACCTATGTTAGGTACTGGACATGTATTTGACTAAATGGGGTAGTTCTCCTGGCACAAGAAGGAAGGAAGGAAGGAAGATGAAAGAAAGATATAGAAATAGAAGACCTGCATGAACCTCCCCATCCCCCTGGGACCAACTATCTGTACATGTTACATGTACATGTGTAACCAACTCCACAACTCCACAACCCCAATCCTTTCCCCGCTCCAATGGACCCGACACCTCATACCTGTCTTTCCCTCCGAAGCAAAAGTTCACAACCTCTCCCTGTCCCTCTCCCTCTCCCTATCCATTTCATCCTGCTGCTGCTGTTCCAACGTGAATGATGATAATACTTGTTGTTGTTGTTGTTGTTGTTGTTGTTGTTCTCCTTCTTCTGCTTCTCCTTCTTCTTGTTCAGGCAATTCCACTATATTTGACTCAGACTTCTTCTGTGCGCGAACTTTGTTGTTATTAGTGCTATTTTTCGTCGAGGAAGTAGAAGAAGGAGGAGATGTTTTCTTTTTGCTGATATCAGGTAAGATTGGGGATGGAGAGGAGGAGGAAGAGGCATGGCTTGCGTGAGCACTCGTTCCAGACTGTATTGGTGTTGCTTGTTTAAGCTTGGAGTGGTGAGTAGATGTAGATGCGTGACTAGACGTCGTTTTCCCATCTTCCACTTTGAGTTTTCCCTTGGACGAGGACGAGGACGACTTCGCCGATCCGTGCTGTTCTGACGTCGCGGAGGGTGACGACTTTGGTTTGTTCTCATCACCTTTTCTTGATGAAGAAGAGGACACATGGCTGGCATGAACACTCGTTCCAGACTTTATCTTTGCTTCTTCCCGTCTCGAATGGTGACTAGATGCCCGACTACCTGTACCTCTAGACGTCGTTTTCCCACCCTCCACCTCCCCCTTCCCCTTAGACTCCTCCTCCCCCGCCTTCTCCTCCTTTGACGATCCAAGCTGTTCAGAACCCGCAGCAAGCGACAACTTCGACTCCCTCTCATCACCACCATCCTTCTTCGTGCCCGAGCCGTGTTTCGAACGCTTACTACTACTACTACCGCTCTTCTGTGAAAAATTATGTCGAGAAAGATTCTGCTCCGAGAGAGGGTCAGGTCGCGAAGGACTAGCAAGCACCTTCTCCACAGAATCGAGTCTTGCATGCGCAGCGGAAATTCTCCTGTCGAAGCTCGTTTCGGATGGTGGCGTTGGAGTTCCTCGTGTGGAGGGGGAGCCGTGACGACTCGTTGTACGAGAGACGGGATTTGCGATGGGCTCTTTGCTGTGGGTGCTGGTCTTCACGGATGGTGATGGAGGGCTGTGGGGATGCTCACGATCATTGAGCTCTGGAGTGGTTTGTGACTGTGCTCGATTGAGCTGCACGGAAGGCGCTGGGGTCGTATGGTGGGTATGTGTTGATCCCGCCGCGTCTTCTGCTGGAATAATGTCCTTTGGAGATTGTGGTGGTGCGGCAGCCACAGTATGATGCGATGCAGCGGACGCAAGGCTCGCCACATCGTGTGGTACTTGTTGTACTGAATCTTGAGCTGCTGTCGTCTTTACCTCATCTGGTCTTGCTGAGTGTTTGTCTTCTTCTTCGGCGTGATGAGAGGCGCGAGACGTGAGGCTCACCATTTCGCGCGATATCTCGACTGCATTTCCTCCTTCACTCTCTCCGGTATTGTGATGCGCATGCTCCTCGGGCTTGTCTGTACTACTGCGATGTCTGCGATGCCTGTGTCGCTTGTGCTTACCCTCTAGAGTATGCTCGAGCCTCTTCACCTCCCTCATTGCCCTCGCCACTTCGAGACCGAGGTATTGATGAACATCACTCAGCAACGACAAGCGTACCGACTCACGTGGTCTCCGGCTCCTCGTCTTGGTCAGATCTTGCGCAATCTTCATGACCTTCCGTAATACATCTCGAAACTGCACCGCCTTCGACGCTCTCACTTGGCGGTGGTCAGGGGCAGTAGTCTGTACATTGTGTCGGGCTAATTCTTGCTCCAACCTGACCAGATATGGTTTCGACAAGGAAGTTGCTTTTCGTAGAGCATTCAGAGCGAATGGGCTATCTTTGGTAAAGTCTGGATTACGCGATGCGTCGAATAGCAGCTTTGCTGCCGTCACCAGGGTGGAGAGCATGCGATCGTGTGGGACGTTAATACCCCGTTTCGGTTCTGAGCGTGCCGACATGTCAATGAAACTTGGAGTGAGGTGCGGCGACGAAGAATTGAACTGTCACTGCTTATTGATGAATACTACCGTTTATTATCAAGCAATCAATCATCCTCTCGGTCGCTGTGAATGAGGAGGAATGCATCAGATGCTGCTGCCATATGACTCGCACACGCTGTACGGGTCTGTGGTCCATCACAAACTCCTTTGGGTGATAGTGCTACTACAACTATGGCAAGACGTGAGCTTGGCCATGCCTACATGCATAAAGCGAATCTCCTCTGTCTGGTCACCTAGCTCAAAGCGGGAGACGCTACCACAGTGGCTGATGGTAGGAACGGGATCCGCTGCTGCCCTCGTAATCGCACGCGAGGCCGTTCGGCCTGCAGGGCATTGGATCTGGTTCCGCAATGCAGGATCTTGTTGCATGCTCGCAGCTCTGTAGCCGGACTACCAGCTCAGCTCTCAGGACGGAAAATATCACTGATTTCAGGCATTTGCTTGAGCGGAGCATCCCAGAATGCTCACGAGATGAACATGGAAGCCTGCTCACGCAATTGATTGGCACTTCGCCCAGCATCCCAGAACAATGATGTGGCTTCATCGATGTCGGAAGCGCTGATAACGTTCCCTTCACTGCCACGTGCGCGTGCGAGGATGCTCGAGGGTGATAGCAATTGCAGCGCATATCTCAAGGACACAGTCTCGCCTCGCTTCGTGAGTTCTTCCAAGGCTTCGGGGCTAAGTGTTGCAGACACCTTCAGAGCCTGTGGGTTGTCCGCGAGCTGCGGAGCAGTGGGCGTTGCAAATTCAAGCTTGGCGCGTGTCTGGATGATGGTTCGAATCTCGCTGCCGGTGTAGGGATGAGTCGGCACGATCAGTAGACGCGCAAGGAGATCCGGAGGAATTCCATGGGCAGAGATGAGACCTGGGTCGTTCGCCTGCACAGAGCCCGTACCGCGTATAGTGGTTTGTCCTCTATTCGAGGCGAGAATGACAATCGGCGAAATGGTCGACTCGAGAGCGCGGTTCAGGTACGTGAAGCATTCAATGTCAAGCATGTGCACCTCATCGATGAACAGCACGCCTGGGACAAGTTCTGCGATGCCCTGGTCGATGTACTTGTTGACGACCTTGTTGATTTCTCCACGCAGCTTCTCCGTAATCTCTGTCTTGCGTGGCTTCATCAACTGACCCATCATGCTCATCACATCTTGACCACCTTGCGGTCTTGCATTTGCAACGTCCAGATCATGCAAAGTCACGTCTTGTACGATGTCTTTCTTCTTGTGCACGTCGCCTTTGGGGACAGGCACGTATTCCTCGGCTTCAAGATCAAATTCGGTCGAAAAGGCGTCCGATCTTCCCACCCTTTTCACGGCTCCCGTATTTGCTTCGATATATATGACGTCTCCCAGCCGCACGCGCTCTTTCTGTATTGCCTCGTAGATGCTCGGGTCCAGTCTCAGCTTTTTGGTGCCTTTCGAGCTTCGCAATGTGATAAGCAAATGCGAGATCGTCCGCCCGTATGCGCCCAATGGGTTTTCTGTTTCTTCGGGAGACAGCTCCGCCACCTCGCCTTCGTATACCTCCTTGCGTTCCTGCACGCGGAGGCCAATGGCTCTCCTGAAGTTCTCCATCAGCGCCTCTGTCTTCTTTACTTCTGCGCTGTACACCTCGCTCCCCGTCATTGGACAGAATGGCACCTTCGTGCCCAGTTCCTGGCTCACTGCCAACGCTAACGCCGTCTTGCCTGTGCCCGGTCCACCTGCCAACATTACTGCCTTGCCCGCCATCTTCTTCGCGCGAATGAGGTCAACCACAACGCCGCATGCTTCTCTCGCTGCAGTTTGTCCAACAAAGCCTCCCCCGTTGGGATCTGCCGTGCCATCTGGTCGCAAGCCGAGTCCTTTGATATGAGAGTGCGCTGCAGTTCGGTTTTCGCGTGAGTTGGTTTGGCGAACTTCGCTGATCTGCACAGGCACGTTTCCTGTCTGCGCTGCAGCAGGTGCTGGCGCAACAGCTCCGTTGGTAGCCATGGTCGAATTGGACCTCTGCAGTACGCCTCCCGAGATGGAATTTGTACTGGCGTGTGTTCGATAGTGCAGTACAGGTGTGGCTCGGATGGTGATGATTGCGGCGCTACCAGAGGAAGTGGTTGTTACCTACCTAACCGTGGCTGCTCAACGCGCAGGGACGAAGCTGGAAACGCGACAAAGTGGCTGACTCAGCTGGATGGATCCAGAATTCTGACTTCGACCACTCAGAACACTTCGAGTGCGGCTTACCCGCATTATTCGCCGACAAGGGCTTGTGCGGGATCGGAACGTCACCGGTCATCTGGAAGAGTACAACATTGTATACACAAAGTATATGCCACCAAGATACCTACATCACCCGTACCACTCTACCCTCTCCTCCGCCATACACCTTTGGAACCACACACGCAGTCATGGCCTCCTTCAGAACATCAGCGCCCTCAATATCCACAATGTTCCGTTTCACAGCGCAGCCAGCGGCGAATCGGCGATGCGCATATTGCCTCAGGGCTCGACGATGTCCATTCTCCTCCTTCCAGTCTCGAGCAACATCTTCGAAGCGCCCTTTGATGACGGAATCAGCACATCGGCCGCAAACATTAGGCACTGACATGCCGCCACCAAAAAATAGCGGGTCGCCAGAGACAAGTATATCTGGACATTCACAACAAACATGGCCGCCTACGGCACCCTGGCAGAGAACAGACAGTCCACCGAGCATAGCACTGGGAGAATTGGAGGCACAGAAGAGCAAAGCAACGGTGGGCACGACGCCGACAACGCCATCTCAGACAGCTACGTCAGCAAGTACTGGTCTAGGGACAGTGGCGAAGCCTAAGAAGAGCAAGCTCAGACCCCGGAAGGCGCCGATAAAGCTGTCTGCGAAAGCTGTAGAACAGTTGAAGGAATTATTCGAGCAGCCGGAGAGTAAGCTCATACGAATAGGAGTGAAGAATAGAGGTTGCAGTGGACTGGCGTATCATCTGGAGTATGTGGACAAGCCTGGCGCATTCGACGAAACAGTAGAGCAAGATGGCGTCAAAGTATTGATCGACAGCAAGGCATTATTCAGCATCATTGGAAGCGAGATGGATTGGTTAGAGGACAAGCTTAGTGCGAGGTTCATCTTCAAGAATCCCAATATCAGTGAGTACAACCATGCTTGAATTGGGGAAGACCAATTGCTAACAAAATCGATAGCTGAACAATGTGGCTGTGGCGAATCTTTCAGCGTAGGGTAGCCTCGACTTAATTATCGCATTGATGTAGCATCTTCCGTTGCAGGAGGCCATTCCGGAGCTTTTGGTGTAAACATGTCTTTGGCATAGCGTGGCATGGCAATAGGAGCAGTAGCAGCATGGAAAACGACCACCTAGAACTTTCCCGGCTCAAAGTCCACCACTCTGACATTCTGAATCACATCCTTCAGGCTCGCCACAAATTCCAGATGTGCGGGGTCCTTCTCCAGGTAGTATTTGCGGTCCTCCTCGCTCTCAAACTGGCTGACGAATCCATGTGAGAAGCCGCCCTAAACCCGAAGGAGTTAGCTTGGGATGCTTGGGACTGATAGCGGGCGAGAGTACTACTTGTAGCCCCTCCGGACTTGCTACAATTGTATAACCGTCAGTCGTGTCTGTTCTGATTCCAAGTGTCAAACGGCTGTAGATAGATACTTACTGTCTCGTCCTCCCGTGCTCGAAACGACATATTTCTGGTTGGTTTTTGGGTGCAAGCACTTTTCTTGCAATGCTAGCATTCGAGTGCAGACCTGAGGCGGTGGATGATGTCAGTCTTGGTGGAGATGAGAGGGAAATGCAATGTACATGTGAGCGACTGACATCTTCTACCTGAGCGTGAGTGGTCGTTGGCTTGAACTCGAACAAGACGATATGAACGATAGGCATTGTACAGATCCGTCGTCTTAACGAGATGATGAGGGTGAAAGCTGAGAGGGTATAAGGTACCTAGGCTAGGTGGGTTAGAAAGCACTTGATATGAGATGTTTGGTTGTCCGATTGCTTGCGCTACCTCCTACTAGAACTAGCTAGATACGGCGGCAGCTCGGGAACGGGAGGTGTACCTCCACCTCCTACCTCTGTGAGCTTGGAGCTCGCATTATTATTGCCCGATCCCTCACAGATGACCCCAAGACAACGAACATGCCACCGGCAGACAAGCCGATCGATATCGTGGTCCGCTTCTCGACCTCCGATTCGGATGTGGTCTTGAGTGTTGCCCAGCCGAGCAGCATCTCCATCGCGTCTCTGAAACTCTTGATCCGCGACCAGCTGCCAGCGCCAACCTCCCGAGCTCGTCTTCGCTTGATCCACTCCGGCAAAGTCCTTGTCGACGATGCGGCACTATCGAGGAGCGTCACCATCACACAGGCACCGCCTCGGCGCGATGATGAGAACAAAAGTGCAAAGGCAAAAGGGAAGCAGCCCGCGCGAGAACCGGCAACAGTGGCCGCGAGGGTGTATATTCACTGCTCGATAGGCGATGTTCTGACAGCAGAGGACTTGGACCTGGAGAAAGAAGCGGCGCAGACGGCAGATGATGCTCTGCGCTCAAAGACTGCTGCCTCTACCACTCCTGGCTACCAACAGCATCATGAAACGACCACAACACTCGCGCCTCGCGGCTTTGATCGTTTGCTATCGGCAGGCTTCACCACTGCAGAGGTTGCAGCACTGCGTGCGCAATTCCTCGCGATTCAGGCACACACTCATACGCCCGATACTATGCCTACTGGTCAGGAGCTGATCGCTTTAGAAGAGACGTGGCTTGACAATGGTTCGAATCCAGCTACGGATGCTACTCAGGATACAGGAAGCTTCGGCTCAGAAGATGCGGGTGGGCTCGAAGATCTGCTGTATGGAAACTTAATAGGTTTCTTCTGGCCTATAGGCGGCATGTTCTGGCTGATGAGAGAGGAAGGTGTTTGGAGTCGTCGCCGGCAGATCTGCGTCTTATCAGGCTTTCTGGTCAACCTGACTCTAGGAATCACGAGGATGGCGAGCTGAGCGCTAATCCTGTCATGCGACTCATATCTGCATGATCGTGGCCATTGGTGCGCAAATCACCTCCTGGACGCGAGACACGCCCATCACTGCCTGCCACTCATGGACAAAGGCATCTTCTCGGCCAATACCTAACTGACCGTTGTTGTTTTGGCCTGCCACATACAGTGCATTGCCTTCTGTTAGAACTGCTATGTGACCGCTCCCAATGCCGACATCCAGGATATCAAGAGGCTCGTCATCTGCGTTGCCTGGGATGGTCACGAGGCTCACTTCACTGGGGATCAGAGCCTTGATGCAATGCTCACTCCCAGGGGTCTGTGCTCCCCACTAGAACCGTCAATACGCAGTCAGTATCGCCTCATCGCGCTCCGCGGTCGAGATATCGCAGTGCGATAGTACTTACAATGTAAAGAGCACCGTCTTCTGAGAGAGCAGCAGCCTGCCAGCCTCCAGCAGCGATCAACTTGATCGAAATGCCTCCTAGCGCTTCGACTGCTCCCGGGCGATGTGCAGGCACCGCCCCGTCACCAGCGACGTCGCGCCCCAGTGACTGATATCGAGAATCGCCCCTGGGTCTGTCGTAAGCATGTCAAGCCTGGTAAGAAGATCTGGCCTACTCACCAAGTCCAGACATCTCCGCGTTCCATGAGTAGAAGGAAATTCGCGACGTTCGCCTGGAGAGACTTTGGACGTCCAGGAAGCATATGGTGACTCGCGGGATAGTTGGATTCTCCACTCGGATCCTCATACCAGTGAAGAAACTTCTCAAAGGTGTCGAACTCTGTAAGATGGCAGACTTGCCCTTCTGGAGTCTGCATAGCTGTCATGGCAATGCGATTATTGCATGCCTGTGCAAGATAGCCAATTCGTGGGGATGCATCCATAGATTTGCATACTAGCCTTTGTTCTTCAACGACATAGAGTCTTCCTTTCTCATCAAGGCACCCGAGCATACCATCGTGATCTCCAATGGCAGACTTTAATACGCCCGCATCCGCATCCAAATCCAACTTGTGGTCTATTTTCTGATGTCCGACGCTACGAATTCGATCTCCCACAACAATGACAGTCGTACTCCACCCAGCGAAAAGAACTCTCGACTGCGCGCTGCCAGTTCCGGCAATGGGTTGAAACGTTTTGACATCTTCAGTCGTTGTTGAATCCAGTTGTCCATGAGCATTGAATCCCGCTGCATAAAGAGATTCTGGAAGTCTGCCGTTCAATGACATCGTTGTCGTCGTCGTCGTCGTCGTCGTCATCCAGATGAAATAAGAACCTGGACCATAAGGTCAGGTAAGGTACCTGAAGTATGTAACTTATCCCTTTTTCGAACCTACCCAGTCCCCTTAGGTCAAATGCGAATTTAGGTATGGCACCGCAAAGAAAACACCTGCATACAGGTACTTGTCTGTATCTAGCCACCCCACTCAAAAACTAGGTACAGTCGGTTGTAGGGTACCCCGCAATAGATACCTGCATCCGGTCTCGTAGCGTGCAGGCAACTATCCTATTCAAACGCTTCTTCCCGGGAATTGTTGTTAGAAAACTCGACGGATATACTATGGTATTAGGTAAGTAGAGCGAAGCGGGCTTATTCACACAAAACCCTCAAATATATAACTCGAGCTAAGTAAAGCGAAAAACAATTATTACAGATTACCTACTATTAGAAATATGTCTACCTATAGAATAGTATTATAAAACTAGGTACTTCTCTCTCCGTCTAGGTGTGTGCGATATGGATGGGAGGAATTGATTGATCAACCCGACGGACGGTTGTGGGAGGTTCTTTTTCCACTTTTTGTTCAATGCGGATTCTTCCTGGCGTGAGGAGGGACTGTGAGAGAGTGCTGTGATACCTACCCTATAGATAGGTATCGAAGGATAGGTGTGGACGATGGGAATTGACACTGGAGGAGGCAATTGGGGACCTTGGACAAGACATGATGGAACGAAGACGCTCGGAAATCGATTGCTGCAGGCCACATTTGAAAAAGAGAAGAGGCCTGTTACCTCAAGAAAGTAGGTACTGTGGCATTAGCTTGAGAATGTACAAGTATCAGTGGTCCGTGTCCGCTCTCCGAAACTCCCATCATACAACCAACTATTCTCATCGGAATTTGCTCACAACGACGGCGATGATGAGTATCACGAGCACAGCAATAATCGCAACGGTGATGATCTTGTTGGTAGCCATTCTAAAGACGCAGTCAGTACTGGAAAAGTCCATTGTCGCCCAACATCACCATAAACTTGGGAAATACCTTCGTGCCATGCCCTTCAACGTCTTATTGCTCCGATCCGTATATCCTTCACTTTCCAGTAACGTGCCTCGTGTGTGCTCAATAGTCTCGCGCTGTCTACTCAGATCCGCGAGGGTATTTCGACCAATGTCCTCTGTCTCCAACGCAATACGTTGTGATTCTCGTAGTCTCCCACTCGACCTCTCCAACCTGTCTGTGCCGCCGAGCAACTGCTGTCTCTGCTCCAACTGATCGTCCTGTGTGGGATTGTCTGTGTAGCGCTTGCCGAACAGCGCCTGACGGTCATTACTCGCCAGGCTCTTCAGTTTGCGCTTCGCTGCGTCGACGTCGCTTTCATAGTTGCGGAATCGCTGGTTGACTTTGACTTTCCAGGCTTGAGGAATGTTCTGCTTCTCGAGGCGCATCGAGTCGAGCAGTTCTCTGGCCTCTTCCAAGGCGCGCTCGGCCTGAGCGACATATGTTTTGCGCTGTTCGCCGGACAGTTCGGGGATCTGGTCGAGCTTCTGGGAGATGTCTGCCTGCACCAGCTTTAATTCGGCTTCGTAGTTGCTGAACAGCTCGGAGCCAGCTTCGGTGTCGAGTGAGTTGGACATGATGGCCCCGGTCGGGTGGTGTGAAAGGTGGCGGCGGCGGCGGTGATGGGAGTAGTGTTTGCTCGTTAATCTCTCGGGTATGGAATGGTGCGGTGGGGTGTGCGCGAGAGTCTGTGCAGTTGTTGTCGTAGTCGTAGAAGTAGCAAGGTGAGGTCAGGAAGTCGGTCGTTCGTAGTGTTGTGGTGTTGCGATGCCTCCAGGATGGTCGCTGCTCGATTCGCCGAAGTGCACCGCCACCGTTCCCTCGTATGCCCTTGCGCAGCTGCACCCGGACGCGTCGTTGGGTTACTAGCGCGTGGCTGGAGCTACAAAGGGCGATGATCGATTTATAGCATCACGCCATCTACATTACCTCCCCTAAGAACGTTAGATATACTAGGTAGGTGATATCCAGAGGCAGGGCCATCAATTATTACTACAGGCTTCCATCAATGACTACCTACCTGACCTTATGCCTAGGAAGATAATTTCCCCATCATGGAGAAGGACACTGCTGATAACGTTATCCATGTACCAACCACCACATCTAGCCGCACTGCCTGGATGGAGTAACTAGTGGAGCCAAGTCTTAGGTAGTCCTAGTCTCGCCATCATCCATCACCACAAGACATCCTCTCAACCAACCATCGCCCCAGCCGCTGCTGGTTGTCATTGTCTTTTCTCTCTCGGCCAGCCACTCTTCTCATGAACCTCTTCAGGCGCAAACAACCCGAGGCAAACAGCGCGAAGAAGAGGACGGAGATGGCGCCGCCGAAGAGGAAGAAGGTCGCTATCGTGGGCAGTGGATGCGCTGGCCTGGGAGCAGCCTGGGCATTAAAAGACACCGATTACGACGTTCATCTGTTCGAAAAGTCCAATGATCTCGGTGGTCATACCAACACGCAGCCGTTCCGATATGGTGACAAGACGATTCAAGTCGACACCGGCTTCATCGTCATGAATGCCGCCACCTACCCAAACTTCCTAGCCTTTCTCAAGCAGATCGGAGTCGATCCCGTTGGTACGGAGATGACTTTTGGTGTCTCCCGGAACCATGGCGAGTTTGAATGGTCAGGGGAGGGCAAAGGCATATTTGCTCAGCGTCGCAACCTATTCAGACCGCAGCATTGGCGGTTGATTTTCGACATCATCCGCTTTAATCAGTTCGCGCTGGACCTGATCGCAGACGATCCAGACGCCGCTGGAAGACTGGGCGCGTCCGCTGAGAAGAAGGAGCAGGCTGCGAGCTTGACCATTGGACAGTATCTGGACCGTGAGGGCTATTCGCAGGCGTTCCGTGACGATTACTTGATTCCCATGACTGCTGCTGTCTGGAGTACCTCGCCCGACAAGGCCAGTCTCGAGTTTCCTGCTCAGACTCTGATACGATTCATGTGGAATCACCATCTACTGTCGACCTTGGCAGAACGACCACCGTGGCTGACGATACCTGGCGGCTCACGGAGATATATCGATGCTATACTCGAGCAATTCCCCAAAGATCGCTTACATGTTCACACTCGTTGCGAGGTTGCCAACGTACTACGACCGGCCCCCAATACGAAAGGACCAGTGAGCGTAGCCTGGATCAATCGCGAGAGCAAAAGGGTCGATAAAGAGAATTTCGACCACGTTGTATTGGCATGTCACGGCGACGAGGTCCTGCCAATATTGGCCAAACACGGGTCGAATAGATCGGCTAGGTCGAACTCGAGTGCTTCCACGAGCTCGTCCGATGCAGGCAGCTTTGTCCCGTCTTCGCGGGGTGTACAAAACGTGAGCCAGGAAGAACATGACATCTTCTCTGCCTTCCAGACCACCGAGAACACGTGCTATCTCCACTCCGATCTGACGCATATGCCTACACGCCGAGCCACTTGGACTGCTTGGAACTATCTGGTTCGTATTACAGGTTCTGATCTGCGAGACGACGCGCTAACAACCTCCTCTAGGTGAATTCCCACTCATCACAGCAATCACATCCTGCAGGCGTCAGCCTCACATACAACATGAACATTCTTCAACATTTCCCGGAAGATCAATACGGCCATGTTTTGGTCACGATGAACCCCGACAGCGAGCCGAAACCAGCGCTGACGCAAGGCAAGTTCCATTACACGCACCCGCTGTATACGGTGGCATCTGTGCAAGCACAAGAGCGGCTCGAGGCGATACAGAACACTCGAGGTGTGAGTTATTGTGGAGCCTGGACCAAGTATGGCTTTCATGAAGACGGCTTCAGCAGCGGCTTACGAGTCGCCACTGAGCACCTCGGAGCCAAGTTGCCCTTTGAGTTTGTGGATTCGACATACAGTCGTGGACACAGACCGTCCTTGATCTGGAAAGACTATCTGCTCAGACTGGTCTTACTCCCGATGCTGCTCTTCATCCGAGCTCTAATGAGCTTTGTAGGGCTCCCCTTGATTGCACCAGTGGTCGAAGTCCTGGGCATCTATGGGTCGCGCGTGCTCGATCTCGGCGAGTACGTGGGTCTGTTATGAGTCTGCATCAGAGCGTGATAGATAATGGCCTTTGCAATGAAAGTAAATTCCTGAACATAGGTATAATTCCTAGGTAAATTAGATGTATAGAGCGTGGAACAGCGATGAATCTGCGAATTGTTTAGTCATGGCTAGCCTCAGCACTCTTCCACTCAACTTCCTCCTCCACCACCACCACCACCACCACTCCATTTCTCGGCTCACAATCTCAAACAACCAACAATCCACCCAATATGCTACCCGCAGTAGGAAATGATGTGCTCTCCGCCAATCCCAACTTCGAGGCGCTGTATCGTGATTTGTGCGTGAACAAGCTGAACGCCAATGCCACGACCAAGGTCGATCCGAAAGTACAAAAGGAGAGAAATGCTTTCGATGAAGTGAGTGCCGATGTTGCAAGCAAGAAGACGGGATGATGTCGACTATCATGTCGTTCATGGCGAAGGTGGTGCGCAGAAGAAACTGATGAGGAGACAGGAACTCCGCGCGGCGCGAAGCGAGGCAACCAAACGGGCTATTATCAAGTCCTATTTGGACTCTCTCTCGTACAGGAGCGACCAGTTGCCCGCAGAGGTGTGTCATGTCGGCTGGACTGTTCTCATGCTTGAACGCAACCTAACGAAAGTACATAGCTCCAGGAGCTCGTGGCCATTATCGCCGCAGCTCTGCAGTCACAGATGCCCAAAGAAGATGCTGGGTTGTTGAGAGAAGACATTGATAAATTTCAAGTGAGGCTGCCATCATGCTATATGTCTGTATAGGTAAGGTAACTAGAACTACATGACTGACAGCGCCGCCAGGAAAGCGTCAAACCCATTGCGAAAGAAATATGGAAAACGGCACTCGATGACCTCGTCACACTGGCCCGCATCTCTGCCCCAGAAGCACACTCCGACGGCGACGATCTGCCCGCTCGAATCCAAAGACAAAAAGACAACATCGCCGTCCTCGAAGAATCCCTCGCGGCAACACGCCTCCATCTCACCCACGAGGCCACACACATCCACGCACTCTCCCGCCAAGCGCTGGAGAAGTGCATTCGCACTCTCGAACAAGTCCTACACGGCTCCGTCTCGCGCAGCACCAAAGCCCGAGCCGAGTACTGCCAAATTGTGGCCGAAGGCATGAGTAAGAAGCTCCAAGTCCAACGCGCTCAACTGCTCTCGCAGACCAAATCTCCTGAATGGGAGGCCGCGCTCCAGACACACGCGGCACATGTCGATCGTGAGCATATGGCGTGTAAACGTAGGATTCGGGAGGTGGAAGAGCAGCTGGAGGCTTATTACCAACAAACTACTTCTGCTGCTACTACTACTGGTACTGGTATGTCGAGCCGAGGTGTTTCTGCTGCGGAATATAAACAATATAGTGAGATTATCCGAGAAGTAAGCAAGATGAGAGCGGATATTGCAAAAGTAGAGAACAGATGAGATGAAGCAGACTTAGCAGAGACTCCAGAGTGGAATCAATCCATGTCATCAATTCAAGGGGGGTCTCTAACTCTCTATGGAGATTGGAGGAGGATGAAATTATGGATAAAGTTTTCCTGACATAATAACGGTATAACCCTGTGCTCGCTCTCTCTCGGAGTCAGACTGTCAAACTGTCAGAGCCTCTTGGCGCTCTCTTTCCATCTCTTTCGCTGAGTTGCCCTGCTTGCCGTGCCCCTGGCTAGTATTGTACCTCTGTACCTCCTTTTTGTTCTGGGTTTATTGCCGCGGTACAATTGGGAGCTATTCTACCTGAGCTTGAGAAGAACAAACGTGGGACTCGGGAGCTCTTTTTCCAACCCCCTTCATCATCACACTGAGAACCATCATTACAGTTACAACAACTATTTACTACTACTACTACTACTACTACTACTACTACTACTACTACTACTACTACTACTACTACTACTACTACTACTACTACTTGCGACTGCTGTTCGCTCTTGGTCCATTATACCAGAATGACAAGAAGAATATATTGAAAAGAAAAAACCACCAATCCATCCATACACTACCTTACACTACTACTCCACACAATACGCCACCGGGACAATGTCTGTCCTCGAACGGCTGAGGGAAGTCTTTAATCTTAGGGCTTTTGCGGAAGAAGTAAGATACACCCATACCTTATCATATTCTTTTGTCAATTCGGGACCTGTTTCTCAACCTTTTTCTCTCTCTGTCTCTCTGTCTGTCTCTCTTGCCACCCCTCCCCCTCTTTTTTTTATTCTCTTCTAAATCCGCTTCCTCGGGTTTTGAGGAAGAAAGAAAAGAAAGAAAGAGAGAAAGATACTTGGTTGCTGTTGTTGCTGTGAAGAAGAAGAAGAAGAAGAAGAAGAAGAAGAAGAAGAGGAAGAAGCGATATGCAAAATATTGCCAACCAACAGCAATGACCACAAACACACACGATTGGAGAGCAGAAATCGAAGAGAATATCAAGATTTTGAGTGAAAGTGTTCGTGCTGCCTGCCCCAATATTCATATTCTTATTTCCTTTTGGTCCTCTTTTTTTTCCTTTCTTGTATAAACACCTACAAAATATATATGTATATTTCCATTTCTACCTACCTCTGTATTATCATTTTACTGAACACACTTCACCTCACACACACAAAAAGAAAAGAAAAAGAAAACAAAAAGAAAACAAACTAACATCTCCCCCCTCCTTCTCCCTCTCCGCCCCATTCTAGACCGAAGACGACGACGACGAAGACAACTCCACCTCCAACCTCTCCAAACCCAAAACCAAAAACTTCCTCATCCCCTGGCTCCAAACCCTCGAAATCACCTCTGCCGAACTCCTCAGCCCGACGACCACCAAAATCACCTATCGCTTCCCCGTCACGCGCGAATATCTCAATCCCATGCGGACGTTCCACGGAGGAGCCATTGCTGCCATGTTTGACGTGTGCACGACGTGGACGTTATTTCCCATTGCCGATTATGGATTTTGGTCGACTATGGGGACCACGAGGAGTTTGGTTTGTACGTATGTGAAACCCGTGTTGGAGGGGGAGGTGGTGGATGTGGAGTGTCGGGTGAGTTTTTTTTTTTGTTTTTTCTTTTTCTTTTTTTTTTCTTTTTATTTTTCTTTTTATTTTGTTTTTTTTTCTTGCCTTTTTCTTGCCTTTCTTTCGGCAATATCTGTTGGTATGGCAAATAGGTGGTACCTTATGCTGACTTGGTTTCGAACGTGTTTTTTGGGGGGTGTTTTTAAGATCGTCCATGCCGGAAAGAGACTCTGCTTATTGACGGGAATCATGAAGAGGGAAAAGGATGGGGCGATTGTGGCGACTTGTGAGCATAACAAGTACAATATTGATGCGGACGAATCGAAAATGTAAGCAAGAGTTGGGTATGATATGGTACGACATGACATGGCTATTCTATCCTGTCTTGACATATACACGAGGACCTCATGATACAAACAAAATTATACAAGAGCCCCTCCTCATCTCATACAATGTCATTCCTTCTTTCTCTTTCTTCTCAAAAATCCGTCACTCTACCATTATAACTCCAATCCCCCTGCCATCTCAACGGATCATTCTTCGGCCCTCCAACTTCTCCCGTTTTGGGATTAATATCTCCCTGAAATTCCGGCGCAGCACCTCTTCTCACATTCGGATGTAATTCCTCCCCATCACCTTTCGCAGAAACTTGTGCTCGTGCTCGTAATTGCTCCAACATCTTTTCCGCCTCGGAAGACCTCGTTGTTGTGGTGGAGGAGGTACTCGCGCCGGCTGCAGCGTCCTCTAGCTGTTCTGCCTTGGTATTGGTGTTTGTGGATTCTACGTCTGCTGCCTCTTGCTTCGGCTGACTGAAAGCTCCTGTTGATTGCTGTTGCAGACGCTCAAAGATTTCTTGCTCTTCTTTGGGGAGTCGTGGTGGCGCGGGGCCCGTGGACCATTTCGCTCGGGCGGTGGTGGCGGTGGTGAACAGTCGTCTGGTGAAGAAGCCGGGGCGGATGGCGCGCATGGTGAGTGTCATGGTCTGCATTTGTCTCCTTCTGTCTGCTGTGGATTGGTGAGTGGCGATGTTTGTGCTGTGAGTAAGGTGGAAAGTGGTATGTGAGAGTATCACCTGCACTTGTAGAGGCAAGTTTAAGCGGGAAACTCGTCACCATTTCGGTTATAGTAGCTATAGGGTAGTTCTACCTCGCCAATCCATTTCCGTATTCCCGGCGTGTTCAGCTTCACTTCATCGCGCATCTTGGCAGTCCTGATATCAGTCCGCGTGTTTGACACCCCAAGGCGTGAGCGCGGGTCTTGAGGACAGACATGGCCGAGTGCGAGTGATATCTCCGTTTCTCTTTCTAATAAATTACCCTTTATATACAGGCGAGTTGCCCTACCTATCTACGAGTGGGCCGAGTCTCAAACGAAATATTCACTCGACTTCACTTCGAGGATTCTCATCTAGCGTAAGTGACTGTAGGCAGCCGAGTGCATAGAGCCTCGTGGATTTCTGTCAAACGCCCCAGGCTTCAACAGCATGAACACCTTTCTAACAAACTTCTTCTTCTTTTTCTTCTTCTTCTTCTTCTTCTTCTTCTTCTTCTTCTTCTCCTCCTCCTCCTCCTCCTCCTTCTTCTCCTTAGTCTTCTTCTTCTGCTGTACATTGTGAAGCGCGTCTATTGTCAGACTAAGTACATGTAAGAACAATAACACCCGCTTGCCTCATCCCCCAGCCACTAATGAGCGCTAGCGTCGCCCGGACTCCTGCTCAGCAAACAATCACACCAGAAAGTGCCAAGCCCTGTTCGACACCTCCTAGCGACGCACTCCTCCCTCCAAGACACACGCACAAACCACAAACCACAACGAAATTGCAAAAATGCTGCAATTCATCAGAAACATGGCACAGTGGCCATCACTTCGCCGCTTCTTTAACCAGATACCGGGTCCATTCCTCGCCAAGCTGACGAGACTGTGGAAACTATACCATCTCCTTGTCGGCTCGTACACGAAGCGCGTCAACGAGCTTCACCGGCTATATGGTACGTCCGCAATGCCTTTGGTCACACACCATCACGCGCGCGGTGTTCAGGCAGCCGTGTCGACAGGGAAAGTGACGCACGACTAACCCGCTCATCATCCAGGTCCAATTGTCCAAATCGGCCCCCGAGAATACAGTTGGATGTGCGGCAAGGCCGAAAAACAAGAACTCGTCTTGATCGGCAAGAAACTGTCGAAAACCACAAGCACCATCGCACCCGACGCGCTGGTCTCTCTCGTCGCCTGTACTCACATGGAGAGACTCAAGCGAAACGAACACTTGATTCGTGCTTGTGATGACCAGTTTCTCGACCTTCTTTTGCTCGCCGCCCAGAACAAGAAGCCGGTCGATGTGGCCAATGTGCTCACGCGTTACGCCTTCGAGGTGATGATTGCTATGACCACCGAGAAACGCGCTGGCTTCTTGGATGCGTCACCAAGCACAGAAAGAGTTGTCCGCCAGCTCGCCTCCTGGAAATTTCATAGCGTCTTATTCGGCTCGTTCCTGCGTTATCATCCGCTGATCAACTCGATTCTCAAGAAGCTACATTTCCATAGCCAGGGCCAGAGCCTGCTTGACCCGGTCATGGACGTGCTCGGACAGGACCCCAACGAGAACGGCAATCTTGCTTTCCCCGTTCGTGACAAAGAAGCAAGAATTGCACTGGTGCTCGCCGCTGCAGACCCTACCATGACGCTCATCCTCGAAGTCCTCAGGACTGTCAGTCAGGATCAGGAGTTGCAGTCGCAGCTGTCAGAGGAGGTGAGAACCTCCAGCTTGACTAAGTCTCCATCGTTTCAATCAATCATCATACACAAGGCCAAGGCTCCGCTGCTCCATGCTGTCATACAGAGGCAGATTCGTACTCAGAAGCTATCTGATACTGGGATCAGCTTTGTTGCGGGCGCTGGCGGCACACGAATTGGAAATATCGTCGTGCCTGAGAAAGAGACCATCACAATCACCTCCGTTGACAGTGGCCTCGAGCCGGTCAATATTCGCAGTCCACAGGCACTGGATCCAGGTCTAGCACCAGAAATCAACCGCCAGCTCCCGGCGTATAACCTCTGGAGCTCCGACCATTCTTTGAATGATTGCCAGCAATTGCTGGCAGCGAAGCTGTTGATACAAGTGCTGCAGCACTTCAAGATCGCTAGCCTTAGTAACGGACACATGTCTTTCACTGTGGCTGCGGACGAAGCAGGTAGAGAGCCTGCTTCTGCTGGATCACCATCTGACTCCGACACTCTGATAACCCTTTCCGACATGGAAATTCTCCACGAGAATCTTGGTCCTCAGCTGACCGACACCATCTTTGAAGTTTTCAACCCTGCTGAAGGCAGTATAATGCCGAGGAACCACACTTTCATGGTCGGGCCCATTTCTCACTCGGGGGCTCGTCATAACTTGCATCAAGCCCTCGAGAATCTATATGGCAAGCGGATTTTGCACAAGACTGATGTCGACAATGTCATGTACATTGCTGCGAAGGGAGTGTACCTCAGGAACTTCACCTCGAAGAATTACCGAGGTTCGCGAAACAATCGGAGTGGCTCTAGTCGCCGAAACGGCCACGTCCACCCCTGGTACAAAGACGCGATCAATGGTACTCGGTCATCAAGCAGCGCCCTTCTTGACCCGGCCGCATCTCTACCACAGCCGTCTGACGGACCGCAGACTCAGCCCGTGGCACCAGTCAATGCGACGGCGTCGTCTTCACGACCTCAAGATGCCCGACCAGGTCCATTGCATAGAAATTCTGGAGAAGGGGCGATTGATGAAGAGAAGCATGGAAGTAGCCCAAATATACTTGAGAGCTCCACTCAGCAGTGCGAGCAGCAGATTTCATCGTCGGATGCAGCCACTGCCCCAGCGCCCGCATTACGCTTCAAAGAGAGATTTCTCCAGAAGGCCTCCAACCGTCTCGCGGGACCAAGAAAGACTTTAAGCATAGAGACAACCGTCCACGATGCTACTGGTAGCACCACCATTGACGGACCCGGTGCGGCGTTCTCGCAACATACTGTCAAGACCGGATTGCCACCATCGAATGGTACAGTTACTGGCTTTTTGCCACCGCACAAGCGAGCAGCGCTTGAGCGCCAGCGCCAGCGGCAGGCTGACGAGGCCGCTGCGTCTGCATCAGCCCCGCGAGTCTCGACGACTCTGGATCCCGTCGCCCCCATCTTCTCCACTGTCGTCGACAAGACCCAGCCAGAGGCGTTGCAAGCTGACAGCATGCAAAACGCGACGACCTTCACAGAGACAGGTTCTACTGATGCCACTGCTGCTGACCCATTTAACTTCTTCGCCATCACCCCAGCGAAAGAAGCCTCTCCTGCGCCAGCAACTTCGCCTCACGATGTGATCAACTTGTTCACCGGTGAACCCGCTACTGCAGACGACGTCGCTGACCGCTGGACCACCGACATCGTAATCTCTGGTGACCTCTCCTCCTCTGTGCAAGAGCCGCCGACTGCCCAGGCACCTTCCACCTCCCCACAGCCGTCCCTCGTGCGCTCCCATGGCTCCATGGATATGAGCAGTGCACCCAACCCCAGCAGTCCTGTTTCGCCTGCTTCTATCCCCGGCAGTCTCAGCCCCCTCGCACCAGACTTTGTCCCAGGTTCTGCTTCTTCCTGAACAGAGTAAAGAGGAAAAGAGTACTATGATGGATGACATGAAAAAGACAAAAAAAAACACTGAAGGTCCAAGGATGATGCGACGCAATGCGACGAGATGTTGCTTGCTCGGTATCAATCAATGGGCGGGCGCCTTTCGGCCGCTGATGAATCGATCGATCGATAGATGATGATGATGATGATGAGAATGGACAGGACAGCACACGCGTAATGAACAGCTTGGTTTGGTTTGATTTGATTGTGATACCCCAAGGGAGGAGAGGCGTTTTATCACACCCACCCAGCAAGACACCCAGCAAGCAGGTTTGAACTGAGAATGAAGCAATCGAGAAAGGTTCTGTTGGTTTGTTCTCGAGGACTAGCCTAACGGGACGTAGGGAGGGAGGTATGGATGGGAGAGCGCGTGTTTTTTTCTTTTTTTTCTTTTTCTGCGGACGTGTTTTTTTGCTTTGATCGATCGGAAATGGTTAGGGAGAAACTGCTACTTGTTACTTGCTGTACTTGTTACTTGTCACTTGTCACTTGTACCTGTTATAGCGCAGAGAATTGATGCTGAAAATGAAAATGAGAAAAACAAAAAAAAAAGAAAAAACTCAAATGTGACAATTCGTTCTTTTCTTTTTTCTTTGGTCAAGATTTGACGCATGATTGATTTTTAGTCCATCCATCCATCCATCCATCCATCCATTCGTTCTTTCGTTCGTTATAAACCGCGAGAATCCCAATTTTCTTCTTCAAATCCTAACTACCTTACCAAGGTACTTCCTTCCTACCACTTCCTACTCCACCTCCATCAACTTCGGCGCCTCATCCTCATCTCCATCCCCATCCTCAACAGCAAGCCCCTCCCTCCAAACAACCGCCTGTCTCGGCCAAACCCTCTTATACAAACTCACCGCAACGGAATCCAAAGGATTAATCTTGGCATCAAACGTCGCCTTGAAATAACCATGCGTGCCCAACGTATCTTTGATGAATCCGCTTCGGCCGCGTTTCGTCCACAGCTGCAAAGCGCGGAAATAAGCCACGTCGTCGTGGTGGAAAAACATGTAGCGGACGGTGACGACGCGCTTGTGGATTTTGTAGGGGTGGCCTGTGAGAATGATGCGTTTGGCGATGATGCGTTGGGTTGAGGGGGGAAGGGTGGTTCCTGTGGCGAGCATTTCGAGTTGGGTGTGTTGTTGTTTTTGCTGGGAAGATGCGGAGATTTGGCGGAGGGATTGAGCGAGGTCTTCGATGGCGTCTTCTGCTGCTGCTGTGGGAGCTCGGAAGAAGAGGCAGGGGATGCTTCCCCATGTCACGGGTCCGACGAACGTGGCAACTGCGGTGCGGCCGGGATGGAGAAATCGGTCGAATTTGTGGACGTTGTTGGGCGTGTTTCCTGCTGCGCTGAAGAGAGGGTTGAGGAGGAGACGGCGGAAACCGCATTGAATGATCATGGGGGTTTTGCTCTTGATGGGCTCGGGGTAGTCGGATGGGAGGGTGATGGAGACGTTGACCACGGTGCGTTTGTGTTCGTGTCGGAGGAGGGAGAAGACTGCTGTTGGCTGGGGCAATGTTTGCAGCTCTACGGTACGGTCGTGCGGGATACGCAAGTACACATGGACGCGAGTCCCGGGCTTGACACCACCTGTGATGGCTTCTTTGACGACGCGATTCTTGGCTGATTTGTAGTCTGCAATCTCGAGCAGGCGGGGATAGTCCTCTGGCTGATACGGCTTGTCCTCTTCTGTTTCCCAAGCACTGGTGCGGAGACTCTTCAGTCCTCTGTACTTGGCTAATCGTTCACGGGCATTAACGCCAGGATGAAGCTCGATTTCATCTGGAAACTCCAGATCATCCTCCGCATCATCACGGCGGGACTTTCGATATGCTTCGATTTGCTCTGCCTCGTCCTCGGGTGCTCGATCATCGAACATTTCGCTCTGCGGGTACTCTGACGGTGCACCAGCTTCTGTTTCGGCATCCATACGATCTTCAAAGTGGCCATCTGCGGGACCTGCCGCAACGGAGCCATTCATGTTCATGTTCATGTTCTCATCATCATCGTCGTCGTCCCCATCCTCCAGGTCCGAGCCCGAGTAGTCCACATCGTCCAGATACCACGCGGCCTGGTATTTGCTGGTACCTCGGGGCAGGCGTTTTGGTGCAGGTATGTCATCTCGGTCGTCGTCATTGAAGTAGTGGTGATCGTCGAGCAGCACGGCCTTGCGTTCAGAGGGCGCTATCGATGCATTTGGTACATCGTCCATCGTGGCCTCCTCTGGTGCGAGTTCTGCAAGATCATCCTGCTCCTCGTTGGCCTGGTCTAAGATCTGCTCTCCTTGGGCTTCGTCTATTGCCATCTCATCCTTTTTGTTCTTTTTGTGCCTCGTTTCGAGCGGTGCTGCCACCACTTTCTCAATCTGGAAGTCGCCCCAATCGCCAACCTGCACCAACCGCTCAGCTTTCAGACCTCTTCCTCGTACGACACCGGTGACTACAGCATGTTCACCTTCCCATCTGCAGTCTTCCAGCAGCATCCAGCTTCTATCTTCACGCCATCGAATGCCCTTGGGCATGGTCGTGCACAAGCTACGCATCACATTGCTGCATTCCTGCCTGTTCCCCAGATCGTGGACTTTTTCCTGTGTGTTGAAGAAGTGTGTGATGAAGCTCTTGAGACTCTTGACCACGTCCGGCCTCTTCTTGGCCGGCTCTACTCTGTCCAGCCCGTAGACGCCGGTCAGCACGGTGGACACGCCTTGAGCCTCGATGCTTCGCAGCAGTTCCTCTCCCAGCTCGTCTACCTCCTGATTGGCACTGAGCACAAACAATACAAAGTCGGCGACCCGACAGCTATCCAGACATTGCAGCACATTACGATTGGGAGTGAGAAAGCGCACTTTCTGCTTGAAGCGAGGCACGTAGGTGCTCGACGACTGCAGGTCCACGTCGTCGCCATCAACGCTGGCGCTCAGCTCCCCCACCACTTTCTCGCCGCTCACATCGTCGCACAGCGGTACCACGGCAATGATGCGCGGTGCAGCATCCCGCCCCGCAAACACGGAAGCCTTGTCCTCGCGATCGTGGGCGTGATTTTGACGCAGCTGCTTGGCTCGATTGCGGCGATCCATCTTCGACAGTATCTGCTGCTGGGGCGTCTTTCGACTGCCCTGCTCCCACCCTTCCACCTTTCCCTTCTGCTCGTTCTTCAGCGACGATTTGGAGGCGTGGCGAGTTTTGAAGGGCTTGTTGACCTGCTTCGTCGTCGGGCGGTGCGAATGGTGGTCCGCCATTGCGGGCGCGGGTGTGGGAGTGGAAGAGCGTCCAGCTCGAAATCGAAAGGGAAGTGCGCTCGCCAGAGTGTCTGGTGTGTGTATACGTATTCTCGGTGCCTGTGCCCGACCTGGTCCTGTATGTCGACGACGCACTCACACATGGACATTTTTTTAGCTTGTCGATAAGGAAATGTCTTGGCGCGCTTCATCTGACTAACTTAGCTCACTCATGTCCCTCCTACTTCACACCTCACCACTGTGAGTCCTTTGACTCCAGAGGCACGTCTTCTCGTTAAGACTCCAGATTCACTGACCGCGTCGCTCAGTATACTCTCCCATCCACAGGCTACTCATATCCCACCTGATGAACTTTCAGCACTGAATATGGGTACGGTAAGTCGAGTGATGAAAGCAGTATGACGTTGAGCGTCCGTCATGACAGCTCAGGAACAACTACATAACATGTGCTAGAGCCATTGAGCTGCTCAGTCTTTTCACTTTACTTTACTTCACTTCACTTCACTTCACCCTCCCTTGTTTGCCCCCATCAGACACCAATCATGACCACCAAGCTAGAGTCCGTCTACAAGCTCAAATGCAGCTGCAACCAGTACCCATGGGGCAAGCAGGGCAGAGAGTCCATTGCTGCTCGTCTGTGTGAAAAGCAACAAGGATGGGACGGCAAAGGACCGCAGACTCCCTTCAAGATCGACAATGATAAATCATACGCGGAGATGTGGATGGGAACCTACCCAGCCTTGCCATCCTATGTCGAGGAGACCGGAGAGGACCTCCAAGATGTCCTGGACCGCTATCCCAAGGAGCTTATCGGTCAAGAGACTCTCGACAAGTTTGGTCACTCCAAGTTGCCATATCTTCCCAAAGTGCTATCGATTGCGAAAGCCCTGCCTCTCCAATTGCATCCCAACAAAGAAGTAGCAGCTAGGCTACACAAGGAAAACCCAAGTGACTTTACGGATCCCAATCACAAACCGGAAATCGCCCTCGCATTGGGTAAATTCGAAGCCTTTTGCGGCTTTAAGCCCCTAGCAGACATCGCAGACCTGCTCAAACTCAAGCCCCTCCAACAATTCATCCCAGAAAACACTCAACTCTCCTCATTCACCAACCAACAACTCAAGTCGGTCGTAGGAAACATGCTCAAATCCTCCGAGTCCACCGTCAAATCCGTCTACCAAGGCCTCACATCCCTCCCCTCCTCAGACTTCGGAACCAAATTCTCCCAAATCCCCACCCTCGCCCCTCGCCTCGCAGAACAATACGGCTCGTCCGACCCAGGGAACCTCGTCGCCCTCATAACAATGAACTACCTCGTCCTCCAAGCCGGCGAAAGCATCTACATCCCCGCCGACGGAATCCACGCCTATCTCTCCGGAGACATCATCGAGTGCATGTCACGAAGCAACAATGTCCTCAACACAGGTTTCTGTGCCCGAGCAGACCGAGACAACATTGACCTCTTTCTCGAATGCCTCACTTTCACTCCTCATTCCGCCCAAGAGGCGATTCTGAAACCTGAAGCATATGCTAAGAGCAAAAATGGCAAATCTACAGTTTATGCACCTCCTTTGCGAGAATTCGACATGTTGCAAACGGAATTGAAAAATGCAGGGGAAAAGGAAGTTTTGGCTGCTGTGGGTGGACCGAGTATTATGCTTGTGACGAAAGGTGATGGAAAGATGAAAGTGCGTGGAAAGGAATTTCATCTGAATGAGGGAGCGGTGTATTTCATTGGACAGGGAGTCGATGTGGAGATTGAGAGTACAACAGGAGAACTTCTGCTGCATACTGCTCTGGTGGAAGGTAGTACGTCGTAGGTAGGTAGCTAGGTATATGTACATGTATAGATAGATTGTGATGTAATGATTTTCATGTCATAGAGTCGTACATGTCGTGATTTCGCTTCATCATTTCTATCAAAGTCTTTATTGCTTGGTCCGCGTAGGCAAAAGATCATCTCGCAACCCGCAATCATCATGTCGCTTTCCCTTTTGCATCAACTTCGCCACCTCCTGCGCCCACCGTCTCCTTGTCAGATCGTCGCTTCCACTGAGCAGCAGCCGAGCCATAAGCAGCAGAAACACTTGACCCAGCAGAGGCCATTTTCGACTGTGCCCACCTCATATAACTGTGCTCATTCTTCTTCTCCACTTCTTTCTGCAGACCATCCACATACTGCTCAGAAACGTCATCACCACCACCATCAGCTTGATCCCTTTGCTCATTCTGATCCCTTTCTCTCTTCTCCATCTCCTCTTGCTCCTTCAGCGCACGAGTCTCCTCCTCCAGGCCCTCTACATCCACATCTTCAAATCCGATATGTTTGAGAATAGGTCCCGTGAGAAATCGGTAGCGAGTATGCCCACTCACGAGGTCACTGACGTCGACATTTTCCACGCCTTTGACACCCTCCACGGCTTGCAACCCTGCTACCCCCAAAGTGATACTCTGACTCCGATACAGAAAGCCCAGAACATAGTCGTTTGTCGAGTAAATGTTCACGACCCGTCCGGCAACCACGCTACGGATTTGACGCCAATCGGCAGAAGCTGAGGGAGCTGGCGTACCGATCAGGATGGCATTCTCGACTAATCCAAAGGCTTTGCGTGCGGCGAGTTCTTGGAGACAGTGAAATATGACTTTGCCGCCGAGACTGTAGCCTATGAGTGTGACGGGTCGTTCACCTTGCGCTTTATTGATGATTGCGTCAGCGAGGATTTGGCCGCATTTTGCAGCGCGGTGAGAGGCAACCGAGAAGGGGTTGTCGATGATGCGGCCGACCTGGGAGGGGAGAAAGTCAGCCCGAGAAAAGTTGCTTTGTGCTCATCAAGAGGGATGAGGATTTACCTTGAGGATGGCGAGTGGCCACAAGCCTGCATATAAAGCACCCAGAAGCGTGCGTTTTATGATTTCGGTTTTGGCATATGACCATGCTGCACTCGTGACGAGAGTTGTCATGGAATTTCCCAGATTCATCAACGCTTCCAACTCCCATCGTAACGCGAAGGATTCAAGTTGTACACCAACGACTTTCCAAGGTTCTACAACCTCCTCTTGTTTCGTCAGCCAACCGCTAATTCCAATGGCAACACGCAAACGACGATATTCCTTTTCGATCTTGCGTGGACGGTGATGTGTTCGCACGGGCTCGAAACCAAAATCTTGTATCGCTCTGGCATATTCGTCCATCATTTTGGAAGTCATGCGTCCACCATATGCACCGAATAGACCACCGACTAGTACACCAGATCCTGCCAAGGCTCCCAGATAGCCTGCTGTAGCTGTGCCAGCCAGACCTATACCACCCATGACTGTTCCCACACCGGCTGCTAACAGTGGGGCAGCAAGACCACCTGTCACACCAATCAGTGCCGCTCCTGCGACTGTGGCTAATCCCACTTTCCACTTTCGACTCGTTTTGTTCTCTTCGGCTTTCTTTTTCGTCTCTTCGTCCGCACTCATATTTTCTGCAGCTGCCAGTAAGCCACGGGCAACTTTGCTTTCGTCCAATCCAAGGATGTCAATGGGCAAGTCTAGACTGGTTGATAGTCGGAGGAGGAGAACGCGGGACTCAGCATGGTAGTGCTCGAGACTGAGTAGAAGCAGGAGAACTGAGTGCATAATCAGAGTACGCTTCGCCTCTGGTAGTTCTCTTAGTGGATTCTCTATGGGGGGATATAGGGATCTCATGGCATCGTTGACCGTCTTGTCGTATCTAGGAGGGCTGTCAAACTTCATGGGCGGTGATGATGCCGCTTTCTCGTGATTCTGCTCTTTCTTGGCTGCATCCTCGTCGTGTTTGACACGCGCCTCTTCCTCTTCGTGCGAGTTGAGCACTTCGCCGACTCGCTGGATCACGCTTACCCGCCAGTCCTCCCAGTGGGCGAGCGCCGCCTTCTTGAGCTCCTGCATCTTGGCCGCACTCAGCTCGTTCTCCCGCTGCGCCGTTTCCGCCTGCCGCTTCTCCGCCTCCTTGTCCTTCACTTGCTGCTCATCTGGCGTGGTATCGGCATTGACATTGGCCCGTACAGGTGCTTCGAGGTCCGGTAGTGCTTCCTTGAGGTCATCCACATGCAAGTCTGTGTGACTACTCGTCGCGTTCGCGTCAAAGGTGTCTTCAATGGCCTTTTTCATGGCCTCGGTGCAGTCGGCAATCAGGAGGGTCAGGGCGCCTCGATCTTCGTGGCTGCGCAGGATGGTGGTGAGGGACTCGCCATCGTCGCTGGCATCACCGCCATGAGAGCGGCCGGACAGCGCGTGGGCAGCGCGGGAGAACATGTTCACGGTGGTTTGTAGGAGGTTGCAGTCAATCTACCGGGCGAGAGAAGGGCGGCCATTGTCAATCAATGTCCGCCAGGCAGGCACAGGTGAAAGATGGAACTATGACGTCGAAGGAAAGAACGATTCCATCCCTGCTCCGACTTCACATGCAATCTGCTTAGTCAGTCGGCGCTAGTCATACGCCGCTGAACTTTTCAATTCACTTGTCTCTTCCTCTTCCCTTCAACAACAACAACCATATCTATATCCATCTTTATACACGTGCACAATGAAGACGGTATGCATCGTCGGCGCAGGTCCCGCTGGCCTCGCCAGTGCTAAAGTGCTGCTTCAGACGGCACAATTCGCCGTCACCATCTTCGAGCAGGCTGACAAGATTGGGGGTATTTGGAATATCAACCAAGAATCGCCGAGTAATGGCTTCTTGCATCCAGACACGCCCACCAATCTCTCGCGGTTCACGGTCGCCTTTTCTGACCTGGACTGGCATTCTGTTGGGCTCGATACGGTTCCTATGTTTCCAAAGGCATGGCAAGTGAATAGATATCTCGAAGCCTATACCAAGAAGAATATTCCCAGCAATGTGTTCCGATGCGGTTGCAAGGTTGTCAAGACAGAATTCGTAGAGGAACAGTGGCAAGTCACTACTCGTGACGGCAAAGGAGAAGAGAGTGTTCACCATTTTGATCATCTGCTTCTGGGATCGGGTTTCTTCTCACAACCTCGACCCGTCCATCGAGACGTGCCAAATGTAGCGTCGGATCTCGGCATCAAAGCGATACACAGTGCAAAGTTTCGGACTCTGAGTGACCTATTCGTCGATCCTGCTGATGCCACGGGTAAAACAATATTGATGATTGGCGGTGGCAACTCGGCAGGTAAGTGGACAGGCTTCCTATGCTGCAAATTAACGCCTGAGTTTACACAATACAGGTGAAGCTGCAGCTGCCGTTGCCCAACAGTTGTCCGATGCTTGGTATAGTCCAAACACAGGCCCGCAGGAACTATACAAAGGCTGCAGAATTGTACATGTGACGCCGCGCCCGCTGTATGCCCTGCCCCCGTACAATCCTATCGACGAGCAATATCAGGCGTTTGTTCCGCTGGATCTGAAATTGTACGATCTCTCCAAGCGTCCTGTGGGTCCCATTACAGGAAACGCGGGAGAACTCACTCCTATTGTCAAAGATATGATTCATAAAGCACTCCAGACTCAAATAGGTGGTGATCAATCCGATCTAGCAAGTCCCGCTTTGACGATTCCCTCCCAGGAGCCACGATCACCAGTATATGTCGCAATATCCGAAAGCTATCCCGAATTTGTAAGGAGCGGCTTGATTGAAGTTGTCTCTGGCAGAGTGGTAGAGATCGAACAAGATGCAGGAGTGTCAAAGACATGTTCTGCGAAAGTCGAAAACGCTGAAACCACACTCAACTTCTCCAACATCGGAGCCGTCATCTACGCAACAGGCTACTCGCCCTCAACAGCGCTTTCTTTCCTCCCTTCCGACGTAAAGGAAAAACTCCACTATGACCCGACCAGTGCCCGCCTGCCCCTGGTCCTTTCAGGTTGGCAAACCATGTCCCCAAAAGTCCCAAGCCTAGCACTCATCGGTTTCTACGAGGGACCATATTGGCCCATCATAGAAATGCAAGCACGCTTCACCGCCCAACGCTGGCTATGCCCAGCGGAATCTCCCACCATCTCAAATCCGTACGAAGAACCCTCCAAACTTCTCACCCTCAGAAATTCCATGAAATCCCACAATCTCTTCATCCCCCAATACTGGTTCGGAGACTACTCGGGCTACATGGAACAACTCGCCTCCCCGTTTTCTTCCCTTCTCAACCTCATCCGAAATGACTCGCCCTTCGCTTCCCCCCGCCACGGCCCCGTCTCACCTGCCAGATACCTCTGGCCAGGAGACGATATCCAACAAGCCACTTCCACGATGCACGATCTCCACCGCATCTGGCGCGAATGCACACTCGAAGGAAAATTCGTCGCGCGAGCGGTGTTTCGAGCTTTGCAGGGAAATTGGAAATATCGTCGCACGATTCAGGAGCCTTCGCATGATGTCGATAATCCGAACACCCAGGGACTCACAGCAACAACAACAACAACAACAACAAGTGAAGACCTCGGTTCCGCAAAATTTCATCCCCGAAAACCGACAGATGAAAATTTCGATCTGGAGTATCTGTATATTGAACAATCGACCAACAGCAACCCAGCACCAGCACCACAATCCATCCCACCGCGCACGAAACATTCCTCCTACAACTCCATCTACGTATACCGCTACTCCGAAGTCCACGACGAACTGAGTATATGGTCCGTCGTCCCATCCGACTCAACTTCTCCTTCTTCTTCTTCTCCTCACCCTCCCCCCTATCTTTTCAAAGTCGCCAGCCTTCTCCATACCTTAAATTTCAAATCCAAATCCAACCCCCAAGCGGCGACAAAACAAGAAGAAAACAAGGGAATTATAGCTCAAGCATCCAGAACAGAAGGTTTCATGTGTGGAAAAGACAAAGAAGAAGAAGGGAGAGAAGAAGATTCGAAAATCGGTTATAAATTTCCTATGCGAGGAATTAGTTTGAGAGAGTGGATGAGGGAGGAAGTTTGGAAATTATCATCAGTGAGAGTTGGGAGGATGAGGAGTGAAGAAGAAGAAGAAGAAAAGGAGGAGGCGACAAAAGAAAAGAAGAAATATGTGGTAAAGACGGAGTATTTTAGATAGAAAGGTGGATATGTGAGGTAAGTAGTGTACCTAGAAAGGGATAAAACAACCAACCGGACTGCACCTCAGTGAGCCAGAGCCAGCTGGCCCTGTCTATGTGATCACTGTGACTGACTGGAGAGAATACAAGATATTCCGCGATGCGACATAAATCATAAAATATCGGACGGGTATATATACGTTCAGTAAGGTAAAGTAGATAAGGTAGTTTCAGGCGAGGAAAAGAAGAAACGAAAGAAAGAAAAAAGGTCACTTCATATATCCGCTCATTCGCATCGCATTTCATCCCATCATCGCCAAGTCAATTGCCCGAAATCGGAAAATGGAAAAGAATCCAACGTTAACCATAAATCCGGGTCCAAGGGGAAATCATCTCCTCCTCCTCCTGATCCACCTCCTCCACTATTGCTATAAATCCCTCCTGCTGCTCCTCCTCCCATCATCGAAGCGCCAAAAGGAGAGTTGGAAGAAAGAGGACCGGTTTCCACAGAGGTCACGACCCGATTCATGGGCGTCGTCATACCGGAGGATGATGGGGATGGTTGTGTGGGTAGGGGAAGATTGAGGTGATGATATTGGGACGCGTTCGAAGCAGAATTGGAATAGTGAGTCGAAGAAGAAGGTGATGACGAGCTGTTGTGGTTCTCGGATGCTCGTCCATTCGAAGGGGTCCCAGTTTCCAACAATGCACTCAAATGAGGCGGTCTTTGCTGTTGCTGTTGATGTTGTTGCTGATGATGAGGAGGAGGGTTCGTCGTCGTCGTCATCGTCGTCATCATTCGATGGACTTCTTGTTGTAATTCTTCGAGGACGATGTTGTATCTCAGACTAGGTGCGTTGGCTTCGGTGGCGTCTACTAGGTGTTGTTGCACCGTCTGTGCGAGTTGGAGGAGGTCGTCTTCGTGTAGAGGTGGGCTTGTGATCGTTGATGCTAGTTGCGACGGTGCGGGGGAAAGGGGTGGCAAGTGGCCGTTTTTGCGTTGGATGAGCCAGATATAGACGATAGAAAGGGCATTGAAGGAGACGAATTGCGTGTACCTAGACGACACACGAAAGGATGAGCAGCTGTCTCTTTGGTTGTCCACCTATGGGCAGGGATGATGTACTCACCAGAAAGCCTGAAAAATGTGCTTGTTGAACGACGTTGCAAGAATGGTATCCAGTGTAGACTTGGCCGCAGACAGGCAGGTCTGAACCTGTGCCTCTCTCAACCCCGAATGCGAAGAATCCACCAACAAGCTCGGACGGTTAATCAACATTTGAGCGTGGGCATGCGCGAGTTGTAGCACAGTAATTTGTCTCCGAAAGATGGGAATCAGGCTCGAAGGATGGATGGCGCCGGAGAGGACGACAGGCAACGAGGCGTGCCAGGCGTCTGTCTCCGCATTCAGCTTTGCAGCCATTCCTAGCTTTTGGAAGCTCTTTTTCTTGTTGTTCTCGGACAGATACTGCTCGCGTGCGGCTGTCTTGACGATGCGGGTCACTTGGGCGTGGAGAATAGATGCTTTGATGACACTGTCACCTCGTGTCTGAGTGGCCATGCTGCCCAGAGCGGTCAGATCCTCATCGTCGATTGCATCTGGTAATCTCTGGTCCACATCGTCGAGATTGATCAGGGGCGGAACGCCTTTGATGACGGAGAGGTAGGTATCGAGGGTAGAGCAGGCCCAGAAGGCGCGTTTGCGGCATTCCCGAGCGACTGCGTCTTTGGTCCAATTCTCAGATCGGTGTAAACCTATATTGAAGAGTAATTGGACGGTAGTGCCGAACAAGTACCACTGTGCCATCATTACCGGGTTAGCTGTCTCTCCAGCAAGAGAAATTCGAGAGCGGTGGACTCACAGCTTCATCTAGAAGAACAGGTCAGCGGATACCTCACCACACAGGACATGATCATGTACATACTCGGGCGCGATGACTGCAGCAAGAACAAACACGACGCAATTCTCGCTTGAACACTCTCCAGTGTTGCTCGACCAGTCTCTCGCTGTAGCCTCGCTTGTGCCATTTGGTACAAACGCTCACTGTCTGCTCTAATGCGCTCGTCGGGATCTAAAATCTCCTCTCGATCGTCCACATTGAGCAAACGAGCGGTAGCCAACACCACCAGCACGACAGCTTCGCGAGCGGGAAACCTCCGGGCAGGATGTCGTCCCTGTTCTTCGGCTTCGTGGAACGATTCCAGCCACACCAGGACCGTGCCCTGATGTAAGAATCGATACGTCGGCATGGCGAGGTTGAAATAATGCTGTACCAGCGTCGACGTGATATCACGAGGTGGCAGACGGAAGGCGCTGCGATCTACGGGCGGGGGCTGTCGGTCGCCATGAGTGAAGATGGAGCCCACGGGCGAGGGCTCCTCAGGGTGAATACAATTGACTTTGGTCCCATCTTCTTCGAATCGCTTCCACGCTCGACGGAGGAAAGACCAAGGGCTCGGTCCTAGATCCTGACCAGCAAACACGTTTCCGCCGCCGCCACCGCCGCCACCACCACCGTCGCCGCCTACACCGCCAGCGCCTTCTGGAGACGAAGTTCGTGACGCCTTGACGCCGGGCTCCGGTTGCTGGTAGGTCTGCGGTGCTCTCACCACAGGCTCAAAATGGGTTGGCTGATGATGAGTCGGGCTGGTGAAGGCGACGCCCGCTTGAGGGCCAGCTGGGGGAAGACGGTTGTTGCTGCTGCCGGTGCTGCCGGTGCTTCTTGTCTGTGGCTGGACGGGTCTACCGCGTGTGTAGCTCGCCAGGTATGTACATCGCGATCCGTTGGAGTGGCAAGCTTGACAGGGCAGCTCGCCGGTACATTTTCTCTTGCGGGACTTGCAGTCGTCGCAGGCTGAGACTAGCGGATTAGAAGAGGATTCCGTATTCTAGGGCGACCAATGCAGATGTATCAGTGATGCAGCAGTACATAACACGTACCTCTGGTGACTTTCTGCCTCTTGGCCAGTCGTTCGTCGGAAGGGCCAAAGGTGACGGAGGCTTGTCGTTGTTGTGGTTGGTGTTGGTGTTGTTGATGTTGAAGTGTTGGTGGAGGTGGTAGTGGTAGAGGCGGATGTTGTTGGTGTTGTTGTTGGTGTTGTTGAGGTTGTTGAGGTTGTTGAGGTTGTTGAGGTTGTGAGTGTTGTGAGTGTTGTGAGTGTTGTGAGTGTTGATGTGAATGTTGTTGCACGGGAGACTCGCGCGTGGTGGTGGAGGAGGTTGCGGTGTGGGCGGGACTGGTCGCAGCCATGGACGGAGTAGTGCAAGTATCGGAAAAGAAGGCGGAAAAAGATGTCCCCACCGCCCCATAGAACTAAATCGTCCCAAATCTCTAGGCTATTACGGGAAGAACCTTAACTGGGATGGTAATCACCGCCGTCACATTCTGGAATAATTCTAAATTATACAGCTCCAGCTTCCCGCTCCCACTGGAAAGAGAACTAGGTACTTGTGCTTACACCACCACCACCACCACCACCATGTCCCGCTTCGTCTCAGCCAACGCCAACGCCGACTCCACCTCCGAAGAAGACATCAGATGGCTCGCCGCCCAAGCCGCCATCGAAGCCACACGCTCGCAACCACGCCTCCCGCCAGGCCAACAAGAAGGCGGTAAATCCCTCTTCGAAACCCTCGAAGCCAACAAAGGTCCGTCCGTCAACAACACTTATCAATCCCCCCTCCCCTCGCTCTCTCTCTCTCTCTCTCTCTCCTTCTCTACTCCAAAACTAACAACTCAGGTTGAAACCCCTTCTCAAGCCGCAAAACAAGAAGCATTCGAGCAATCCCTCCGCCTGACCAACCAATTCCAATCCCTCGACGAAGACGACGTAGAATTTCTAGATTCGGTGCTGGAAGCGACGAAGAGGAAAGAGGCAGAGATTCGACGGGAGACGAGAGAGTCATTGGAGGCCTTTCGACAGCGGCAGGCCGATGCGGAACGGAGTGCTGCGAGCATCGCTGCTGCTGGGGAATCTTCTTCTAATACTGCTGCTTCGGGTACTGGTGCTGGTGATGAGGATACGACGACGACGTGGAAAGTGGGGCGGAAGAGGAGAAAGGGGAAAGAGGATGGGGTGTTTGGAGGTGTGAAGTTGCGGAAGGCTTCATCGTCTACTACTACTACTACTATTACCGCTACTACTCCCGATGGTGGCGGTGGCGGTGGTGGTGGTGGTGGTAGAATCAAGAAGGAAACTACTGAAGTGGATAAGGAAGAAAAGGAAGAGAAGGAAGAAGAGGAGAAAGAAGACGACACAGCAGCCGGGCAATCTGCAAAGGTAAGCAATAATCAAGCTGCACTGAAGCCGCTAGACTCGAAGAGCACATCATCAAATGAGAGTGGAGCTGCTGCTGCTGCTGAAAAGCCCAAGCAGGATGAACCCGGTGCCACAGCTGCTGCTACAAGACCCAAGCAGGATAAGCCAGGTATCACATCTGCGACTTCACCTCCCTCCACAATTGGTCTTGCAGGCCTCGTAGCATACGGCTCATCAGATGAAGACGATGACTAGGATCAGACTTTGTAAGACCAGACTTACAAATCAGGTTCTTGATAAGTTACGCGACATGGTCAAGAATAAAGATAAAAAGAAAATAAAAAGAAAATAAAAAGAAAATAAAAAAATAACTCATGATTCGACAATGTGAATTCGTACGACTATCGACAGCCCTACTCTCATGCTGTGAGACATTATTGGCCTATGTACAAGGGCAAAAATTGACACTGAACAGCAAGGCGAATGTCAATTGTGGTATCTCTCGTTTTTCCCGCGCAGAAGAAAAGGGGGGCTGTAAAAACAAAAACATAAAGGGCTCGCCTGCTGGTGATGACAAAAAACACATTCGCGCGCCATGTGTAGGCCGCTGGGGCTTCGAGGCCGTTCGTCGTCTTCTGCTGCGGTTCCTGCCCTCTCGCTTTTCATGCTCATGCGCAAGCGCTTCTTCTTTTTGTTCTTCTTCTTCGCATTCTCAGTGGCACTCGGGCCACATTGCGCGGCCGTCGGCAAAAGCATTTCTCCAGGAGCATGAAGCGCTCGTCGAACACCAGGCCGTAAAAGTCCGTGCTTCATCCTATGTATAAGTGAGTAGTACACGACACCCGGTCGGTGAACATGTCATTGGTGTGGTATGCAGTCAAATCCATTGCAACTGATACGCTGATAGCTGTGCTGGGTGACAGCCGGGACGGTGAGCGGGATGGATGCATGGGATCCAGCTCAAGTTGCACGAGGGTTGAACCAGCTCATGTCTGTGTTGATCGGGTGACGTCCTGCAACCTCTTGGTGCGCTCCAGCTACTGCTTGACCTCTGCCTTGCTTCGGAGGGCTGTCAAGATAATCGGCTCCCGGGAAGATGGTCACGGTGCTGTCGCGATCCTCTGCTGGTCGAAGCGATAGACCAGGTGCCCTAGGCGGCGCGAGATCCTCTAGACCATCGTTGATATCAGTGGGTTTCATGATGCTCTCTGCGGGCTTCCTGGCAGCGGATGGTGTCCGAGGCGACGCCCACTCTGATGTCGGGCCCGCTGCATGGCTTAACTTGGCTTTCGCAGGCTTGTAGCTGGTGCCAGCACCTGGGAAGAAGCCGGTCGAACGACCTCGGGAAGGGACGCGAGCGCCGTTCGAGTATACACTGCTCGTGGCCCGGCCTCGGTCGGCAGAGGCAACGTCTCCACTCATAGGTGTCCATGGTGTCTGTGCCTCATGGGGGTACTCGCTCGAGACGTAGCTACCGATGGTGGAGCGATTGTCATACGAGTTGATACTAGTCGCCTGCGAGCTGCGTGGATCCACGATCTGGCCTCTTTGACCTTCGCTGACCACTCCCGCACTTCCAGTCCTCGCAAACTCTTCTCTCGAGTCCATGAAGGCAGGAGAGCCCATGGCGACGTGTGAAAGGCGTTGCCCGTCAACGGTCTTGGTGAAGTCAATGTCGAGCGGTGGCATCAGAATGGAAGATGGAATTCGGGCGCGCTGCGTGTCATTCGAGTACTCGGAATCTCTGTCAATACCTTCACCGCTAGTATTGGGCTTGATGTATGCCGATGGAATGTGCGACAGCGAATTGGCCCCTTCGGGGGTACTGGACGCGAAATACTTCGACCATCCGGAGCTTCGCTTCCTCTCGTCACGCGTCTCCCTGTCGAGCGAGCCATGAGCAAAGGAGCCAGGAACGACCAGGTTCGAGTTGGGCCCAGCAGTCTTATGGCCGATGTCCACCATCTCATGGTTTTCTGACGGTCTTGAGATGGCTTCTCTGCTCTTGACAAGACGAGCGGTACTCTCGAAGCTCGCCTTTTGCTCGTGTCCGTAGGGACTCTGCTTGTTACCATTTGTCCACTTGTTGGTGATGATGGCGAGCGAGCTGTGAGATCCGTTACTGCGATCGAAATTCGCCTTCGGTGGCGTCAGCTCATGCGTAGAAACCCCAGCTTCCTTCATGAATGATGCTCCTCGATCCGCAAAACTGAGGCGTCGATCAGCGGCACCATCGTGCTCCTTCTCCTTCAGATACCCTCCGTTCTGTTTCTTTTGCTTCGTCCTTCTCCATCTCAGGAACAACAGAATCAGTATGAACAGAGCGGCGATGCCGCAAAGCGTGCCCAGGGTGATACCGAGCGTCCTCAACGTCTTCTGATGTGCGGACATGCCATTGCTACCCGCTGGTGTGGTAGTTGTAGGCTGTGATGTTTCACTGGCCGTGGGGGTGGCACTGGGTTGACTTGTCGAGCTGGGTTGCAGAACGACCTGCTGTTTGGCTTTGAAAAAGTCGTTGGCGTCGATCCAGGAATTCTCTTTCTGATCGTACATGATAAGAGGATGATTCTCGTTGCCCCCTGCCATGACCACCAGGCCATCTTCACCTTGTGCGATTGAGCACTCGGCCCGCGTGCTCGTCGGAGCATTTGTGGCGTTGTACGAGGGCCAGTCAGCAATGGTAAGATCCCGCTTGCGAGAGTCGAGTGATTGTGCTTGGCCGACCATTTGGCCCGTGTAAGCAGGCCGTCCGCCATCGCCAAGAAGGACAACTGCCTGCGCTGTATTGGGGGATGTATGCAAATCGTAGACTTGGAGTACTTTGCTACCATCATCACCATTGATCACGACAGCCCGGGCCGAAGGGTCCAAGGGGCCTGCCAGATCACTGGACAATTGCGTCCACCCTTCACTCGGTCCAAACAGCCAGACCTGATTCGAGGTTGTCTGGCCTCCAACCATAACTGCATGACTGCTGTTCCATTGCGCTAGTATAGGGTTGTTTGCAGGCGGGGCATTTGAGGTGAAGGACAATATGTCATATGGCGGCTGCGTCGAAAGCAGAAAGGTCTGCGAGGAGAGGTGGGAGGGTGCGCTTGCTTGCGAGCCAGCATAGACGAGTATCGACTCCGAATCCGGGAGATAGACGACGCTGTGGTCGACTCGATTTTGCAAGACGTCCGCAGCTGGGTACAGACTCTCCCACGCGTTGCTGGTAAACGAGTATTTCTGCACTCCCCGAAAGCTCGCATCGTCGCTTTCACCTCCGACCACAAACAAAGCAGGCTCACTGCCCGTGGCCTTCACACATGCGGGCGCATTGACCACGTCTCCGCCCAGCTCCTCTGTCCACGTCGCATTCTTCTTGAGGGGGAGCGACTGCAATTGGCCGTCGTTGTTGTACACGTAGAGTGTTTGGTCGTGAATTCCCGAGCAGTGGCCGCTCAGGGAGTGGTCTGGCACAGGGACGGACATCCAGCCAGCAGACGGCGCCGAGTCGCCCAGCAGCTCAGCGCCGTGGAAGACGTCTCTGACGGTAAAGATGGAAGTGCCGGTCTCAGCGGTCCCAAGTCGGCTGTGCTGGGCATGTGCGCGCCCGACGAAGAGCTATTTTGCAATCGGTCCGGTCGTGGCGTGAGTCGTGCCTGGTTGGCGAAGTCGCTGGTTGTTATGTTTGCGGTTGTGGTTGTGGTTGCGGTGAACGAGCGAGCGAATGCTGCGTGCGACGTGAGCGCTGAGGTGAGGTGTGGCGGCGCAGCGCAGTCGGTCACAGGGTAAGGTACGGTATGAGACGGTCGCGTATGGTTGGATTCGTGAGGACAGTAGTGAAACGCGAGGAGCGGCGGAAGAAGTGGAAGCGATCCGGGTGTTTTCGTGCAGGGTGGATGGTCGTGGTCGTGGTCGCGGAGGCCAGGAGAGAGCGGAGCAAGAGCGAGAGTGAATGGGTGAAGCGAGTGGAAGGGCTCAGGGAGCAGCAGTAAGGAACGAGCAGTGAATGAGCCCACGAAAAAGAATTACATTAGCAGCAGCAACAGCAGTGGAGTGAATGAAAGTCGGTATAGCACAGTAGTACAATTGCACGAATACGGTGCCCGACGGTGAGGAGGAACAAACGCACGAGCATGAACAGCGATACAGTCGGTAAGGTACAGTAACCGTACAGTACCTCCGTAGGAGTAGGCTAGTAGGAGATGCAGCCGAACCGACAAACACACTGGGCCCTTTGCCCTAGGAGTAACGCCCCTGTTGCCCTGGCTGCCCTGCCACGCCCTGCCGCCGAAACACTCAGACAGTCAGACTAGAGCTAATCTCTGCAGTAGCACCCACACAGAGTCACAGACTACCTCCTAGAGGTACGGAGGTACACTCAGTCCCACACCACCACTGGATCCAGGGGGGTTGCGCCTCGCTATTCGCTATTCGTGATTCGCTATTCTCCGTATTTCTCTATTCCCATCCCGTCTGTGCCGTCTGAGCACTAATCCATATAACCACTGCTCCTCTGGTACAAAGAAGCTGGGGAGTGTAGCCACGACAATGCTACTTCCCACGCGCTGTGGCGTGCAGCAATCGACTCGTCTTCCTTCGTACCGCAACAACTTTATACCTAAGGTATCTAGGGAGGTATACAGAGCAGAGTACTGCGGAATCCTCTGCCAATCACCGCGCCGGGAACATCACGCCATGACCCTGTCCAAACCCCTTGAACGACGGAAGAACACCATTGGCATGTCATCACATCACATCGAAACAACCAGCAGAGGAAGGTGTTCACGGGAGAGGGAGAGACCCTTTCGAAAAACAGAAAAAAAGAAAAGTAAACACGAAGCACACACACATGCACACGAACGGCGTACGACGTCGAGAGAGTTTGATGCTACGGGAAATACATTTCCATGTATAGAACTTGTTGCGTTTTTACCAGCCAACAGCCCGCAACAGCGATTGTATTCGGTTTTCCACGCGTCAAGAGGGAGATATGCAGGTCCAAACGCCTGTTCCAGCCTTCCAGGAACGCTTTCGGGACCCATACCATGTCCACCCCCTGCTAGCGACGTGATGAAACAGACCCGTCTCTCGGGGCCTCGGGCGATGACATCGTGTCGGGAAAGTATAAACTCCCGTACGAACTCGGGTGAACTCAATCAGAAGTAGAACAGTGTGAGACTGTGATTATTGATAGTAGGTGGTGTTCCCTCCTCTCCCTACTTTGACGAAAGAGTGGTAATAGTACCTGTGGGGGCATACCTGTACATATGTACCTTACCCCTAATAACATGAATGCTTCATGCCCGTGCAACAACAGGTGGTGATATCATCTCATGTCAGAGATTTGAATCAATTACATACATTAATTTCAATGCTGCTTCATCATTCATCTTGCTCAGATGGCTCTGCAGCTCTTGTGATGCACATTTCCTTCTGCAGCGGGAATCCTTCTGTAATTGGACTTGCCGAGCAAATCGACACGGTGCCGATGACACGGGGGACGGGGGGCTGCCCACCTCACGCTTTTAACTGTATTTAGGTACGTACCTACATGCACCTCCTAGTCGACTAATTGGCCAGTCATGTGCGAGAACTCCAACGTCTCTCATATCACAGACAACGCGTGGCGATAAGGTTTATGTATACCTACACACGCTCACAAGCACAAAATGTGGACGTTCATGACACGATGATATATATATGCTTTAGTACTACTGTACATGTAGCCAGTGAACAGCAACTGGATAGCCGCCAGTATCGCTTTTACTGACTGTGCGCGCCACCGCCGACCTGCCATTCTAGACTGCGCTGTGGCAGTCAGCAGCAGTGGACGCTCTAAGTTCACCTAATTCCATCTTCCGTGATGGCAGCGGCAGTGGAGTTCACTATTCGATGCAGCGCCATGCACATCCTCTCTAGCCTTGCAGCCAGAAAGACGTAGGTCGCAACACAATAGGAGCTACAGTAAAGTATGCTCAAGACGGCAGCGATGGCGACTACGACGACGACGGAGACAGCTCATTCGTAATTTCCACGAAAGCCTGCCACTGCTTCAACGCCTCGCCGCTCTTGACACACCACTTCGCACGTCGAAGACCCTCTTTCCAACGCAACCCTCCCGGACCTCTATCCGGAATGACTTGACCGTCGTCTCCATTACCCATGTTGCTGGTATCCGCCTCGCAGACACCCGACAGAGTAATCAGAGCCGCAGTGTTGAGCAACACGAAATGCAAGACCGGGTCATCATCGGGTCTCTCCCCTTTCAGAATCTGCATCAAAATCTCCGCGTTTTCGCCCGGTCCTTTTCCACCATGCACGTCTTCCAGAGGATGGCGCGGCAACCCGAAGTCCTCGGGTGCGATCTCAAAGGAAGTGATATCCACTGGACCTCCTGCTGGTTCCCCATGGATCAACCAGCAATGCGTGATGCCAGCACACGATAGTTCGTCGAGATTTTCATCGCCGCAGACGACGAGCGCTTTGCGTGCACCGCTCAGTCGCAAGGCTTCTGCAAAATTGGTGCCAATGTCTTTGCGAGCGACTCCGAGGATTCGACATTCGACCAGACCCGAATCGTGGACCGGGTTGGCGAGTGGGCCGAGTAGGTTGAAGACTGTGCGGACAGGGACTTCTCGACGGACTGCAGCTCCGTACTTCATTCCCGGGTGCCATTCTCGAGCATATAAGAAGGCGTAGTTGGTCTTCTCGTAGATGCGTGGGAGATTTTCTGCTGTGGTGGCCGCGATGATGGGTGGTCGAGGTGCATGTTGCAGCAGATCTGCAGAGCCCGATAGTGAAGTCGAAGAGTTGTTGCCGTGCTTAGCCATCATGAGAATCGCCGAGGAGATGATCGAGGCGGTGGTGGATACGTTGTAGGTATTGTGGCCGTCGCCTCCTGTGCCTACAATGTCGCACTTTGACTGGAATTAGTTGTGGAGAAAACTGCTGTTCGCGCCATCATCTCACCAGACCGCCCGCGTACGTCCCCTCTGGCCGTTTACGTCTGGAAATGACCTCTTTCAGTTCCGTAGCGTCAATCTGAGCAGCAGCTCCTCGCATGGATTTGGCACATGCTGCCAGCACTTCGGCTTGGTGGTCGAGATTTGTGGTATGCAATGCCCAGAGCAAAACTCCGAATTGGACCGGTGAGAGGCTATTGGTGAAGATGAGGGCGACTGCAGCTGCGATTTCTTCTGCCGAGACCTTCCTCGCTTGCTCCAATGTCGATAGTCGCTTGAGCAATTGTGATATGGACACGAAACCCGTCTGGTCAGTCGCCATGTTGATACGATGGAGTCTTGGTGAATATGCAGCGAATCTTGCCCTTTCGTTGATTATCACGACTTCTTCAGTGAGAATCCGATTCGATTCACCTGTGGTTTTCTCAAATTGTTGTTTTTGTGTTGTCAATGACTCTTCCGCGGTATGCCAGCATTAATATCGAGAATTTTGCCAAGGCGTAATAGAAGAACCTTAAGTTCTACACGTCCGCGACTCGATTGGTCCATGCCCCCGACGGATGGGATCATTCATCACATTTCCTGTCCTGCTTCTATAGCACCACCTCACCGATCCAATGCCTCCTCGAATACGACTCCCTGCGCGGACGCTGCGATCAGCATCGACGACGCCGGCGACGACGACGACAGTCTCTTCAACACCAGCTTCTTATGTGTGCCGGCAGTGCAGACATGCCTCCATCGCAGCCAATGCTATACCGACAACGCCCGCCGCACCCATCGAGGCCGGCAGAGGACCTGCTCCTCCAGTGATGCGATATCCTTCAGTGCAGCCGCCGTCACATAAGCCACCCGAGTTCCGGAAATCGCAGCTGCATCGCCAATATCAGTCGCTGTTGCGCGCCTCGCCGATCATGCTCATCTTCCAGCACAACAACCTCAAGGCCGTCGAGTTCACTGGTATCAGGAGAGAGTTGGCCGCCGCTCTGCGGAAGGTGGACGAGGAGCTGGCCAAGACGGGCAATAGCGATTTTGCAGGATCAGAGGCGAAGCTACAAGTCGTGCAGACGGGCATCTTCGCTTCTGCTCTCAAGGTCGTGGAGTTCTGGAACCCCAAGTTCGAGCCTGTCGGTGCAGACGAGTCACAGCCCGCTGCATCGAACGAGGCCTTGGGGGGCGCGTCCAAGCTGAAGCATGTGCATGGGTTGTCGCGATACGCGTGGAAAGCAGCCAAGAAGAATCCGAAGCAGCACGGACTAGAACCTCTGCTTTCAGGGCCACTGGCTCTGCTCACGATACCTGCTGTTTCGCCTCAGCACTTGAAGGTAGCTTTGTCTATCCTTGCCCCTAATCCAGACTTTCCGGCGCCAAAGAGGAGGACGAATCCTAGTTACTATGAGCCCGCTGTGCAAAACGGGCTGCAAAAGTTGATGTTGTTGGGAGCAAGAGTGGAAGGCAAGGCCTTTGATATGGAGGGCGCCCGATGGGTTGGTGGCATCCAAGGAGGACTGGACGGTCTGAGAGGTCAACTGGTTGCTATGCTGCAAGGACTGAGCGCCAGCATTACCACCACTTTGTCCTCGGCATCTACAAATCTGTACTTGACTATGGTAAGAAGTACTCATCTGTTGCAGTCACGCGAAAATGCGGCTAACGGTTGATTGTAGGAGAGTCGCAAGACGATGATGGAGGACGAGGCGAAGCCTAAATCTGAAGAGGATAAATGAATGATGGGCACCATGACAACCACGCTGTGAAAGTGATTGCCACTGTAAAATCATCTAATCTTGCTTGATGGCACTCTGTCCCGAGTCATCCAGGCGCGACCAAAGGAAGTATGGAATCCTTTTGTGGACCATGCCGGCGCTATATAACAGAGCAAGGTCAACAGCAAACCCAAATGAACGAGTCTGTATCTCTAAGAGGTGCTGGGAGCCCACACACATACACCGACCGAGCTCTATAACCTTTGTAAAACCACCACCATTCCAATACCCTCCCTGCCCGCGCTATTTTGAAGCAGCAGCAGAAGCAGCAGCAACCAACTTCCTCTCCGAAACAGGACTCCACGCCCACGCAATCATACTCAAATGCAACTCTGAAACTTTTCCCTCTTCATCCCACAACAATTCCTTCCAGCTCCTCCTCTTTTCTTTTTCTTCTCCTTCTTCTTTTTCTTCTTTTTCTTCTTTTTCTTCTTCCATCTCCATCCCCTCAGGCACAATCCGATCCAAAGCCTGATATCTCCTAATTTCCCAATCTGCCTCGCCGGGCTGAGATTCATCCACCAAGACATTTCCGAGTTTTTTCCCTCTGGGGAGATTTGTGTAGATTTCTGCAAATGCTGAGGCGATGTGCTTATTTTTATTATCGTGATTATCACATTGAGTTTTACTGTTGCTGTTGTTACTTGGTGGTGGGGATGACGATGTCGATGCGGCTTGGATTTGAGAAAGATAGATGTTTACTACAGATTTGGAAAGTAAAGGTTTGAAACCTTGAGCTCGAAGAGAGGTTTGCAAGGTGGGATAGGTGGTGTCTAACCATGTGCGGAAAATTGACATGGCGGATTGGATGTTTTGGGTGGATGATGATGGTGATGATGCGGCTTTTTTCATGGACGGGTGGTGTTTGGCTCGATTGTACATTGTCTGTACGTATTTTGTGATGAATTCTTAGTTGGATTATTCAAGGACGGGTGGGATTGATTTGTTAAGTCTGTTTGTATGAAGACGAAAGGGAAAAGGGGGGAAATCTTACGTTGACAGTTTGAAATTGATATATCAATGAGCGATTTTCGATGAGTTTGAGAGTCCGTCTTGCGGCTTCTTCATCTTTGAAGCCTGTGCCATGAATGGTCGTTTTGGGGTTGTCATCGGTGTAAAGATGCGAATCACGGCCGGACTTTTTCGATGATGGTTTCGCTGGTGCTTCTGACTTTTCGGGCTTGCTGATGGGGTTTTCGCGAGTTGTACGCTTGCGTACGGCGGGTTCTTTGGGCATCGTGGTTGTTGATGACGATAGACAGGTACTTCTACTTCTTGAATTGAAGGCTGGAGAAAGGGATAATGAGACTCTGCGAGGGAGCATCACAATAAAGGACCGTTCTGAGCATTCCTCTTTGTTGTTGTCATGACGTAGTCGTTGTTAGAATGTATTATCAACTTGACAGATGATTCTTGGCGTGCAGAGGAGATACAGTACTTGTTATTATGGGAGCATTCCAGTGCAGTCGTCTCGATATCCAGAGAGGGGTATTTTGCTATGAGACTCCAAAGCATCAATGCAACGCCACAAGCAAATACCTCCACGCTCTGCCCATTAAACTTCTGAACTTAGGAGACGTACTTACCACTCATTCAGGAGACTTCGTCGTCGATAATCACTACATGATTTTGGGAAGTGCAAAACTGGCGTCTCCATCATGATACAAAGGGACGAGTCACCTCACCTCACATCTCCGAATCCACGAAATCTAGAAGTTCCAAGAGACGCCAGCTCATGTTCTCTCTTAGCGCCGTGTAGTGTATTAACGTACGTGTAGTTTTCTGGTGGGTTTCGGATCAACATAATTTACCTAACTTTTTGTATCATGAAATTACCTACGATCGATTTGCAACTGTGAAGATCTGCGTTGTCAGTTCTGGTTACCCTCCCTCCCCAAAAAATTATTATGCGCCAAGAGGAGCAACAAAGCTAATAAGGTAGGTAGCCCAGCCAACTCAATCTCCCAATCCTCTGCGAGCTTTTTTGTTGATTCTTGATACTCATTCCTCTATCATGACGAAACCCCTCCTTCGAACGACCGCTAGTGGGTTCCACATGAGTTGAGCCAACAAGAAACCGAGGAGAAGTCTATGCAATGGACTCTCCGCTTCTTCAGGTGAACGGGTTGATCACATATTTGCTATGATACGTCTTGATTCGTGGTACACTAGCTCATGTCCAGATTTCGGATTCCTGCGATCCGAAGCTGATTAGTCGATGGTAGGAGGGAAAAATAAAAGAGAGGGACAGAGAGAGATAGAAAGGGTCGGTCCATAGACCCGCAAGAGATTTTTCGCACGATTTCGACAGGAGATCGATCCGTCGCTATAGCCAGCGAGAGAGATAGAGAGAGAAATAATCACTTGGGGTCCGATACGTTTTGCTCAGCTGGTAAGCTAGTTCATGTTTGGAGATCGTCCTCAAGGATAAGACCTTGAGATTTACGGTAGCATTTGCTTCGGAAGCCATACATCTTCGAAGTTATCGTCAGCATGACTTTTGAAGTTGGCCTCAAGGTTTCGGGTTGGCAAGAGTCAAGGAGCAGGACACTTTCAAAGGACACTCGGAATGACTAAGCCTCGGCGCGGATTAACGTAGTTCCGGTTGAACATTACTTACTGCTACAATACATATATATTAACTACCTACCTACACAAAGCACCGTTCAACACTGTATAATCTACTACTTTACGCCCTACATTACGCATTTAACGACCTCTAGCCGCGTTACTATCGACTATACGACCGTTACCTAACGCCAAGTCGTTAGTCTCGACTGTACGATCGTTACCTAACCCTAAACCATTAGATTTACTACGTATAATACTATAGCCGCGTCCGTACGGCCGTCTACGTCTACGGCCGCGTCTACGGCTACGGCTACGCGCCGCTAGCTTAGTATTAACCTCGGCTGTCTCGTTACGTTCGACTGTCTGTAGTACGTTAATAGCACGCTGCTAAGCCGCGAATTTGGCGCGTAAAGCAACGGTAGTAGCCTTCTCGGCTGATTCTATATCTTTACTAGCTACCTCTGTACTCGTTATAAGCCTATTAGTCGTCTTATTGCCGCGCTTCGGCAGCCTCGGCAGTAGTAGATGCTAAGCTAGTTTCGTAGGTACCGTAAATAGTATTTCCTCCGGTTTAGAACGGTTACTTTAAGTAGCCTATAGGCCGCTTAAATAGACGGCTTCGAAGGCTTCGAGCTTGTCTGCGTAGGAGTTATAGTCCGCGGCTCGCAGTAATAGTAAGTAACTTAACTAGCGTAGTATAGAAGCCTGTATACAATTATAACTGTCCGCGCGTTACGGTAATAACTCTTGTAGTCTATCCGTCGCGGCGTCGTATTAATTCTGCTATTTTAGCGTCTACTATACGGCGTTACTAGCGTAAACTAAACGATTGCTCGCAAAGTAATAGGGGTATAGTAGACTACGAGCTATTACCTTCCGCTTAATTACCGTAGGTAACAGTATATAGCTATATAGCAAGCTATATTGTTTAACTTCCCTATATTCCGTATAGTAATCGCGTACTAGATATAGCTCTGCCGTTACTGCCGAGCGCGTATAATTAGCCTTGTCTACCGTACGTTTAATGCCGAGAGCGTTATACTATAAAGCTAGTAACCTGTCGATTGTCTATATCGTAACTTAGCTATTAAGTTGTACAAAGTAACCGAGATTATTAGCCGCTACGGCCTATAGTAGTAAGCTAGTATACGTATTTTCCTCTAATCGTTCTAAATTATTAAACAGCTTATCTAGATATTGCTTAATACCCTTAACGCACTATTCTAGTAACAAGTACAGCGGCAGATACCCCTTAACGCCGCGGTTGCCGCGTTCTGCGCGCTATAACGAGCGAGCTCTATTATTCGGTAAATGCTTAACATAATACGTAACTAGTCGCTACTTAATAACGACGTACGTATTACAGAAGTACTCGGCATCCTCCGCTGTTATTCTGTCGATAATAGCCGCCTCGAGTTTATCGGCGGCTTCGGCTATATCCGCTTGCAGCTATAGCTATATAAGCGCTTTCAGTTCCGTCTTCTACTCGGCGCTATAGCCTAGTTTACGAGCTCGCGTACGTCTTAGCGCGTTAATTCGTATAGTAGATTCGGTCGGTACGGTCGGTTCGTCGTTAGTAGCTATAATAGTAGCCTAGCGTACCTTACTGTCGGCGGCCTCGGTACGTACTACGCGTACGGTACCCTTATCGATACGCTTGTAAAGGTTTTAAGCAGCGTGCTATTAATAGAATTGCTGAATATAGCGCTAAAATAGTAACTCCGGAATAGCCGCAATTAGGCTAGCCCTAGTATCTAAGACAATTACTTTATTAAGTCGATAGTTACGTAGATAGTTGTTGAATACGGCAAGTAGCATAAACAGCTAATTATCCTTACTCTCTAACTTTATTAGTAAATAATATATCGGAAATAACCGTCCGGTATTAGTAATCCCTATAAATACCCCTAGTAATAGACCGGTACGATTGGTACTAAACGTAGCGTCTATCTAGAAGCTATAGTCCGGTACGAATCGCGTAGTAAAGCGCGCTATATATAGCTACTAGTAAACAAGCTGCTTAAGTAATACCCGCGTAGTACTACTAGTCTATAGATTAGTAGTAAATAACTAACGGCCCTTATATTCGAATCCGAGCGTAACGAGTATACCGAGCAGCGCGTTAATAATAGTCTCGGCGTTACCGGCACCGCGGAAGTTGTTACCCTTAGCTAGGTTATAGTAACGCTTGCAATTGAGTCGGAGTTTGTATAACGAGAGCTGTCGGTATATAGTACTGTATAATTCGTTCGTAAGTCGATACTACGCGGCCTACGCTACGGCTTTACCGAACCTAGGTATACGTGTCTCGTAAACTGCGTAAACGGACGGATTTAGCGCTAATTCGTACAAGTAGTCGAGTGAATTTACAGTTAGCTACTACTCTTTAATTGTCGTGCCTTGCCTTACTTATACGTAACTTAGCCGGTAGTTCTAACCGTACCCTCTCTATCGTATATTCCTCGCGTTACGAACGCGTAGATTGAGTAACTCTTTATCGTCGCTATTGTCGCCTATATAATCGTCGAAGCCGTTAAAGTTTCTAGTAGTAGTTCTATAGTAAATGTACTTATATATAGCTCGGATTATGTTACTAGACGTACAGACAACCGCAAACCCTTTACTAAACGCGTAATCCTGTAGCCTAGCCTTATAATAGTCCGGATTTCGGAATATCTCGCCGGTACGTAGATACTCGTAATAGCGTAGATCTATAGTATCGATAAACTCGCGGACGGCCGGTATACGGCTCTCGGCAAGCAGTGAATACGGAATCTACG